CCCCCCTTTTGTACACTAGATTTTCTTTCTTTCTTTTACACCCCCTTTTTTCTCTTCTTGCTTAATGGTAAGCGGGGGCGCCTACCTATTCTATAAAAGGACGGATATATAAGGCACCTGCCATAGCCACTAAAACCATATTAAACAGACCCATCCTTTATAAAAGGGCACACATCTCCTAGCTAAAACAATCAACGAGCTTTCAACCTATCTTTTTTGCACTTCCTCGTAAGGGCCATGAAGCCTAGCCTTCGTACCAGGCTTCTGTGTAGTACATCTTTTTGAGTGCTTCTACAGCATTAGGCTTCTTTAAGCTTAGCTTATCTTCTTGATAGCTGGTTTCTTTAGCAAGCTACTTTCAGCTACTTTAGAAAGCTTATTAGCTAGCTGTTATTACACCAATTAAAGCTCAAGGGCGCCTATCAGCTAAAACCCATAAGCTTCACCTCTTTCCTTTTAAGCAATCGAGTTTGAAGATAAACCATGGTTTACGTATAAAAAGAAGGGAACGAAAGAAGTGGGAGAATATGAGGAGGAGAGGAAGGAAGTAGCTTGGCGCACATGAGATTAGTGCCCAGGAGACCTGGCGTGTTATCACAGCAGCTGGTATCGATTATGCCCTTTTTTTTTTTTCACTAATAAAATAAATTGTAAAAAAGATATATCTTCGTCGAAAGAGAAACTTTAAAAAGCAAGTATAGTGCTCATGGAGCACTAGGGTCAGGAGGAGATTCCGATGATTGAATAAAGCTTGGTATATTTTATCTAGAAAGCTCATCAAGATAGATAATAGTATACTTAAGAGCTCTAGTGCGTCAAAGGCGCTACGAGGCGAGGTCATCTGATCTGTAGCTTAGATGGAACCTAAGGCATGCCAGTTCCGCACAACAGCAAGTTATAGTGTAAATAATGTGTATCGATATCGATTGTTAAGAGAATTCGAAGCCGGACCGAAATCAGCGAGATAGCTTTTTCGAAAGCGTAATATCGTAAATCGTTTTGACCCCTTCTTTACTTACTTTTTTACATTATTCTGTTTCTGTTGCAAATCTTTTTAGCATTTTTCAATCGATATGCCCGTCAAGTATAGATCGTAATCGGCGTGGTGATCGAGGAAGGCTCGTTCGGATCGCCGATAAAAGGAAATCTTTTCGAGAGGCTACTTAGATGTACTGTAATTTCGGCTTTCCGAACTCTTTTTGCCGCAGGTAAGGAAGCCAAAGGTTCGTAGAAAGCACCTCGCGAACAGGCAAAGAATCGTAGCCCCTAAGTGCTGGCTTGCGGCCCGGCTAGATCGTAAAATTATATGATAATTTACGTATTATTTATATATTTCTGAATATATTTACTAATACAGCGTTAATGCTACCAATACTACTTCGCGAAGTCCGAAAGACCTCCTCCGGAGCTTGCGGTAGGCCGTATAAGTTTTACTAGCTTGCGGCCGCACCGAAGCTTAAGATTATCCACAAGTGTACTACGTATTTGTGAAATATACTAAGTACGTACGTCGTACATAAAAAAATGGTGTAGCGTTGATATTCAAGCCTTGGAAAGCAGCCTTACGGAATACGCGACCGTTGCGAAGCGAGACCCCCTGGCCCGGAGCTTGCAGAAGGCCTGCCAGAGAAAAGACTTCGTAATACAAATACGTGAACACGTAAACCTTGCCTTCGCGTTCATTCTTCCCTTTCCCTTTCCAAGAACAATCAAAGGATCCGTCCAAAGCCAGAAGCCCACAGCCCGGATTCCTGTCTCTCTCCCTCTCTCCCTCGCTCTCCTAAGAGTACTTCTTCACTTCGCAGATAACATCCAAGTGGGTTTTGCCAGCCCTAACCCCCGTGCAACGAAAAAGAAAGCAGAGTTTCCCTTTCCTTTTCCCTACTAAAAGTCAATACGTCGAATACGAACGAGCCTGGGCCACCCATCCAGCCATCATCCCCACCCCCGGTCTTCTCCAAAACGGCCAAGTTTCATCTGTCGGCATTCCTTCCACAAGGCGAAACACGCCTCGCTTACTCATCTGCATACGGGGTGTGTACGACCCGACCCCCTTCTCGCTTCTTACGCTCCACAACCATCAACCCGGCAATCCAATCCATCCCATTGCATTGCATCCCATCTACTACTACGAGATCTAGATCTATCCAGCATACCCATCATCCCATACCATCTACCGGTACCACTAGTTATATATCCGCAATGCCAGCCTTCCCAGCCTTCCCAGCTCCCCAGCCTCGTCTCTTCTACCGCCTACTTCGTCTCACTTCGTATCATCCCAACTCTGAATAATTCCGTCTCGTCCATGAATCAGAATCGCATATTCTCAATGCCCCCAAAACCTCACTTATCCGGCCGCCTGAACAATCATGCAGAGCAACAAAAAGAAGAAGAAGAAGAAGAAGAAGAAGATGGGGTGGAGCATGGCATGGGCGTGGCATGGCATGGCATGGCATGGCACATACGGTACCGGTACTACTACTACGTACTACGTACAACTAACATCACAGACAGCAGGGATCTTCGTTAACATTCATTCGGCCCAAAGAAGAAAACAGAGCCGAAAGCAGAAGAAAAACAAAAACTCACCCCCTTTTTCTTTTTTTCTCGCCGCTTCATCGGAAGAATGAAAATGACTTGACCTGGCATATGCCATCCGTTCAAAACTCCATACCCTTTTACCGTTTTTCTCTTCCCGGTTCCCTCCCTCTCTCGCTCTCTCTCAAGTCTCGACTCGCGCGCGCGCGCGCGCTCTTCGGGTCTGGGAAGAACCCGGCTCGGCGGCCTTACGTAGTATTAGGTTCGCTCGGTACAGATGAGAAAAAGTATATCCAAGGCCCGCTGCCCCCCTATTTGTCCTCTCTCTTTCCCGTTGGCGGACGCGCGGCGATCTGGCAAAGAAGAAAGCATATTCCAGTATTCCATACTGTACCGTATTGACACGTTCGTTTGTTCGTACATTCATTCTTTCTTTTACTACACTGTGATCCACACACACACACACGTTCCTTTTTCTACCCCGTTACCTCATTTTATATTCGATTTTAGCGACGTGCCCAGAGAGAAGAAGAGAAAAAGAAAAGAAAGAGGGGGGTTTGACTTACTACTTTACGACTTGCAAAAGAAATCGGCTCGCCATGTTGGTCACTAATCGCGCCCCGATCTCCAGGCAGTTCGCGGGTGCCACGCTGCTCCTGCTGTTCATCGTGTTGGCCGGCAACTTCTACATCTGGGCCATCGGTATCGAGCGCAGGGTCTCTTCGCGACCGATGGCGGCTGGTGGTGCCTCGGTGAAGTATGCGGACCAGCAGCAGCAAGTGGCTGCCGCGACGAGTACCCTACAGGCCGATCCGGCAAAGGCAGCTTCTTCGCCCCCTACTTCGGCGGCAGAGTCAGTCCCAGAGGCAAAGCCAGAGTCAGTCCCAGAGTCAGTCCCAGAGGCCAAGCCAGAGTCCAACCCCGAGGCGGCCAAATCATCGCCCACCGAGTTCCTGCCCGCGTTCACGATTCCTTCGCCGACCTCCATCCCGTCCAAGTTCTGGTACAAGGCCGGCCCCAAAGGCGTCAACCAAGACTCCCAGGAGTGGATGGACTCGTGCATCTCGCAGAACCCGTCCTTCCGCCGCGAGATCCTAGCCGATGGCTCCGACGACGCGTACGTCCAGACCGTCTACGCCCACCGCCCGGACATCGTCTCCCTCTACACTGCTCTCCCCGTCCCGATTCTCAAAGCCGATTTCTTGCGCTATCTGATCCTGTTCGCCGAAGGCGGCATCTGGAGCGACCTCGACGTGTCGTGCAACGAGATACCCATCAAAGACTGGTTGCCGGAGCCGTTCCGGAAGGACGCCGCCCTGGTAGTGGGCTTGGAGTTCAGTTCCGAGGACTGGGTGTACAACGGCTATCTGAACGCGCAGTTTGCGAGCTGGATGATAATGGCGAAGCCTGGGTCGCCGCATCTGGCCATGGTCATCCAAGACGTGATGCACGACCTGCAGGAATCGGCAGACAAGGCGAACGTGCCCATCTCGGGTCTGCAGATGGATATGATCAGCGACGTGGTCGACGTTACCGGCCCGAAGCGGATGACCAGGAGCGTGGTTAAGAGCATGGAGTTGCAGATGGGCGTGCCCATTGATGATCGTAATGTGTCCGGGTTGAGGGAGCCGAGGTTGCTGGGTGATGTGGTGATCCTTCCCGATATTGCGTTTGCGGGCAGCCAGGCGGGCTTCCCAGAGGGCCACGGACCGGCGCTGGTCCAGCATCATTACTCTGGGAGCTGGAAGAATGATCATGGTGGCGAGCTGCTTGACGATGAGGAGCAGAAGAAAGCCGAGGAGCAGAAGAAAGCTGAGGAGCAGAAGAAAGATGAAGAGCAGAAGAAAGATGGAGGCGAGTTGGCCAGGAGATGAGCGGCGAAACCAGGAAAGGGCAGCGAGGAAGGCCGCCACCCCGGCATCTATACCGACGACAGCTCGAACCAACAAAGCGCCAGGCACTTCAGCAGTCGTTCAGAACCAGCAATGCATTCGACGAAGAGGAGGGTAAAACGTTGGCCGACCACAGACCCGATACTTTGTCCCAAATTCAGATTCTCGATTACAAGGACGTACCAGGGAAATGGTCGCAAATCAACTTGAGGGATGAAGACACGGATACACCGCACCGGAGATGGGAGACGCGAGCGTTTTGGGGGATCCTGGAATATTGAATAGTTAGATTGCGGGAGTTTCTTGCAGAGGCGTCTGTCTGTATTCAGTCAGCATAGCAGTTTTCGTATGTAGGACACGAAAAACAGTGTTGGAAAATGTGTATATAGCTTGTACCATAGAATGAAGAAGCACGAATGATACAAAAGAGATTGAAGAGATAACAGCAGCAAAGAGAGATTATCCGTCACTTATAAAAGAACTGTCGCGAGTGTCCGTCATCGCGACAAGCATCCGAAACAAGTCAGGTCTCACATTCTATCAGAGTCTCAACATAGGAGACGGTTAATATTCACCCACAATAACGAACCTTTCTATGGCCAGCTAATATGATATCGTTATTGGTTTCCGGGCCTGGAGGAGGTTGTAATAAACAGCAACAGTATCGCTTTGCCTTAGTAGTTACCATGCACTCACAGGCTGGACCTGATCCTCTCCAGTCCCTACAAAATGATAGGCTGCGAGAATGCTGCTTGCGATGTGAAGAAGGTTATAGCCCCTATCATGTCGAAGCTTAAGAGCCTCAGACCTGGAATGCGGCTAGAGACTACAAGCTGACGCGCCCGCTCGACTAACACGGTGACACGGTGAGTTGGTATTAGCCACGTACTCATCATCAACATGACAGCGAGCTCAGCTGAAGCTGTGCCTGTCCAGCTCTGCCTGAAAGCCAGCCCGGGTATGGATGGTTACACGCAGACCCGGCTGGCTCGGACGGGCATAGTACAACAGTTCATTTGCCTTTTGGTGTAGAGTCTTCGGCGTATCCCTAGCCAAAATAATCCCTTGGAGTACTCCTGCGTCCATCTTATCTATTTATCGTCAACGACTCCCGTATTGAAACGAAAACATCTGGCCGCCCTTCATTGACTGATATCGAAATCGGTGCAGGAAAGACATTGGGATGCGTCGTTTGTTGGTAGCTACTTACGTACCCACCACTTTGTCGTGTGTCGTGTATCCTTCAATTCTATACTGCGCTACTCACAAAAGTAAGATAGACAGGCGCCTGGCTTTTCGTATTTTTGTATAAGAGGCGCGTGATACAGCGAAGGACCGTCTGTGTACAATTCATGGGCCTGGACTCTGGCACCTGGGTTAGGTGCTCAAGGTAGTTAGTTCTTGGGGGTCAGAGAGTGCAGAGATATGGTAGTATTTGTTGGTATATATGCTCAGGAATAGATGGAATCAGACATCGATCGGGTATCATTACTCGCTATCAGAGCTACTCGCCTCCTCGCCATCGTCCACACCCTCATAATCCTCGATATTCTCATCTGCTGCCCCCTCCATCTTCGGCAACATGACAAACGCTTTGAGGCATGTGATTCGATTCGTAGTCTCGTATGTTCCTAGTAACTTTCCAATCTGCCTTGTGTTTCCGCTATGTGCTGCCAGGTCCCTGACTGACAATCTCCATAGCCGCAGAGCGCCATCGCTGCCGCCTGTTACGATTATGAACCCCTTCGATGCTTTATCTCCGATGGTCAAGACTGTAAAGTCCTTGATGCGGCCGGTGAGCTTTACGTCCTTGCCGCCGAGCTGGGCGAGCAGTTTCGCGGAAGGTAATGGCGCCTCCTTGCCTTCCGCCAGAGATGCTGTGACGAGATCCGCGGGTCGGGTCGAGTAAAATAATATCCTTCCATCTTCTGTCGAGACGGCCAAAACTTGGATATCCTCCTCTTCATGCACCCGGATGTAGCACAGCTCATGTATCTTCGTCTTCGCTTCCGGCGTAACCTTGCATTTTGGCTTGCTATCCATCCCAAAGATCAAAGCACCCCGCTCAAATCCAACACAGAATTCTTCTCCAGCATCCGTCGAGCCCCAAGCGACTTTCCGGCCCTCTCCGCTGCTATGTTTACCCTCTCCTGCCTCGACCAACATTGACCTGTCGAAATTCAACACTCCCGCCTTCTTTCCCGTGACCAAATTCCACAGCCGCATGGATTTTTCTCCCTTCCCCACAGATATCATCAATTTCATTGAAGGATGCACTGCGAAGTCATTAACACCACTCGGCACACCCCCTAACGGCGCCGTATCCCCACTCGGTCTCCCAACGGGTTTCGGTATCGGCGCCTTGATGGTAGACAACAGCGTCCAATCCCTGGTGCGTGTCACCGCAATCGTACTGTCCTCCGCCGAACTCAGCAGCTTACTCCGGTTCGGGAAGTACAGCGCAGTGATTGTACTCGAATGGTGCAGTAGCGAGCCCAAGGAGCGGTTCTGCGGGTTCTCGACCACGGCTTTGGTCTTGAACCCTTTGAGCTCGGGGACGGTGATGTGCGAGGGGGCATGAGCCGAGAGGTGGTACAGATTTATGCGCTCGTCGGTGCTGCCGCTCGCGAGGATGATCTTCTGGGTCTGTTTGGGGACGGGTGCGGACACAGGAGAGAGTGCCAGACAGCGGATTGCGGTAGTGTGGGCGTTGAAGAGGAAGGTATCTGCGAACTGGGCTTCATCGGTAGAGGAGATGGTCGCCGTGACCCCGTGGAGGACTCGGTCGTAGGACCCCGCGACGATCTGGATGGTGATGGGCTCTTGGGTGGTAGAGGGAGAGGGAGCTGGCTTGGGGGCTGGTTTGATTCTTTTGGCAGAAGCTGCTACCTTACTGGCGGCGGCATTGTGCTCGGCGGTGAGGTTTTGCGTGCGCTTTCGTTTCGCCATGTTGTGGTATATGTTTGATATGTAGTTGTGGTTGTGGTGGTGGTGGTGGTGGTGGTGGTGGTAGTTCTGATGCTGAAGAAAATGTTCCCAAATCCAGTACTTTTTTTATGGAGAAGCGGCCGCGTCCAGGGTCACGTGATAACCAGCATAATAACACAGCATGGCACCCAGCCACGTCTCCCAATCAATCCTCAGCCTCTCTCATCGCAAGCTGATCGGATTTGCGGAAAATATCTTGTCGCCAGTAGTACTACTCTATTGCGCAGGAGTCACGTTTCTGAGGCGAATCAGAAAATTCGAAGGGCGGGATGACGAGATCACTTGGGTAGAGGCGTTACGCAGTATAAATATATAGAGGGAGGTGAGTTATAGGTAGATGGGCAGCTACCTAGGTACTATGAGCGACATCGGTTAAGACTCTACAGCATCGTTCGTTTTACGGATATACCGCTATGGTGTACCTACAGAGAGAGAGACTTAGATTGCCATATGGAAAAGTATGGAACGATAGATTGTTGTGAACGGAATTTTTCATACTTGGCTAGCATAGCACCACTCTATATCTTTCGGCTAGCTGGAGAAAAATGTATTTATTGGTGTATGTATTACGCCCAATTGACAGAATACTTTCTCGAGACCGCTAATACGCTACTCGTCGGCTGACCGTAGTGGACGGTCCTATTTGGACTATTTGTTTTCTTAGTTTGGAGCGCTCCTGAGATACTACTATCTATCAAGCGCAACTCGACACCAAGGATATCTTTCGGACTACCAAGTCTTTCTTCCCCTGCATAACTAGAAATATCAGACGGTTCTTTTAACGCCAAGCTCAGATTAGATTTGTCTTAGCTTAGTCTTTACTAGCAGAGGTATTAGGAGAAGAGAGGGGACTCAGGTACCGCCTCTATGGGTGGAGTGTGGTCTGGTAACTATTTCTAGTCGTAGAACTACGGAATAATTAAGATGGGAAAAGCACATGGCTTTCAACCGCTCCCGTTCGCTTAAATAGGGGGAAGGACAATTAAGCGAAGACGGACCCAGGTCCAGCCTCGAGCGCGTTTGGCTCCCTTTTTTGATGTGCCACGTGGAGTTCGGAGGTGTCAAGAATTTATATGCTGCTCATCGAACTTTCTCCTTAATCATCAAATCATTTCTTGCACTCAAGCAAAATAAGCATGTTATGGCAGAATAGTGTGACATCGCTCGCGTCGACAAATCACGCTTGAAAATGTTCACCGGCCGGTACAAGTTAGTGATGTGGGTTTGGGCTAGAAACTGCGACCAAATTGATCTCTTAAGCAGAGTGCTCCTCGCGCTGAAATAAGTCCTAGTACTGTATCGCAAGCTCTTTCCCACATCAACTAAGTAAACTGCTAGATATTGAATCCATCTAAATCTACCAGGAAGCTGTGTATTTTTTTTCTTTTGCCATAGACTGCAACGTCACAGACGAGGATAAACGCCGGGCACCAGTATAAATCCATCAGCTTCTCGCCCAAATCACACATTCCTTGCAGCCAATACTCATTCCAACCACTCTTTTTCAAGCTTCTTCTCATCCTATCCAGATCATTAATCATACTTCAAAACACCGCAGTCATCGTTGCTTTTGCAGCAAGCTTGACCAACGCTTCCGTCCTCAACAGAAGAGCAGCCTATTGCCAAAGTCAGGCCGGTACGTATTTTGCGAGCCCATCCATCTCTCCAGCCCTCATCATTAATCTTTGGTGACAAACTTCTTTCTCTGTTTAAAACACTCTAATGGACCAAGACTGTTGACAACCCCATTCTCTAGACACTTGCCGTGCCGAGCCAGATGCAAACAAGACCATTGTATAATTTGATGCCCTGTCCCTTCCTATCGTCATGCCGCAAATGCTCTGTTATCTTTTCTGAAATTCCTTGTCCACTCAGCTAACATCTGCAAGTGTGCTATCGTGTTCGTCGCTTGCGTGGGACCCAGTTTTTTCGTCCCCAGGAGACCACCTCAACCAGCTCCGTTGCACCCAGCATTACTGCTGCAGCAGTTGATTGCGACGCTCAAGCCAACGAGTGCCATACCGTGCCAGGTGCCAAAAAAGCAGTGGTGAGTAAATAGATGCCTGGCGATTTGCGAGTCTTCTTACATAGCGAAGACAGAAAGGCTAATGATGTTCTAGTGCTCGGCCCCATATGCCCTCTTGCTTGGGTTACGTCCATACAACGGGCAAATTCAAGATAGTTACTATGGTCACCACACTACTTCTACCAGCTCTCACCGCACTACCTCGACCAGCTCTGCTGCACCCAGCATTACTGCTCCCGTGAGTAGATTCCCTCTCAGTCTTTCTAACTTTCATTATACATATAGAGCGAAAGATCCCCCCCTAAGAAAAAGATCCAGAAAAAAAAATCACTAATGATATTCTAGTGCTCGGCCCACCTTTCTTGCCTAAGTTTCAACCCAGAGACCTCTTCGCCCAGCACCAGCACCAGCATCACCACTCCCAGCAACCCCTCCACCATCACCACCACCTCTGCCGGCCCTGTGCTCTACACCGGCGCGGCCTCCATAAGCGCTACAGCCTACGGCATTCTGGCCCTCGCCTACGGAGCCGCTGCCCTCTGGTAATAAAGAAGATGGTAATCATAGCCCCCAACCCCGAGCTCGCCCCTCACGGCGATATCAAAAAAAAATTGTGTTTATACTCAAAGGAGGACGCGGGCTACAACCTTCAATGCCTTGGAAGGCTGTCGGTACGTTACAGGATAAAGACCTTTGGTCAGATTGGACTATATTACAGTGTGGTACTCTCCCAGAGCTATGAGTCCTCAGCAGCGATCGATTGCTTGGAAGTCATTTTCCCCACCCGCCATCCCTGGCCACACTTCATGTATTCAGAATGGCCTTAATTAGGAGCGGTAGGCTTCTTTCAGCTTAGCTCAATTTTCTGACAGCTGGCTTCTTAGGCAAGCTACAACTAGCTGCTTCCAAGAAGCTTGCTAGCCAGCTCACATCACATCAATCAAAGTTCAAGGGCGCCTGTCAGCCAAAACTCATATGTTTTCACCTTTCCTTCCTTCTTCCAAGCAGCCGAATTTGAAGATTTAAATATATTAGAGTAATGGGGAGTCGATAAAATTCATATGAGAGCGCAAACAACGTGATATTATATGTGTCCATCTCTCCCATCTTCTTGTACATGTAACTAGGCTTCAGACCTGAGATCTTCATTCTCGTATACATACACTTACTTGACAGCAAGTGGAATAGAAGTACTTATCAGTAGTAGGTATCTATACATGAATTTCGCATAGATTATAACGATTATGAATTTTGAGTGAAAAAAAACCGCTAATAATTGAATCGATGTTGAAAATCAAAGGCCGGGGATTTGGTAATTCATTTGAGCTGTCTGCAGTCAGGCTGGCATAACGCAAGCTGCGGGTCTGGGTTTTCTAGCTTACTAGCTTCTTTTGAATTTCCTCGGACAAAGTATATTCACCACAGTAATTTTCCGTCTCTTCTTTTCTTGTGCCCGGCCGCATCCTTTTAGCACATGTCCTTTACCGTTGCAACTTGGTAATGACCAGCTGCTACATATTCCTTCAAAGGATATAAGAGGTTCAAAGGTTGGAAGCCTAGAAGAGGTTATTACGAGCGAGCAAGCGTACTCAGAAGGGCGTTTAGTTTCCTCCGACTCCGGCTCGCGGCTCGTATCTTATACCAGAGAAACCTAAGCAGCAGGGCCAAAATTATCAAGGGCAGAGTATCGACAGCGCAAGATATTTGGAACACGGCAATACAATAGGAAGGGCCGAAATCTCATCTTCGATCAAAAAATTTGCGAGAGCGATGTGTATATAAATCAGCGCCAGAGAACGAGCCTTGAGCCCTTTCGACGAGACTCTGAAAGAGCAGTTACGGAGGTGAGTGAGTGACCTGGAATAAAAAATGCATAAACAAACGCTCATTTCACACCAAAGTTTGTCTATTTGAGAGCTTCTTCTACTTTTTACAATCATAAGCTTTAAAAGATAAATAAAAATTATGAACCTATCAGTAAATACGAATAGCTTAGAACTGTAAGACCATTTTATTCTACATCGTTATTTAATGTAGTCAACTAAAGCAGAAAGTATAGAAATTAGGCTTTCGCTTAGTAATTAGAGTTGACCCCGCAAAGTTTGGAAAGGATAAGGAAAGAAAAAAAGACGGGAAGGAGAGGCGGTGCGTGGGGGTTTCAGCTCTTATCTTATGCAACTAGGTAGTAGTTCTATTAAATAAGCAGGTTTAAGCTTAATTATCCAATTAATTAGCTCTTTGAAGGTGGGAACAATGAACTCTGGCTAATATAGATTTTTTTCGAAGTAATGATTACCTTAAAAGGGAATGCAGGAGCTTTTAAACGGTTAGCTGATCGTCTGATAACCATTTCTTTTTTAAGGACGATTTTAACAGGTTGGCATAGCTAGTGGATCACCTTAGGCCGATACTTAGAATCAAGTAGAAGTTAAAAACAAACGATTTGAATTATTTACATCGTAGTTAAAATGGAATCACTTTATTTAATTAAATCGTCTTTTTTAAATGCTCGTCTTTTCGTATAAAAACTGTCTTAAGACCGTTTTCGAGCGTTTTAGCACCGTCTTATGGCCGTCTTAAGTCCGTCCTCGAGCTTAAAACCGTCTCGGAGAACCTGAATTGATAAGCAAATAATCTTTCTATTACTTGCTAGTCTACCTTTTACTACTTATACCACCTTTTAATCATATTACTCCTTAAGAAAGCGAAAGAAGCGCGTTGTCGCGAGTAAACTTTTGCTAAATCGATCGATTCCGATTATAAAAAATTGAAAGCGTTGATATATAAGCCGTAGCAGCGATACCGAGGAATATCTGAGCATCGAATTTATTAAATTATTATTAAAACGATTCCATTAAAGAAATGATTTTTATTTACAACTATATCTTCTTTAAAATAGTTGTCGAATTACTTCAATTTTTTAAAACGAACTTATTAATAAGCTTGTTTTAGAAATATGGACGAAGATAGCTATAAAACGGCTATAAATTGGTCTCTTTTAATAGGACGGTCTTTTCGGTAAACTATTCTTGAAAAGAGCTTAATACTGAATTTAAGCGATCCAATGGCCGTCTCTTATTAAAGAGGATCAGAGGACCATTTAAATGACCCCCTACTACCCTTTAAGGTAATTAACACTTAGCTTTGGTGCGAAAGAGGTGTTCATGCATTATAATATATAATATAATGTTTTTTAATATGATGTTGACTTAAATGTGGATCCTGTAAACTATTAAAAATGCGATCATCTGACCTACGGCCGTTACGTTGATTGGGTGCATCCATGTAAGCTTAGGCTATCGAAGAATACTGAAAACCTGAGTGTTCGCTCATTAGTAAGAAAAAAGGGGATCTTGCGGGTTTAATAAGCTAGATTTGCACTCTTGCAATTGAAATCCACCTTGTAAGGTGAAGAATTACGATTATAAACTCTTTTCTTCTCGAATACGTGATTAATAGCTAATTAATAAGAAGAAGAGAAATGCTCGAAAAACTGCTTGCTGCATTGCCCTAAGAAGGACCTTATTGCTTGCTATAGATAAGATGCTCGAAGGACAGCTGGCTGCATCGGGCTGAAAGGGGCTACTGCTATACATTAAATACTAGAAAAATAGCTGCTTGCACCGGGCTGAAAAAAGCTAATGCTATAGATTGAGCGTTTAAAAGATAGCTGGCTGCATCGCGCTAAAAGAAGCTATTATTATTACTTAAATAGCTACAAATATTATACCACGAAATCCCGAAACTTACTCCGGAGCTTGCGAAGTGCCGTAAGATTTAACTTGCGGAAAGTATAAGTCACGTGAAGGAAAAGCTTTTTTCAAACAGCCTCGGTTTTTGAATCCCGAGGTATCGCATAACCGTCGGTTAACTTGAACTTTATTCAAAATATAGCAGATCGGCACTACTAAGGCGGCATAGTAAAATTTGCTCCTTTATAATGGATAGAAAATTAACCAGCTATTATATCATAATTATTCTTATACGGAAAGATGCACCGTATTAATTTTTATATTGTTTAATTAATCGGATTTTAATCACAAATTGTTATTCTTTCATTATGCTAATTTAAAGTAATAAAAGTGGTACTTTTGATATGCTGTTATTGTACTTTTCGACCTTATTAGTGCGTATATATCAGAATTGCTGTGTAAATATTAGAACAAGCTAGAAACACGAAAATTCAAAAGAATACGTGTATCATTATCGATTTTTATTCAATAGTTAATAGTTTCGTGATTCAATCTATTTGATTATTTATTTTCGATCTATAAGAAGCTTTTTTTATAAGGTTGTAGTTGTTAATATATTCGAAGCAAACAAATGAAATGGAATCATTTAGGACAGTTTTTAGCTATATTTTCACTACATTCTAATGTATTAGGTCATCACGAACAAATGCATCTTTATATTCTTAATTCACGATGGTGAAGCAAAGCTCTCTTAGCATATGAAGTTTTTTTTTTTTCTTATTTGTATTAATAGTTGTTGTTTAATAAGTGGTATACCGTTACTGTCCCGCCTTAGTGGGTATCCCGCCTTGGTGGGTACCCCGCCTTGGTGGGTATCCCGCCTTAATGGGTGTCCCGCCCTGGTGGTGCCGACCTGGCGCAGCCATATCGGGATTTTTGACAAATTAAATTCAAGGTAACCGACGATTAACCCTTATAACTTTTAAAAGCAATTCAACTTAATACAGCGCAACTATTATCGATTGTGCTTTCTTTTACGAATAAAATAGATTGCTTAAAATATATATTTTTACCGAAAGAAAAACTTGAAAAGCAAGTTATAACGTAAGTAATATATATCTGTATCGATTATCGAAATAATTCGAAGCCGGACTAGAATTGGTTACGTAGCTTTTCGAAAGCGTACTATCGTCGATTGTTTTAGACCCTCTCTTATTTCTTTTACCTCGTTCCTTTTTTATCGCAAATCTTTTTAGTATTTTCAATCGCTATGTCCGTTAAATATAAAACGTAGTCGGCGTAAAAATCGAAGTAAAAAAAAGCTCGTTCGGATCGCTAATAAAACGAAATCTTTCCGAAAGGCTACCTTGATTCAATTCCGGCTTTCTAAACTTTCTTCTCCGAAGAAAAGAAAGCTAAAAGTTCGTAAGGAGCAGCTCGTATACTTTAGGTAAAGAATCGTAGCCCCTTTAGCGTTAATACTCCGGAAGGCAACCTTATACTACGACCGAGAAATACCAAAACTTGACTAATCGCTTACTAATAAGGAAAAAAGGAATCTTGCGGGTTTAATAAGCTAGATGTGCATTTTGCAATCGAAATCTATCTTTTGCGATTAAAAACTACGATTATAAACTCTTTTTTTTTTTCGAATACTTGATTAATAGCTAATTAATAATAAAAAGAGAAATGCTCGAAAAACTGCTTGCTGCATCGTTTTAAGAAGGGCTATTGCTATAGATAAAATGCATCGCGCTAAAAGAAGCTATTATCATAGATTATATAGCAACGAATATTGCACCGCGAAGTCCGGAAAACCTACCTCGGAGCTTGCGAAGGACCTTACGTCTTTGCGGCCGGGCTGAAGCGTTACATTTTTTTTTTATCCTTTTAAAGCGTATTTTTATAGAAAATTGATGTAGCGTTAATGCTGAAGGCAGCCTTGCACCACGACCGGGGCAGACCTTGTACTGTACGTAATAAAACCGTTATATACACCAACTACAAGTTACAGCGAGGCTCTAATCATCGGGGGGGCAGCGGATATGCTCTCGAACAAATCCTCGAATTGCTCCTCCGCAATTTTCACAACATCGACCATGTAAGTCATCCTTTGAACGTCTTTATCCATCCATTTATCCGGCGATCGTACCCCCTTCCCACCGTTCTCCCTCGCCTCTCTGAACTGCCTATCGCGCTCCTCCTTAATGGCACCATTCCCAAAGAGTACCCTCGAATTCGCCGCCGCGAGCTCCACTAGCGTCTCCGCTCTCTCCTTCCTGATCATTTCGTAGACCCTTAAAGTCTTGTTGATTGCCGCAGGCGAGGCATCGGGGAGCTTTCCGAGCAGTTTCCCAAGCACGGCAGCATCCTCGATGGCTTGTGCTGCACCCTGGGCGAGATGAGGAAGCGTAGGATGACATGCATCACCTACCAGAGCGACAGACCCATTGATCCAAGTTGGCAGCGGCGCGTGCACCCGCAACTTCCACTCACAGACCTCCCCATCCGGCACCAGATTCAACATGCGCTGGATCTTCGGACAGAAATCCGCAAACACCCCCAGCATGGCTCCCTTATCGCCCTTGGTTGTGTATGTCTCGCTCGGCGCGGCCGCAAAGTGAACGTCCGGTTGCGTCGTGGCGATATTGTAAATAGTGTTGTTAGCGATGGGATAAGCGATCACTTGGCGCTTCTCGCCAATCCACCGGACAACACGTTCGCTGTCGATAAGCTCTAAGAGTTCCGGATCGTCGAGGAGCTGGTCGCGGTTGATCATGATGCGATAAGCGGCCTGATCAGTGTCGATGATGGTGGCATTAATGTTCAGGGCCTGCAGCATATCCCTCCGCGTGGCGGACTTGACGCCATCGCATGCTAGCAGAATATCGCACTCAACGTTGTAGGGCTCGCCGCCACTTGGAAGTGCTGTAAATGATACATTTGGTGACCACGAGTTGACTTTCACCAGGGACGTTGAGAAGTGGAATTGAATGCCCTTCTCCGCCTGGCATCCAGCTTTAAGACCGGCGGCTAGCGAGGATCGATGGCCGACCATATGCGGGTACCCGTACTCCTCGTACACGTAGCCGAGCTCTACGTGTGATAGTTCATCATCACTTGCCCCATCTTACCGTTGAGATCAGCAAATACACTTGAGATATCGCAATCGAGTTGACTCTTCCAAACTCACCTCGTATACTCGTCTCACTACACCGCACAGCATCTTTCGCGATTGACTCCCAGACTCCCAATCGATCGAGGATCCGCGCCATGTTAGGCGCAAGTTGGATCCCAGCACCGACGAAGCCAAGGTCTGATGCTCTCTCGAAGACATGAATGTCCTCAAATCCCTCCTTTGCTAACGCCAATGCAGATGCCAGGCCTCCCATACCTGTGTAGATAAGTGAGTCTGACAGTCGAAGATGCTCATAGGGTTTGACTACATACCGGCCCCAATAATGCATATTTTCAGCGACTTCGTGATGTTTGTCGCCATCTTGAGGTATTGTTTCCGCGAGAGGTCAATGATCAACGGTCAGAACGTTTCTTCTTTTTGTTGGCAAAGGTTATTGTGAAGTTGCTCCAGGCGGAGGAGGAATATAATATACATAACAGATGAATGGATCCGGGCTTTGACCAGAGTCTTTCGTATTTCGGTCTAGACGGTATTCGCTCGAGCATTACGAAAAGTCAGTTGTAAGGGGGAAGTTGAAACGCGGGATTTGAAATACGAATTCTACGGTCAGATTTTCTATTTTAATTGATTGTTTACGTTTCGGATTCAAAGGTAATCGCCTGGGCCGGCTTTCCCCTTACCTCCCCTCGTGGGGGCCTGTCCGATTGAAGTGTCCGATTGCCTCAAGTATTTCCAGGCTCATCGGCTAATAGCGAGGTGACCCACCTATTCAGCCGTAATTCGGATCTCCAACCAATATCTTTTTGAAATATATTGAAGATTTCAATATCTACGGTACGTCTGATAAATTAAAACAAATATATTCAATATATTGTAATAACTCTAAACAACTATGATCATATAAAGGAAGGAAGGTTTGAAGTGAGTAGTTAATTAATCATCAATTATCAAATCAAACATTGGATCATAAATGTTCTTTTGGCTGAAATCCACGTTTGGCTGAACCTCCTGATTAAGTCAAATTAGGTGAAAATGGCAGGCCGCCTCACGATTTTCGTATCAACACCGACTTTATTGATCGTGAACGCGCTTGATTGAAGCTTCTGCGAATGGACCTCGCTTCAGTGTATACTCACTCACCTCACCTCGATTATAGTACTAGAGTTGCTTGCAATAGAAACAAAGGCTGGTGGTACGCAAGCAGAGCACGGGATAGATGGAAGAGAGGGTTTTTTTTATTAACTTAGAGCCTGGTTTAGGGTGGAATTTAAATGCTGATCTTCATGCTCTTTTAGAATTTAACAATGCTACGAGTTTCAGGTTAGAAATATACTACGGCATCTCATAACCCTAAATTTATTAATATACATGCACTAACATGATTTAAGTCTTTCGGCAATCAAGATAAGCGCTATCTAGCGCTAATTTTGATTGCCGATGCTTTTACTTTCTGTTCTTGAATACCTCAAGCAATCGGACACTTCCAAAAATCGGGCCTTCGAACGGACCTAAGAGGATGGGGCAAGGGTAGGGCGGCTCCGGCGATTAGATGATTTTATGCTGGTTCTCCTCCATCAGAGACAAGTTTCAGAGGAGGCGAGTTGGCTTTTTGCTCAGCTAGCTCCGATTCAAGGCCCACTCTGCTATACGAGAATGGACGGGCAACCTGGAAACAAAGGAGTTTTGAAGCCAAGGTGTCTTTAAGTCAAGTCAAAGCTTACTGTGCTATACGAGAATGAACAAGCAATATAAATGAGAGATTTTCACAGCCGAGTTATTCTATTACTTACTAATCGTGGGTTCAGCTTACCCCTATACCACCAACCTATCTTTCGTATACTTTAGAGTCGGTTTAGATGAAAAGTCGTTTGGAAATGATTATGCGCTAGCTCTTTTTGCACGATAGAGTTTTATTTATATAGGCTGCTACTCTTCCCCCGTATGAATACATGTCGAAAGCATAATTTTGCAAGGGATTTTACCAGGTCTTAAACCGATCAACTTATACTCTGTAAGGATTCATTCAGCCTTGAAAAGTATCTCTGAGCCAGTATTTAGTCTGTGTAATGGAGTTGACAGGGCTTTAAGCCATTCAGAGAAATAACCGCTCTACGACTTACGGACTTCAACTGGGTCCGACATTGATTCATAGGGCCTTCAAGGATAGTAACAGAGCCTGTAAAGAAATGTCTCAAGCAACGGATGATGTTGCCGATATCAAATCAAGTAAACAGCTGATTTTCGGGTAACCCGATCATCCTGTCCGTCCATACCGTTTTGTAATTCCGTAATGTCTCAAGACTCGGACTCGACTACTCTCCTGCCTGATCTCCATTGTCTATCCCACCACACCACCACACCACCACGCAAGCATCGTTGGGAGGAAGCTCACTACGACGATCGGCGCAGCTGCCGCCCCTACGATGGCCGCGATACTTACAGATACACTTGCGAACATCGATGGACACCTGAGATAGATTTGCATCAAGCTAGCCCTCAGTATCCACAAGATCGAGCAACAACGTATACCAGGAAGGCCCCATAAACGCCCATATTTGTCTGTCAAAGGTTATAAAGGCCCTATTACTAGCCGATTTGTCCGGATAACTATTAATAGCATACGTGACCAGGACACTTGTAGCGCCCCGGTTGCCGGCGCCAGCACTAGCAATTCCCATCACCGGCGTGGCAGGTATTCCAATGGCGCTCCGCTGAACGATCAGTCTGCACCAAGAATATTACAACACCGACGATCGTGAGCATAAAACCTTATTAGCTGAGCCAGAGCCTGGACTCCGGCGCCGGAATCGATTTTCATGCCCGACGCTTCATCCAGTAACCTGGCAGTCGTCCTCCCAGCTGTCATCCCATGAATAGGAATGATAATGAGACCGAGGAACTAAACTCCGAGTGGTTGGGAATCGAGCTCAAACTTCTCGCCAAAGAGCTGGCGGCAGTCCAGCGCTCGGGAGATCGCCGTCGATCAGGAATATCATGGCGTAAGCAACGGCAAGGATGAGAATACAAGCTTTCGTGATGAGGAGCAATGAGTGATAGAAATCCCACAAGACTAAAGGAATCGGATCAATCCGACTGAAAGTCATGTATTCTTGCTTGAAGTCGGAACTATAACGTTCGATGCCAGTTTGCATGTAACGAGACTCGGAGCCACTGCGCGTCGTTGATCTGGCTTGAGTCTCTGGTTGGCATAGGCCGCTACGAACAAGGGGCTGCAGTAACTGTAGTTAGGATCTGGTAAATCCAGTGGTATCCAACAGCATTTGCTACGAACCCAAAGACCAACGGTGCAAAGAGGACACCCAGAGTCAGCAACAGAGTCCAAACTCTTATTTCATCGGCTCGCTCTCTCTCTCTGTGGCAACAACACTAACAATGGTGCTAGCAGGGCAAATGAAACTGCAACGAGAGCGCGGCACCGAGCCATCGTCGCATAAAGACTCGTGGCGCATCTGAGGTTGCCAATCAGACTAAGAATGGGTGAAGTGAGAATATCGGTCGTCGGCCACAAACAAGTCTTTGAGAGAGGTTTCCAGATGAGAGGCGCAACGCCAAGTATGGCGATTTGGATAGATGTTAAGTATGTAGCTGTTTGAAAGGAGACCCAAAGATCTTTTGCGATAGTCTCGTATGCTGGAATGATGGCGGCTGCGGTAGTGAAAGTCGACATGCAGGCGTAGACGGTGACGAGAATCATGTTTGTAGCTTTCTAGTTTTTACTAGAGTATTCTCCCGGATTTCTACGAATCTTTGGGGCAGCTTGTGCCTTTCGTTGCGACCAGTTGTGAGGGTCGTATTGCCCATATTGGGGATAGGATCCAGATCGGCTATTCCATGTCGGTCGGTTAGGAGTTGGCAACTTTCTGGTGATAATGAGAAAGGTGCATTATTGGTTAAGGTGGTTCGGGTTGCTGCTTGATCAAGGTCCTCAACGAGTTCGCTATTCCTCTTCTCCGAGACTTGATCGCTCGACTCGGGTTTGAGCCGGAAAAGTCGCGGCCTGATGCCCCCATCGCTAGTCATCAACCTTCCTCCTCCGAGACTTGAGCGTAGCTCATCAATTGTTTACTAGAGCTCATCCATAGTTCGCGTAAAACTCCACCTTTATCAAGAACACCCCCTTATGTTTACTATAAGCACACGAACTACTTTTCATATAGCAATCGTATTACCTACTAATTTAGTTATTATTTTAAAGGATTCTAATGAACAGATCAATAGTTGTAATAATTGAATATGCATTGCGTATGGGGCGTCGATAATAATAAAAGGTTAAAGTTTAGATTTGAAAATTTACGCGAACTATGGATGAGCTCTAGTATATAATGGATGAGGTCATTCCTTCTCTGGTACTCCTCTCAGCGGAAAGTCTTTTTCTCCTTTGCAAAAGCTCCAGTTCGGAGCTCCAAACTTGAAAAGCTAAAAGAAGAAGCCCCTAGCAAGATTGTGGACGAGGCTAGCATTAGGTATTCCCCAACTCCCGCCCACTTCTCCGCCGGTATTTTCATATACCACGGTACAGGCCTAAGTATTACCACTCGAGGGTGCCTCCGAAGTCGAGTTTCCACTTTAAACCCCTGGTTACCCTACCCTCGAGGGATAATACTTACGCCTGGAACGTAGTAAGAGCCGAAGGTCCAGAAGTTTCGCCTCCCGGACAAGCGTTCTAGAACAAGCCTTCAATGTGTCAAGCTTTCGGAGACGGGAGTGGCTGGAACGCCAAGTTCATCTTCGACCCGTGCCTAATCCTACTTAGTCTTTGCCAGACTGACATTTGTGTCAATCCCCGTAGGGAATCCGCAGTAGGTCTCCACAGCCCTCTCGCAGGGCTAGACTACAGTTTAGAGTTATTATAGGATTCAAAGAATCGTGGATTAGTACGGAACTTTCCTGTAATAATGGAAAACCCGTTGCCTGATAAACGTAAAAAGAAGCCCAGATACGTAAATACACGCTTCTCGGTAGAATAAATAGCATTTGGATGCAACGAGTTGCCGCTGACTTTACAATCCGAAGCTTTCCTACGGAGAACCCGCGCAGCCGGTAAATTTTTTCGGCAAGATCAGCAGCTACTGCGAGAGCAAAAGATAGAAGTAAATATTTATCCCTACTGCTTTTGCGAACGGGGGATAAACATGCCATTAGCAATTATGAAGAGAATCAGAAACATAAAGGTGCGCGATCAATAATCAGCACCGGGTGGAATATGGGAAGTTATCTTTGAAACAATCAAGTCGTTGATAAGTAGATGATGGCTGCCAAATGTCGGTGCGCTGTTTCTAGAAGCCGGGATATCGCTTCACTAAGTAAACACTGACCAGATAGATTGAGGAGGTCTGAATGAACAGCTTTCGGGGGCTTTAGAGCACTCGTGCGACGCACCGCACGATCTTTGTTGGGCCATGATTTGGAACGTAGCATAAATCTGGGTTTTAACTTAGCTCCTCGGTGCCTCTGGATTCGCTAATCGTCGGCTCGCTTAAATGGGCCTTCTTACTACGTCGCAGGCGTAAGTACTACGTCGCAGGCGTAAGTATTACCCCTCGAGGGTAGGGAAAACAGGGGGTTTAAAGTGGAAACCAAACTTTTAAGGCACCCTCGAGGGGTAATACTTAGGCCTGTACCGTGGTATTACCCCTCGAGGGTAGGGAAAACAGGGGGTTTAAAGTGGAAACTAAACTTTTAAGGCACCCTCGAGGGGTAATACTTAGGCTTGTACCATGGTACATCCTTTCAATCTTAGTCGGCGTAAGCGATTGCGGATCGGAACGAATGCGGATTTTTCGTATATATTGGAAAAAATTTTATGTTATACTTTAATGAAATATCTGACCATCGATTATTATTTTCATTAAAATCCGATTCATCTTTTACCTTACGCAATCAATCGTTTAAATCTTTATTATTCTCATCTCAGAATTGAAGCTATCGCTGTCGATATTAATATTAAAAAAATGGAAAAGTTTTTTCTTTGAAGAAAAGTCTTTAGTAGTATCGATTATAATTATGAAATCATCGTTACGGAGAAAAGATTTAAGTTAAAAGAAAGTTGGTATTAATCGTCGGCTCGCTTAGGTAGGCTTCCTTACATCCTTTCAATCTTAGTCGGCCTAACCGATTGCGGATCGGAAGCGAATGCGGATTTTTCGTATATATTAGAAATTCTTTTATAATATAGCAATTACTATTATAACCAAGAAATATTTATATAAATAATCAATCTAAGGGTATACTTTCTTCCGAAACATTTATAATCGTATTATCCGATAAAACATTTGATTATCGATCATTATTTTCATGAAAATCTGATTCGTCTTTTACTTTACGCAACGAATCGTTTGAATCTTTATTATTACTAGAAGCCATTTATCAGGAAAAGGAGAAATATCTTGCTTTAAAAATGGGTTTTTAATAATATCGATTGTAATTATTAAATCATCGTCATCGAAAGAAGGTTTAAGTTAAGAAAGAATTGTCGACGAACACTTTTTTTACGAGGCTGCAAAATTTAACGCTCAAAAGGTTTTCCAATTATCAAATCTCTTCCGAATTGAAAATTAAAATAAATATTGCATCGCCGTCTTTAATAATTAAGCTTGCAGCAAAGCGTTTCTATATAATCCTTTTACGCTCGCGCTTAGCTTTGCGTAAATCGATTTCTTTACGATATTTAGCATCTCTTTCTTTTCTCTAAAGCTTGTCGACGATTCGTCATTATTTTGCAGCAGACTCAAGATTTTTTTTAGCTTGCTGCTTAAAATTTTCACCGATTTAAGATATTAAGCTATCGATATAATAAAACCGTTTACATGCGTTTTCAGCCTTATAATTGATTATAAAATAAAATCAAGTTGTGCGATTATAAATCAAAAAGTAATATTGTAAATTGTATTTTGTATATAATAACTAGTTGTAAAATAGAAAAATCCGCATTCGCTTCCGATCCGCAATCGCTTACGCCGATTGAAATTGAAAGGATGTAAGGAGGCCCACTTAAGCGAGCCGACGATTACGGTACTGGCAGACCTTAGGTTCTAGGGATGGGTTGATTAGTTGAAGGATTAGTCAGCCGAGGCTAGCGGCCGGCCCACGGTACAAGACCTCTCAGCCCTCCTGTATTGTGGTTCTTTCCTTCCTCGTCTTTCTTTCGCCTTACATAGCGTGTGTTTGGTAGTACTACGATACTACTTTTACGAGCCGTAACAATTGGTCCACGAATCCCTTTTTTACGAGGCCGTATAACTTAACGCTTAACAAGTTATTGCAACTATTAAATCTCTTCCGAACCGAAAATTAAAATGAATATTAAACCGTCGTTTTTAATAATTAAGCTTATAGCAAAGCGTTTTCGTATAATCTTTTCACGCTCGCGCTCAGCTTTGCGTAAATCGATCCTTTTATAATTTTCAGCTTGTTAACGATTCGTTATTACTTTGCAGCAGATTTTAGATTTTCTTTAGCCTGCTGCTTAGCAGCAAGCTTTTTATTAAGTTAGGATGTTAAACTATCGGTGTAATAGAACCATGTGCGACTTTTATGCGCTTACTCAGGTCGCATATACGCGAGGCAGTTTTCTAAGTCTCTTAAGGATATTCGAATAAAAATATTATAGCGCGTTGAAAACGCGTCGCCAGATCTTCAATTGCATTAAGACTGCTTGATCAAGCGTATCTTTTATATTGAAAAATCTTTGAAAGCTTCTTCGAATGAAGGCATTTTCGGCTTATATTCATTTGGGAAATATAATTGAGTTATGCGATTGTAGATTAAGAGGTAATGTTATGAATTATATTTCATATATAAAAGATAGTAATAAAATAATAAAAATCGGCCTTCGCTTTCGATCCGCAATCGCTTACGCCGATTAAGATTGAAAGGATGTAAGGAGGCCTACCTGAGCGAGCCGACGGTTAATACGAGGTCAATACGGTCGTCCAGGCCGAGATAGAAAATATATATATATACATAGATATTTAAATTTTTTTAAAAAAATAAAAACCCCTTTACGTCATAAGGCGATGGGTATATGTGAGAATACTAAATCATGATAATGGTGTTAAATGCTAGAGATCGCTATAGTTTGATCCGTTGAAGGCATAGCAAAATGGAGAATCATACGATCGTATAGGATATGAGACAGACATTGGTGGATATTTACATGTTTTTTTCTGTCTAAGATCTAACAAGCTGGTAGGGGGCGGAAAATCTCCAGCCTCCAGGCAGGAAGCCTGCCCCGCGGCCCCCTATCGCAGCTTTCGCGAGGCGAGGCTCTCTGCCTTTCGCGTTGCTGGTCTCATCATTACCTCTCTGTAGTTACATCCCTTCTATCCGTCCACATTGTTTCCCTCGATTCGTCCAAATCCTTGCGCCGAAAAAAAAAAGGGTTTATAACTACAAGAATTTATAACTTCGAAGCTCGTGTCCCCCTTTATAGGTCATTATCACCAACGATTCGTCATAATAGGTAGACTCTGTGTCTCCCTCTAAAGTGTACCCTCGCCGATACATTTGTGCACTGGGTAGGTGGTGCTAGTGCAAATGCCGATTATTCCCTCAACCCAGGCGAGTCCACCGTATCCCTTGTCGGTATAGGTATCTGCCTGCCAGCTTTCACGCCGTTGAGCTCCTATGCATCCAACGTCGACGGATCCGGTGTAGCGGGTAGTCACTGGGTTAGAGACAACACCGGCGTAGATGCCCTCTGGCACAATAAAACGAAATTCGGAGGAGTAGGAAGTCGTCCATGTCTTTGTAAAACTAACCGTCAACGCTTAGAGGGGTTGCAGGTCAGTATTGGTTTTGTGTGTGTCTGTTGTTAATCGACACTTAGCCATGGAAAGGCCTTGAACAAGAAACTTACCAATTGAAAGTCCTTTAATAAGAAGTGAGGTTTCAAGAGTACCGGTAGCACCGAACGTGTTTGCGATGGAGTATCCTTCAGAAACTGCGAGGAAGGCGTCTGCGTATTCGGCGCGGAGGACCGAGGACATGGGAACGTCCGGACCAATGAATCTCAGGACTGGGCCGGGAGTGAAGACTACGTGCTCGGTGCATCCTGGGCTCACCGGAATTTGGTGTGACTCAGTGGTGTTACCCTCGTATCTCTTAGCAAGGATGTCAGCCGGCAAGGCGTCTGGGGCGGCGAGTAGGTCTTTTTGGGCTAAGTAATCGTCGAATTCGGCTCTCTTAATGACACTGGCCTTTCCTTGGCCGTAAACAATAACTTCGTCGTGAGCGAGAGTGCGCTTGACTTTGTGAGTGACGGGAGATGCTATGACCAGGCCAGCGACCATCAAAATAGAGAGGAGGCTCGACGTAAGCATCCTGAAAAAAACAATGAAAGCAATGAGTGGTTGAATGAGCGACTAAACAAGTTAAAGAGTGTTGGCATTCGAATAGAATGATGTTCGAAAAGACCGAGGGGGATGATTATGAGAATAAAAGGAGAGACGCGGAGGTATACATGTATATGGTAGCCGTCATCTTAGCTCTAATTATATACTCTCCGATTTCGAAGGAGATAAGAGCACGGGATGTTCTCAGCGAGGAATAGGATTGCGAAATTGAGCGGTGCCGGGACCCAATACTAACCTTCGCGGCAGGGGGATATCAGGGTTCCGCGTGATCCTCTTTGAAGACTTTGAAGATATCAGAGATTTGGCACAATAATCAGATGATCAGCATAAGAATTTTGAAAATTAAGCTAATAGGATCGCTTCGATAAGACTTGACAGGGCTCAGCCCCACGACACAGTGCGTTCCGAGTTCCCTGTGCTTTCCGGTCTCGCCGAACGGGAGCGGCTCGACAATCTGGTGGATCCCGTGAGCGAGCCGGGGGAAAACAAACCTTCGCTTAAGTCCCAGAATCGAGATTGTGTTACAAAAGAGCAATTTAACACGGCTCTGTGGAGAAGATATTCTTTGGTGGAGCTCAATCTCATGGGTGGGATTCGGTTCAAGCTTTTATGATAAGGCTTGATCGTTGCGTCCATTGTTTGGGGGTACTCTGGCTCAATACCACATGGCTTATTCGCTTGGGGGAATACGTACTCCGTAGGCGCAATTAAATTCGCGAACGCGGCCATCCCGACGGCTCGGGGGTGACCTTCTACACTTGGTAAAGATGATATACTACTAATACTGCAGCTGCTGTCCACGTTTTATCGTCTGAGATCTGGGATCTTCACAACCGCTTGACACAGACTTTTCCATCCAAAGACCTACACGATCAAGATGCAGCGCTCAGCTGTCTTTGTTATGCTCACTTTCGCAGCTGGCGTTCTCGGCGTCACCTTTCCCGACCCTTTTTTCCAGCATTTTGGCGAAAAATTCGAGGAGAAAAAAAAAGCGCATCCGTTCGGTCACCACCACAAAGAGCCGCCCGCCCCCCCTCAGCCCCCTATTATCCTAACGTATTTCAACGCTATCTGCACCGACGGTAACAGTGGCGAGGCGAGTGTACGAAAGATACCATCTTGACGGACTCAGGGCATCTTGCTAACCAAGCCCGTGCCCAGCTCGTCTACAACCATAACGCAACCGTCAACGCTTGTGAAGCCTACTCCAAACGCACAGAGGAAAACCCTTGCCCAAACTGCCAGATGGTAAGTCTCACCCTTCCTTACATAATAGTAGCTGCTTCAAGGCCTTGTTTACTCACTCTACTTCTTAGATCATGGATTGGCAGGGCATCCCCATGTGCCACTCCCAGTCCCAATGCATTAGAGAAGCCGAGGTAAGCCAGGACTGGGTCTCCATGATGTAGAGAATATACGTGCTAACATCACCAGATGACTGCCTACTGCCTGCAATTTGGTGCCAATTATGCTACTCTTTAAATGGTGATACCCGCTGCCGCGTAGATTTCTTTTCGTCCCGGAGGGGGGGTTAGATAGTTTCAATTTGGGATGCAGGGCAATTTAGGATCGGGCGGGCGTAATGGCTCATTTTGACAGCGCAAACCTTCAGGTTGAAACTTCAAAGATTTCTTATGGGGATCACGTCAGACCAGCAGATAATATATGATACAAATAATCTTCATGTTTTTCCCTTAAATTTATCCAGGAGTTACCAGGACTCGTTTCTCATGGTCCGAATATCAAGTGGCTGGGTGTTACCGGTATATATGTACCATGATCCTTCTAAGCGAGGCAGATCAAATCTGAAGGACGCAGGTACGAATCGGATAAAACGAAAGCCAGTAGTGCGTATTAGCAAGCAACACTCGTTTAGTTGGTCTGTCTATTAGTATCTAGCTATCCAAAAAGCACACACTCTCTGTTAACACCAACATGCACGAGCGGTATTCCCAGCCTTGTCTCTAATTCAAGGCCCGTCTGGCAAATTTTCTAAAAGCTGATCCGAAGGCCGAAGGTGCTTTCGCTTCCTTCCTAGATAGATCAACCTCGATCAGGAACGATAGGTTCTTGGGACCGACTTCGGAGATGTGATAGGAACTGTACAAGATAGGTAGTTCCAACCCATTTCCAAGGGCTCCATTTTTCAGACTTTAGATTATTGACTCTTGAGCAAACCTTATTTAAAGTCTTTAAAGCGGAAAAGCTTGGAAGCTTGGAAAATTTGCAATTCTCGGCATTACACATTCGATAAGTCAGCCGGCGAGCTCTTATAAGAGTTACACGACGAGATCTCATTCTAGAAACCAATCTCGAGGACAAGGCGAACATATTTTTTATACGACGCGAGTTACCCGAAGCCACCTCACCAACCTGATCCTGAGGCTGCAGTATCAATATTGCCATTAGTAGGCCGGAATGGCGCTGGATAGGGCAGCCTTCCCGAAACTAGTAGTATGTATCTGCTCCCATGCATCGATCTTCTTAGACTGGGCACTCGAGAGATTGCAACGCTTTGATGGCAGAAGTTCAAGTTGGACTCTGACGTTAGACTTTGGGATGAGTTTCGAGTCCCGACGTGGAGCGAATACCCTTGCTAGTTTTCGGCCCGACGAGGATACAGAGGGCAGGATCGAGTCGTACAGTCCGTAGTTGACAGTTATAAAAGCCCTATAAACTTTATTGCGTAGGCCAATTACTCGCGGCTCTTCTCCAAAAGCCGTTTTATTTTTCAGGGTTCATTGCGTAAACCTCTTGTTTAACGCTTCTCTCGTTACAACTACTACGTAATTTCACTTCCGCCTTGATCCTAAATAGGAAGAATGGTAGACACGAGGGACGCTGGATCCCACAGTACCGATTCCGCTCTCTCTCCTACATCAATGTCTCTTGCCAGCGGTTAGATAAATATACTGTAGAGCAACGTAGCAGATCTGCGCTCAACCACTCAATTTGATAAAGAATCCAGAAGCTGCGGAAAAGCTTGAATAGGGAGTATTTTTTTTACTGTTATATGTAGATTGTATCGTAGTTGTCGGCACAAAAAAAAAAAAAAAAAAAAAATTGTCGCCTTGCTTCGAGCATGGTGGCTGTGCCAGGAAGGATTCCGACGGTAGACGTATGTACTACGTAGCATGCTCCGGCAGAGCTCAGAGTGGCCCTTTGCAGGATTTGCAGGATGGATTCGCAGGTAAGATTTACAGGATTCAGCCTAAAGCAGAGCAGGCTTGCCCTTGTCTTCGGACTTAACGTCAAACGCTGAAACGAGATTAATTTCATAGCGCTATGACTCTATCAAGCTCAGCAGATTTGCTTATGTTGTACCTCGCAAGTCGCGGAATTTCTTAGATACGGCTTTAAACGCTCGTTTGAAGCTGAATAAACTCACCGATGATCTTGCATGAAAAAGCGGAAATTTAACGCTGATCATACCGCTCTGGAAAGAGAATATTATTGAGATCTACGACAGCCAATACACAGAAAAATACCTCTGAGAAAAACCTTATTTAGCAAGTCAGCTGATAATTCTATTGGAAAAGCGCTTGAGCTGGGAGTTTCCACGTCTAGCATCGGCGTCTCCGACCAAGTCACCGGCTCAGACAAGGTTGCTTCGTATTCTAGCTCGCACTACCCGATGATAACCGCATCATCCGCCGTGTTATATACATCCGCTATCAGCGCCACATCTGAATTTTGCCAGTAATCATGCAAATCACATTTACTTACCATCCTCCACTCCTCCTTCAATCGACTCAACGCCAGGTCAAGGATTTGTATAACGGACAGCAGCTGCTCGCCAACCACGGTCTCGGTAGGCAGAATCGAACCTTCCAAGATATCAAACAAACCATCGTAATGCTCGAAGATTTCTTGCTTGACGGTGCGCAGCGATGTCAAGAGGATGTTGCAGTGGGTGATTGATTTGGCCTGGGAGGCGAACAAGCGAGGAAGCTGGAGTAGGCGAGAGAATCGCTGCGGCTCCAACTCATGCAGCCCTTTGCGAAACCGGTTGAATCAATACTCATGAATCGGAATGCCTGTGACTGGCAACAAGCTAGCATTGTAACAATAAGCTTGAGTATGTTACTAATCAAGGTCCCCAGCACGCAACATTTTTATTAAAAACCAAAGCTAATCGTGATAAACGAACCTCTTAAAAAGAGTACCGCCCACGCCCCAGGTTTCTTAATGAATGACATCTATGCCGCGTGGAGTATCAGCACCGAAGCCAAAATTGGTATCGAATCAAAAATTGAGACCCGAGTGGACTTAGTCATGGATACTGGGCACCTACTCACTGGCTCTCGATCTTGCCGAAGGACCTGAAAGCATCCCTTCCCTATGATGGGATCAGATTAAGCACAGAATTAACGCAGACGATGAATCGACCCATTGCTGGAAAGCAAGATATGGGGTATCACACAGCACATTATCCATCCGCCGCCGATGCAAGATAAGTAAATTTGAAAACTATGAAGTCTTAAGCTACTTCCAGCCGTATGCCAAGTCAGCTGATGCATCTGATCTGACACCAGTTTTCCTCCAATGGTCAAGGGAGCTGGCCCTTTCATGTATTTTCATCAGATTTCGCCTCATGTCTCATGTGACCTTTGTGTCAAAGGAGGAAACCCACAATTCAAGGGAAACTACTGAGAAGAACAAGGGCAACGAAATGTTGACGACATGAAAAAAGACACTAAACAAGCAAGCGGGAGTCAGGTTAGGCAGGCACACTCTGCTCCAATCTGCGTGACGTTGAAATATTCGGTCGTACTTCCGCAATGAGGAGCGACCCTTGAGATCTTCCCTGTAAAGAACCTCTTGAGTCTTTAGCATGCAACGAAAGCCCTTTGCAGCACGACTCGATAATGATTTGCGAGTGAAAAGCGAGTACAAGAAACAACTTTCAAGTCTCTCTCCTGAACATAATGGCGGAAGCTGCAAAAGCGCATGGTAAACAAACATGAGGGACGGTCCGGATGAGAACGAAGGCCTCAACCCTATAAAATTCGATGCGATTCAAGACTTGGGAAAGAATCGGAAAATAATGCTGGGAGTGACCAAGACTGGTAGTCGATCGCTCGAAAGGGGCCTTTTTGATTGGATCATGGGTGGGTTGGATGTGGAGGCTATGGTGTTCTTCTCTCGGGAGAGGCTGTATGTATGTAGTGGAGGGAGAGAGGGACATGCTTCTCGAAGTCATTGAAAAGAGAGAACTCCTAGCAAGCAAAACAAAAAGAATATACATACCCCTTAACTTGCTGCTGACGTCGATTTCCATGTATCCGTCTGTGAGATCGATATCAAGTAAGTTGACGTTAATGGCAAGCAGCTTACGTAACATCAAAGCGAGCTTGGGAGTGCACCTACCAAGGTATATACGCGCAATTAAGAGTTCACAGAATTTGAAGAGGCGTGTTTGTTTGAATGATTTGAAGTTCGAAATAATAGTATATCTCTAGTCTTCAATTGTCAGTACCGGTACCTACTTCAATCACGTTGTCTGCCATTTTGGGATTCTGCCTCCCGTTACCACGCGCACTTTTTAACTGACCAATCAATTCCATTCGCTAAAAAAGGTTATTTGCATTTTTTCATGAGGCCACATTCCCCTTTATAGGGGAAGGAGCTCTCCGGTAATACAAAGCTTCGCAAGCTCGCTTTGATCACCGCGTTCCCCCTTTCCCGAGCTGATCTACGTAGAGCAAAGTAAACAAAGCAAGGGGTATGCATACCGACCCAAGCGAGGGTGGTCTCAGCTCAAGCTTCGATCCATTTTTTCTGCACGCATTAGGCAATAAAGTGGGTCCTATTTCTGACCGCCCTGAAGATGGTTGATCAAATAAAACCCACCGCACTTCTGTTACTTAAGAACAACATCACCACCTCCTCTGCACTGGAAATAAAGTATATCGACGGTACCATTCTGTCCGTTGATACTTCAATTGAGGTTCCGCAATCATGGCCTCTAACCCGACGAGCGTCAATGGCTCCGAGAGCGAGTTCGAGTTCATCGAGACGCCTAAAGCTCCGACGCCCACATTCGAGAAATTCGAAGAGTGCGGTGTGAGGACGACTTCTGTAAGTGGAGATAAATTCCCAACAAAGTCGCGGATGCGTGACATTTGCATTGGACCCGGAAACTAACCTGCGAATTTCTACAATGCCTTTAGCATACATATGTCCGATGGACAGTCAATTGAGCTTCAGCTAACATTCTGCAGTATCCAGCTATCAAGAATGCGCCTCTCCCAGCAGATGCCGCCGGCAACACTAGCTTCTCCAACCTCCTCCTCTTCGGACTTATTACAATTGTACCAACATACATGTCGTTCAAGGTTCGCGGTGGATTGAAGACCTCCCTGTTCTTCGGACTCTTCACCACAATCCCCATCCTGATCGGTTTCTGGTTTGTGGCTTCGTCGTACAGCCCTCGCAAGAATGAGAAGGCCAAGTACCCAGGTCGTCCCGTCGAGCATTATCTTACCTTCAAGAAAGAAGCCGATAAGGCCACGTACCACGGACAAAACAAGATTCCTATGGAGACTTTCTACGCTATGTACTTTGACGGCGATGTCGAGTTTAACGGGGATGCTTTGGAGGTCCTGGAATACAGACACGACTGGGCCAGCTTTAGGTTTACTCTGGGCTTGGTCAAGCATGTCTTTTTGGTCTTTGCGCCAGAAGTCATTATGCACACCAGATCTCAGGGTATGTGTTCACCTCCAGGCCCAGATAGTTTTCTGACTTCGATTTGGCAGATGAGGAGCAGGTTCGCGACCACTACGACCGAGGCGACGACTTCTACGGATGGTTCTTGGGCCCGCGCATGGTTTACACTTCTGGTATCATCTCCGACAAGAACCAGGAGGAGACTCTCGAACAGCTCCAGGATAACAAGCTTGCCATCGTCTGCGAGAAGATCGACCTCAAGGAGGGTGAGACCCTTTTGGATATCGGCTGCGGATGGGGAACTCTTGCCAAGTTTGCCAGTGTCAACTACGGCGCCAAGGCCACTGGAATTACTCTTGGTCGCAACCAGACTGCCTGGGGAAACAACGGACTGCGAAAGGCCGGTATCTCTGAGGAGCAGAGCAAGATTCTCTGCATGGACTACCGCGATATCCCAGTCCCCGAAGGCAAATACCAGAAGATCACCTGCCTCGAGATGGCCGAGCACGTTGGCATGCGTCATCTGACTCCATTCCTTCAACAGTGTAACGACATGATGGACGACGACGGAGTCTTCTTCCTCCAAGTTGCTGGGCTGAGAAAGAGCTGGCAGTACGAGGATCTTATCTGGGGTCTTTTCATGAACAAGTACATCTTCCCGGGAGCCGACGCTTCATGCCCACTCAACAACTACATCAGCGCCGTCGAAAGTGCCGGATGGGAGGTCAAGACCATTGATACCGTTGGTGTACACTACTCTGCCACTCTCTGGAGGTGGTACCGAAACTGGCTCGCCAACCAGGACAAGGTCAAGGCCAAGTACGGAAACAGATGGTACAGGGTGAGTTCATGTAATGAATGCTGCTTGAAAGATATCCGCTGACGGAGAAAAATAGATCTGGGAATTTTTTCTCGCCTATTCTACCATCATCTCCCGCCAAGGAGGAGCTGCCTGCTACCAGATGACCTTGGTCAAGAACCTCAACTCCACTCACCGCATTGAAGGCATCGACACGCAGTTCTCGCTTAGTGGGGCTCTCAACGCTGCTAAGGCTGCGGGCAAGGCCGTCTTTCCTAAGAACGTTGAGAAGGCTCTGAGCTGAGGGAGTCATTCAATGGGCATGGACTGGATGAATCCGACGAGTTTCCTATAGGGGCAACGAACGTGATGACAGCGAAGGAATGAACATCGATAACGACAACAATAGAAATAACACATGATGGCTGTATACTAATGAAAGCATATAGAGCTGGAGCACTGCCGCTGGGATCGTTATTCTGTGACGTTACTAGGGAATAGATGTATTATGCTATCTCTGTTATGTCTGCGAAAGTTATGAATGAAAAGTCTGAATTGTAAATGCATTTTGTTGATCTTCGAACCTGGTCAGATACATGCACAATCATGAATTCTGGCGTTGAACCGACTCTCTCTGTGATTCTGAATCAACGAATGGATGAATAAGGTAAATGGCCCTCCTGGTTAAACTTCGGACTTTGTCACGGTCGTCTCAGCCACACTTGACGCTTCAGTAATATTCGCGACTCGGAGCTCGGGGCACCAGGTACGAGCGAACGACAACCTCGAGCTGGACATGACACTTGCCAACAACTTCAGTGACCTCTGTCATTTCTTCTTTATCCATCCACGACTTCCACTACAATGTTCTCAGGATCGAACTCGTATCTTGGGGCCCAGAGTGGTCGCCCCGGCCCAGGTGGCCCTCAGCAATTCAACTCCTTCCCTAACCAACAAGGCCAGCAGCAGCAGCAACCTCAGCAGCAGCAGCAGCAGGGCTTCATGAACCCCAATCCCACCGGCTATGCACAAGCTCCTCTCCAGCCAAACTTCACGGGCTATCCCATGCAGCCGCAGCAGACAGGTTTCCCAGGCCAGCCGATGCAACCCCAGGCAACGGGCTTCCCAGGTCAACAGCAGCAATTCAACAACACCCAACCGCCGCAGCAACAGCAGAGCTTCCAGACTGGCGCGCCGCCTATGCCCCAGATCCCCCAGCAGTACCAGCCTCAAGCCCAGCCGCAGCAGCAGCAGCAGCCGCAGCTGCAGGTGCCTGCTGTCCCGGCACAGCAGCCCCAGGCGACCGGGTTCTCACAGATGGCGGACAGCTTTCGATCGACTCCTGCCGCTGCTCCCGCCCGGGGACGACGAGGCTCAAAATCCAAGGGCGCAAAGATCCCGAGCATACGGCTGTCGTTCATAACAGCGCAGGACCAGGCGAAGTTCGAGACTCTGTTCAAGTCTGCGGTGGGGGATGGGCAGACGCTGTCGGGCGATAAGTCAAGGGATCTGCTGATGCGGTCGAAGCTGGATGGCAATTCGTTGTCTCAGATCTGGTCAGTCGGCTCACTTTTGTGAATTTGCGATATCTGCGGGTATAGCAAGCTGACAATGGCAACAGGACTTTGGCAGATACCACCCGATCCGGACAACTGCATTTCCCCGAATTCGCTCTCGCCATGTATCTGTGCAATTTAAAGCTGGTAGGAAAGGTCCTGCCTCCTTCTCTGCCGGATCACATAAAGAATGAGGTCTCGAGTATGGTGGATATTATTAATTTTGGCGTGGTGGACGATGGTCCGGACTTGCCATCGAGAACCAATGCTCCTGATTTCACTGGCAGGGCGAACGCAGCCTCACCTACCATCCATCAACCTCAGCCGACAGTTTCAAATTCTGCTCTTTTGACGGCTCAGATGACGGGCTTTCCCACACAGCAAAACAACTTCTCGGGAGGCTTTGGAGGACCACAAGCGGGCGGGTTCCAGCAGCCAATGCAGACAGGTTACGGTCAACAAGCTTTGCAGGCGCAGCAGACTGGATTCCAGAATATGTCCAACCCTTCTGCTGCTGGATACTCTGGACCTCGTCCTCCGATGCCACCAATGCCTACTGGGTATGGCAATCAAGGTCTTTCGCCGGCACAGACTGGTTTGGGAGCAATGGTAGCTCCGCTCAACGCCCAGCCAACGGGACGTCCAGGCCAGTGGGGATTGGTAAATGCTCCTGCAAGTGGGCTGCCAAATATCGACCTCCTGCAGTCTCGGATGATGCCCCAGCCAGGCCGAGAGCAGGGCTCTTTTACAACGTCCGGACTACAAGGAAACGCCGTCATTCCATGGGCAGTTACCAAGGACGAGAAGACGAGATACGATTCTGTGTTCAAGGCTTGGGATGGCTTTGGCAAGGGATATATTGGTGGTGATGTCGCAATTGAGGTCTTCGGACAAAGTGGTCTCGAGAAGGCAGATATGGAGAGGGTGTGGACTCTTGCGGATCACGGAAACAAGGGTCGTTTGAACATGGATGAATTCGCTGTCGCCATGCATCTAATCTATCGAAAGCTCAATGGTTATCCTTTGCCAGCTCAGCTGCCTCCTGAGCTTGTGCCACCTTCAACTCGAAATTTCAACGACTCCATCGGACAAGTCAAGTCGTTGCTTTCTCAAGAATCAGATTTTCGCAAGAACTCTGGAGCTTCCCTACTGCCCCAGAAGACAGGCGTCAGCTATCTCAAAACCCGCTCTTTCCGAGATGGAAATAGTGGGTTTGGTAGTAGCCGAAAGGATGCTACGGTATTCAAGAATAACGATGATGATGTCGGATACAAATCCAGCGCTCGCCGACGGCTTGGTAATAGCTCTCCTCGACCATCATCACCAGCGTCAACAACCTCTAACGATGAATTATCACTTGATCAGTTGAAGAAGAAGATTCGCGAGAAGCAGGTGCTCCTGGATGCCATGGATTTCAAGGACGAGAACGCGGCTGACGAGGACGATGCTCTCGATAGACGGGATCGTCGCGAGGCTGATGATCTGTACCGCCGCATTCGACGAATCCAGGAGGACATTGATGCGCACCCAGACGCGGCCCTACGAAGTGTCGATTCCGGCGCTGAGCGTCGCATTCTGAAGCGACAACTTCAAGCCCTGACGGATAAGCTTCCTCAAATCGCGTCTGAGGTTCGGAAGACGGAGCGGAGCATTGCAGACGCAAGGCTTGAGCTTTTCCGCCTCCGAGATGCCAAAGCTCACCCTGGTAGCGCTTCCTCGATCGTGGGCACTGGACCCGGTGGATCTGTCACAGAATCGGATCGTCTGAAGGCTCGTGCCAAAGCTATGATGCAACAGCGATCTGCTGCTTTGACAGGACGAAAGATTGAGTCGAGCAATGACGACTTGGATGCGCCGAAACGATTGGAAGAGGAGAACATCAAGATCAGAAATGAGAAGGAGAATAATGAGCGTATGGTCAAAGATGTCGAGGAGAGCGTGCGTGACTTCTCGCAGGGCCTTGAGGATGGTCTCAGGGAAGGTGCTCAAGATTCGACGAGCGAGCATGAAAAGCGACGATGGGAGGACGGTCTTGGTGTTGAGGATGAGGTGAAGGACTTCATCTTTGACTTGCAAAGATCGAGCAAGTCGGCCAGAGTCCGAACAGAGGACCGGTCTCGTGGCTCACGTGAAACCTCCTCGCGGTACGATAGTCCAGCCTCGCTAGCTCAGGCCAAGCCTGTTCCTGCTCCTGCGGCCACTCCAGCAGCTGCTTCAGGTGGAACCTACTCGCAATACAAGACACCCGAGGATCGTGCAGCGTACATCAAGCAGCAGGCTGAGCAACGTATGGCCGAACGTCTTGCTGCTCTTGGTATCAAAGCACCCTCGAAGCCAGGCGAGTCGACTGCTCAAAGACTTGAGCGTGAGAAGGGGGAGAGAGCTGCTAAGCTTCAAAAGGCCGAGGAAGAAGACGCGAAGCGTGAGTCCGAGAGACAGGCTAGAATCAACGAAGAGCAGGGCATTCCTCCTCCAGCTCCAGCAGCTGCTCCTGCACCTGCACCTGTTCCGAAGAAACCTCCACCGCCACCATCTAGAAAGGCCGCGAGGAGCGATGCGAGTGAACGTAAAGCTGAGGGTGAGCAGAGAGTCTTGGAGGAGCAGAAGGCTCAGATCTTGGCCACCCAGAGTCTTGAGTAAGTTTCCATGTCGACTTGAGGGATTGACGAGCTGACAAAGTTAGGGATGACGCTAGAAGACAGGAGAATGAGCTTGCCCAGGAGCGAGAAGCTGCTGCTGCGCGTCTGAAAGCGCTCGAGGAACAAGTGAAAGCAGGCAAGATAAAGAAGGACGAAGAGAAGCGGAGGCGAAAGGCTGCCCAAGCCGAGGCTAAGAACCAAGAAAGCAGACTGGCAGCCCAGAGAGCCGAGATTGAAGCAGCACAAGCTCGTGAGCGTGAACTTCAACGGCAGTTGGAGGCTATGGATGAGGATTCGGACTCTTCGTCTGACGACGAGGAAAGCCCAGAGCAAGCTACTCCCCAGACTTCCACCCCAACTCAGGGCAGCCAGGAAATCGAAAGAGCCGTCTCCACTCCATCGCCGCCGCCACAGCCACCGGTGCCCACGGTTGTTTCTCCTGTCCCAGCTGCGGCAGTGGTTGCTCCTCTGCCAGTCGCCAGTCCCCAACCCGATGCGGAGACCAAGAATCCCTTCTTGAAACTCGCCCAAGGAGGCAATGCCGGGGCACCTCCCTCCACCACCCAATCCAACAACCCTTTCCACCGCCTTCCCCCACAAGACACACTCCCATCCCCACCCTCTGCTCCCATCATCACTCAGCCCACGGGTGCTCGCTCTCGCGCCCGCCCAGAAGAAGACGAGTGGTCCGTCGTTGGCTCCGACAATGAAGATGACTCCTCGGACGACGAAGGTCCTGGTGCAGGAAACGCCCGACACCTCGCGTCCATCCTTTTCGGTACGATGGGTCCGCCTCGTCCCTTGTCTGCGGCGGGCGGCGCGGGATCGTCCCCTTCAAGCCCAGCTCCTACGCGGGATGCTGTCTCAAGCCCGCCACCCCCACCGCCCATGCCCGTGGGTGGTGCGCCTCCTCCGCCTCCACTGCCTGCGTTTGGAGCAGGACCGCCTCCGCCGCCTCCGATGCCTGGAATGGATGCGCCTGGTGCACCACCGCCCCCTCCCCCTCCTGCTCCTGGAGCTGCGCCGAGTGGACCTCCTGCGGGTGCTAGGCCCGCTGCGTTGCTTGGGGAGATTCAGATGGGGAAGCAGTTGAAGAAGACGCAGACCAAGGATAAGAGTGCTGCTTCGGTTGCAGGAAGGGTGTTGGACTAATTGGTGACGGGCGGAGGGAGCTTGAGTTGGAGGATGCAGAGGAAGGGGAAGGCTTTGGATTGTAAGTCGGCTGGCTGTATGTAGCGTGTATATGATTCGCAGGGGAGATGGGGTGAATATATGTAGGACTGGAGAATGAATTTGGCTTTGGCTTCGGTTCTGATTATTTTCTTCTATTATGTTTCGCGTACCTCGAGTTTGCTTGTGCTTGCTTGTTGGCTCCGCTTCTTGCATCGGGAGAGTTGCGTGCGTAAATCCTGCTTTGTTCATTTCTGATCTTTCTACTTGTTCTGATACATATAATCGGACCGTACAGTCCACCGCACCAACGCGCTGCCCCTTTTTGAATTTTGGTTCCTCTGATGGCTTACTTGCTTCACTGTCTCTGGCAATGGAGCTTGTGAAGCCTCCAGCCTGCCTCCTGGTGCTCCTTGCCGCAGTAGTAGATCCGCGCGGTCCTGCACCCGGTGCATCTGAACAAGCTTGGCCCGCCCATGCCGCAGTGCTCACACCAGCCGGCGTGCTCTCTCTTCTGCCAGCGCTGGAAGGCCCGCGCTGCACAGGCTTTCAGTCTTACTTTGACGTGATCGGGCCCGCCGAGGAGAGTCTGGTCCATGCGCGCGAGTTGCAGGTGGCCACACACGCTCTTCATGGAGTCCTCAAACATGCGGGTGGTCCCGATCAGGTACGTCTCGCCCCAGGGGCCCAGCGCCTCTTTGCCGTACTGCATGCGGGTCATGTCGACCACGTAGTAGGAGCGTGGGTGGTTGGGGTCCGGCCGCTGGGGTCCGGGACGCAGGAAGGCCATGACACAGTGGTCCTCGGGCGATCGCGAGCCCGTGACGGGCGACAAGGGACCCTCTCCGGGCCGCGGGTTGCTCTTCAGGAGGTATGATCGGGTGTGATGCCGGGGCTGGTGGACCTCGTAGACGAAGACCCGACGGGCTTGCGGGTTGAGCAGGATCGGTTGCTAGATGAGAAGCCACCACGGATGCGTGAGCCTTGGAGGAACTAGTTGATCACGGCGGAAGAAGTGAACCTGGGTAGAGCGGCCACGCCACGCACACATACACACATACATACCTGGTTGCCGGACTGGTACATCAGCTGCTGCCCGGGGGGACACAGGTCCAAGAAGAACTGGAACAGGCCGATGGCTTTGTAGCACGCATCGTGGTTCCTCGTCTCCTGGTAGATTAGCTCCCGGTCCGCCGCACTCAGACGCTGCACTCCCACCGGCGCGGCTGGGTGGAGCTCGCACGTCGTTGCGGGGTGCGGGTTTCCCGGAGACGGGACGGCAGCGAGTTCCAAGAAGGTGTGCAGACTCCGACGACTACACATGGTTATTTCGTTTCCTTCGTCAGTACCGAGGGGGTTTGTTTACTTCTTGGGGGGGGGGGGGGGGGACACCCGGTAGCCGAGCCGGTTTGAGGGAGAAAAAAATGACTCACGTCACGGAGGGAGCATCGTTGGCGAAGACGTGCGGGTTCCCCGACACGAGCCCCGGCTGCGCGAGACTCGTGTTCACCAGTCGGAACTTGGTGTATCGGGGGTCGGAGATCATGAGCTCGTACTTGAGGAGGACGGTGAGCGCGCGGAGGGGAATCGGCTCCGGGCGGCGGGGGTCGGGTGCTGGGACTGTTGCCGCCATTGTGCTGTGGGTGGATGGGTGGAATGTGAAAGTCTACTTGGAGTATGATAGAGATGGACGATGAGATGAGATGAGATGGTATGAGAGAAGCAAGTCTCTGATTCTACTTGTTGAAGTCTGTGCCATCATATACCTGGTGAATGGGAAGGTGCGGAGCCTGCTCGCTCTGTTCTTTCCCTCTGGTTTTTTTCCTCATAGCAACTCTTTTTTGCTGCGGACCGCGGTTGAAGATACCCGCAGAGAATATGTAATCTGTAATATTCACCAGGAGATGTTCGGATCGAATCTCTGGGGACCATGTTTTCGCTGTCCCTGCCAGACCTGCGGTGTTGTCCCAGTGGGGAATACAAACATGAGCCTTGATATTGAGGACCAGTCGGTTAGAGCAAGAAATAGAAATACAGACAGAGCTTAAGCTGATTGGACTCAGGACTTTCAATATGTTTCGGTCATGCTCTCGCGATACAGTCACCTCTAACTGCTAATGCATAAACTTTCATTTCGCACCAGAACCCTTTACATTTGACAACTTCAACTTTTACAACTATAATCTTGAAAAGATAAACGAAAATTATAAATCTGTTAATAATAAGAAATAGCTTATGGTTATAAGAAGATTATTTTTTATAATATTGTTAATTAAATTGATTAGAGCAGAAATGTGGAAAGTTGACTTTCGCTTAACTTAGGAAAAGTATATAAAAAAAAGCGCGATTTCAGCTTTATCTTTTATATCTAGGTCTGTTAAACATGCAGATTTAGGCTTGATGATTTTGGTTAATTGTTTCTCCGAAGATAAAATCAGTAAAAAACGGCTAATGTTGATTTTTTTTTTTAAAAAGGTGTCGACCCTTGGCTTGAGTGCGAAAAGTGATTATATGCATTAGCAGTTACCTAGTGCTGTATCTTCGACTGAAGAAAACTGCAAATACGTTACAAAAATGGCCTTCAGTAAATTTAGCCAGACACTCAACGTTTTTCTTCCAGAGTAAGAGATGACTTTCTTCAGAACACTGAGAACAGTCTATCGTTGGAAACAATCTTGTCTGTAAGTGGCATTTGGTTTGGTTCGCCACCGGGCTGGATGCACACAGCTTCAGAAGGGAGCCGAACGTAGAGCAAACAAAGAATCGTCGGACGAGGCCCCACCAAGAATCCCATCCCATCCAATGCCACAAGATCTGATTCCCATAGTTCCATTGCGGTGTGTATCTAGCCGTGGATGTCTCTCAACAGGCTACCGGTTTGCTACAACGTTCAAATCACTATTCCGTTAGACGAGCATATCAAAAATTCTGCTTGGAAGTCCCAGACTTTTCTTCAAACACAGCCTGTCTATTCTTGAGCCCATCTCGCTGAACCATCCAAAGTCACATACACGTCATATAGTGACCACTCTACTTGATCTCGCAGTCTATCAGTTTCAGTAGTAGTATCTGCGTTTGCTTTGCCGTTGGCTCTAAAGGCAAAATGTGGAGACTCGAGGGCTGCCAGGGGCTTCGCTTAGACGGGCTTATACGGGAGCATACTTGGACCCTTGAGGTTACACAAACCCGTTTGAGGCACTCTACAAACAGCGAGTATAGATACCGTAGCTATTCCTGATCTCTGGTATACTTTCTTTCTCGAAGCTGTCTTGATTCATGAATCTGATCCTCCCTCTTCGCTAAGCGTTGAACTCTGTTTACTTTACGTTGGGGAAAATCACGCCCAAATAGAGCCAGAAACCGCTCATTCGGCCAAGCTGCTCACGGGTAGGCGATTCTTTAGACCAGAAAGACTCAAATCACCACTTCCTGACTGACTCCTATGTTCCGTATAGTTTTCCTATCTTCTACTGCGCTACAAAGGATTCGCTAAATATCCTCAAAGACAGCAAGCCAATCCAGATATGCTCTCAGCTAGATTGACAGATTTGCATCCCGCTCTAGCATCATCTACGGTAGGATCAGAACTCAGAGATATGGAGATTAGGAGGGCCTCCTTCAGCTCCGCTTCACCTCCAGTATCTTCGACGCTGGTGCCGTCGATCACCGAAACAGAACCAAAGGATCCTGAGAAGGGCAGGTTACCAGAGGAAGGATCTCAAGAGATCGAAGAGACTGCCCATGATGTAGTTCTCGAGTCGGAGTATCCTCGCGATGGGGGCCTTGCTGGCTGGACGTGCGTCCTGGGCTCTTTCTTCGCGCTGTTCTCTACATTCGGTTGGCTCAATTCGTCCGCATTCCCCTTCCCCGAGCGTGCGAGTGGTTCTTGGCTGACACCCTCGCAGCTTGGGACTCTTCCAAACATACTACGAGCAACATCTTCTCAAAGCTTACGCTCCCTCAACGATATCGTGGATATTTACAACGCAGATGTTCCTCATGTGAGCCACTTTTCCTGACTGGTCCCTCGTGGTTTACCTCTAACGGTCCTACAGGTGGACCGGGGGCGCTTTTTTCGGTCGCGTCGTCGACACTTACGGCACCCAGGTCGTCGCCATCCCCTGCACAGTTGGCTGCACATTCTCCATCTTCATGCTCAGCTTCTGCACGTCCTACTACCAAATCTTTCTCTGCCAAGGTGTAGGCTTCGGCGTCTCGGCTGGAGGTCTATTTTCCTGTGCGACAACATCAGTTGGGCAATGGTTTGAGAAGCGAAAGGCACTGGCCTTGGGAACTGTGCTTGCTGGTAGTAGTCTAGGTAAGGAAGCCCTCCACCTCTGCCCATCTTATGTATATTTCCAAGTTGCTGAGATACTCAGGTGGTGTGCTTCACTCCCTCTATCTTATTATCCTGATCCAGGACCACGGCTTCGCCACTGCTGTCCGTTGGAGCTCCCTCGTGGTCGGCCTCACGGGGATCTTGGCCTGTGTACTCATGCGCCCTCGATTGCCGAAGAAGAAGTGGGCAGAGAGTACGCAGTGGATCGACTCTTGTCTCTTCAAGCAAGCTACCTTCAGAGTGTACTGCCTCGGCACCTTCTTTGTTGTGTAAGATTCTCCACGGATCAAACCACCACCAACACCTGGTGACTGATCGCACAACTAGCTGGGGCCTCTTTGCGCCGTGGAACTACCTCCCCTCCATGGCTCTCAGCCATGGCTTCTCCAACAACCTAGCAGTCTACACCATCGTTGTCCTCAAGTAAGTCGCACCCAGCCTCCTCTCTACCGGTGCGCTGGTGAACTGATTTTCTGCTCCTCTTTCTCGTCCTCACAGCGCCGCATCTATCTTCGGCCGCATCCTCCCAGCCTGGCTCGCGGACCGCTTCGGCCGCTTCAACTCCGTGTCGCTGATAGCCTTCACCACCGCCCTCTCCCTCCTCGCCTTCTGGCTCCCGACCGAGGCCGCGGCCGACTCCAGCCACGCGCAGATCTTCGCCTTCAGCGCCGTCTACGGCTTTGCGAGCGGCGCCTTTATCAGCGTCATGATGCCCTGCGCGGCGGACCTCGGACCCGTCGCGACCCTGGGCCAGCGATTCGGGACTTACCAGGCTGTCGTTGGGCTCGCGTGAGTGCGCCCTATCCCTCTCTCCCCCTCTCTCTCCCTTCTTTCGTTTCTCCAGCCGCAAACCCTCTACTACTGCGTGCTTTCCTCTCAAGACTACTTCATTCGTTTGAAGTTACTTTTTTTTTTTNTTTTTTTTTTTTTAAAAAAAATGGCTAACATAACGCGCGCGTGACGCCCCAGGAGCTTAACGAGTCTCCCCATCCAGGGCGCCCTGATCCCACTTGACCGCGGCGGCTTCACCTACCTCATCGTCTTCTCGGGGGTCTGTGTCGCTGTCGGAACGGTCTTCATCTGCGCGGCGCGCATGCTGAGAGTTGGCTGCGCGCTGCGGGGCTGATTGGCCCGTATCTGTGGCGTGTATGGCGGCAGACATATCAGGGCAGATGTCCTTATGTTAGTTATGTTAGTGACAGAGTGGTAGATTGGATGGGCATTAGAGCTGGTGGGCATCTCATCTAGAGACGGCGTTTACAGAAGGGGATGGGAAGTGATCTTTTCAGGACTCCGTGGATCTGGATTTGCATTGTCGATATTTAATTTAGAACTAGGGTTGCAGATTGAGGCATTGATCATTTCAAGGCTCTCCTGCATTGGGCAAGAGATGGATCCCCCCCCCCCCTTTTTTCCTTCTTTTTTTGTTCTTTTTTTCTTTTTTTTCTTTTCTTGTTTTCTTTTTTTTTGTTTCTTTTTTTTCTTCTTCTTTTTTTCTCCCCTTTTTTCCCCCTTTTTTTCCCTCTTTCTTTCTATTTTATTTCTTTCCTTTTTTTTTAAAGTTTTTATTTTCTCCTGTTTCCCCTCCCCCCTCCCCCCATCCCCCCCCTTTTCCCCTTTTTTTTTTTTTTTTTTTTCGCGACTTGTATACCTATGTACGTGTGTATATACTCAGAATGATACCCACCCACTATATTCATCCAGCACGAAAAGTCCTTCCCTCTCCCTCCTCGGCGGGACAAAAAACCAAAAAATCAAGGGTTGACGAAAATGGGATTTTCATCTTCGTTCTAATTTTTAATTTTATTTTTCGCTTCCTGAGTAAGTAAACAAACAAAACCCGTAAGCGAGAGAGAGGGATAGAAAGAGAGAGAGAGAGAGAGAGAGAGTCGTGGTAAATTTACCCAGGCGAATGCGTAATTCGAACGTCGCTAGCCCTAACACCTTGAGATACTACTTTAGGATGATAATTGTTGATGTTGATATCAATAACGATGATGATGGTGATAATTTGTCAATTGGTAATTGATCTCTCGTCGTCTCGTCTACGCCGCCTTTTAATATCATAATATCCTTTTGCAAAAGATTTGCCTCGTGTCTCTCTCTCCCCCCCCCCTCCCCCTCCCACCCTCTCCTCCATTCAAAATACCCAGATCCCGATTTTCTTTTCGCACTTATACTTACACTTATACTTCGCCTATCACTTCTCCTTATACTTTCCCCTTCCAATCTTCCCTTCCATTTGTGTATATATAATGACACAGTCCCAATCGACGAGAGCTTTTTTTTAAGAAAAAAAGAAAAGAAAAAAAAACTCCATCTCCCCAATTTCTTCGCCCGCAACACCTCAATACGTCAAAAACTCCCTCCCTACTGGCGCCCACGGTACTCACCTACTCTCTGTCCGTTGGCATAAACCTAAAAGAAAAGCAGATAAGAATTCCAGAGATTATTTATTCCCACGCTGACAAAGCCGTGGTCTGGTCTGGTCCAGGCAGATAGATAGCTAGATCCCTGTCTTGTTCTCGCTCGCGAAGTCTACTTAGATTCTCCTTCGAATAAGTTCTGAAGAAGTTTATGTACTTCGTAGGCTGGCGAGAGTTGTGTGTGTATGTGTGTGTGTGTTTGTATGTGCGATGCTGGGATTGAAGTGAGGTTACGAAGGGTGCTTGCCTGTGTGGCGTTGAGGGCTTTTTCCTTCGCTCGCACCGAGAGAGACAGAGAGAGAGAGAGAGAGAGAGAGAGACAGCCGGGTCCCATGGTGATTGTGATTATCTGCTATGCCTAGGTACGCGGCGGGTGGTACCGTGAGGACTTTGAGGTTTTTCAGTTTAGGACTCAGGGATGAGGTCCTCGAGATAGTAGTATTTATGTATGGCTTGTTCCTCCTAACCCGCCGATCGGGTTTCACTTATTCAGGATGAGGTAAACATGGACTGGCTGGTATGATCCCCGCAGGGGTTGAAGTTGGCTTTTTTTTTCCCATTAGCGGCTCTGGCTAGTAAAGGCAACTGAGGAAGTACTTTTTGGTGAGAGATGAATACTTTTTTTTCTTTTTTTCATGATCCGTCCTGCCCCAGCTCCGTCGCTAGCTTTCCCTCTTTTGACCGTCCATCGGTCTTTTCGTCAATCACACAGCCGCCCGATAGCTGAACCGAACGCCTTGCTTGAAATTATTCCTATTGCTCCAGCTGAGCGAGGATCAACCAATATCCAACGTATTAAAAGACCGCATTTTTAATCTTCAATTCGTATCCACGAACCCACAATGGTCGCCGAACTCCCATCAACCCCAGAATGCAACCCACGATTAAATCCGTCTTTAGCTAGACGGCTCTTGATTAAGAAAATAGTATGCGCTCAATAGCGAGCAGCCATGACCTTCTTCTTGAAGAAAGCCAGAGCTTCAGGCACCCGCTGGACGTAGAGGCCGTGCGGCGTGGTGATGGTCAGATTGCCATTACAGATCACGTCCTGATCGTTGCAGATGATCAGGGTCTTCTCGGGCGGGAATTTGGGGATGCGGCCCTTGTCGGGAGTATTCTGCGTGTCGCCGTACATGGCCACGCCAGCGATCCGGTCCTTCACCTCCTCCGGCAGGTTCTCGATGGCACGGTGACAGAGGGCTGCCCCTTGACTGTGGTAAGGTAAGGTGTCAGCTTTCGAGCGTCCAGTGGTTCCTTTCTCGGGAGGAGAGGAGAGGAGGGGAGAAAGAGGCCTCACCTGTAACCACCACCGAGGAGGATCGAGTAAGGGCACTTGCCCGCCGCGTCGAGAAAGAGGTCGCGCATCATCTTCACCTCGGCGGGATCGGCGCCTCCGGGCAGGAGGTTGGTGTCCATCCGAGCGGCATACCCGATGCCCTCGACGGCGACGTTCTCGCATCCGAATATATCCTCCAGGCCCTGCGCCGTCGGCGGTCCTGGGCTGAAGGTATAGTTCCCCTTGGCGCTCCTCGTTAGTCGGATGCTTTAGCGAGCGGGCGAAATAATAAAAGAGGAAAAGGGGGCAACAAGTACCATGTTGTAGGCTTCACTCGAGCCTCGAGCGTAGAAGAAGATGATCGGTTTGCATCCACCCAAGGTAAATTCGTTTTCGACCGTCTCGATGGGTGGGCACGCCCGGGTCGGGAAGGGTGTTGGTCCGGCCACGGCGAAGCCGGCGAGGAGGAGGAGGAGCACGGGAGCAGCGATCTTCATCATATTTGATGATGAACGTCGTGTCTGTCTATCTGTCTGTCCGTCCTTGAGGTAGGATTTCGTTCCCTTGCGTGCGAAAACTTGGATGCTTGACGGTGAAGTGAACGCGGAACTGCCTGGCCTGAGCTTCCCCCGGAGGAATCGAAGGGATCAAAAAGGCCACAGGGAACTCGGCTCTTTATCAATTCAACAAACGATTCGCGTCCATGTTAATCTCACCGCTGGACATGTTTACGTGTGAAAAAAATTAATGTTACGTCCACAGACTTTCCCATCTAGCCATGGGTTATAGAGCGCTCGGCCAGTCGCATCCTACGATGAGAATCAGATTGCGGGCACTCCATCTCGGACCCAAGATAGTGGTTGGATATACTTGGCAGGGATCCAGTAATTGCCCGGATGGTAATGTGCCCCGAGCCCTTGGCCTCCTTTTTGTTATGAATCGGTTCCTATAAAGTCAGGTGGTTTGCGACAACCGGTTTGAAACCAGTCTCGCTGCGAGAACAGCCATTCCCTTTGTGGCAACCTCCGATGGAACATTCGCTCTTGTCTGTAGCGTATGTTGGGGAGGAGGAGAATCGTGTACGAGTATTGCGACTTGACTATTAAGCCTTTGCAGTTACTTTCGCGAAGCATTCCGAATTTGTTAAGGGGACCGCATAGGCTACATCGGGTTGTTATCGAGCGCAAGCCTTGTACAATTATAGTTGTCGTAGTACGTAGTAATAGTATGTTTTGCCATAAGGTTGTGGAAGAAGTCAGACCCCGTTGCACACTCTCCTGGCCTTATTTGACTGAGTGCATCATCGATATCTTCTTATTTGCACAAGCGAAACCTTTGACTTGAGCAAGGTGGATAGATAAGCGAGGTGTTTATTGCAGAGCACCGCGTTCCCTACTTGCTGACGACACAGCCCGGTCTGAGCGAGTGCCAATAACAGGCCTTTTCTTTTATCAGACTCTTCTGGGATTTCCGGCTTCGTTCCCGCATAGTAGTAGTAGTACCGGTAGTGATTTACGTCGGGCGGGTATTCAAAACGCAATACTTGGACCCTAGGACTTCCCATAGGCTACGGCGACGTGCTAAGCAAAGGAGTTCTATATAAAGTACTATCCAATCGTGAGTAAAACCCACGTTAAGGTAAGGCTTTCTTTCAGATAGCCTTGAGTTTCTGATCTCGCAGTATCACAAACTCTTTATCAACCTTTTTAGAGCATTTCGAATGATTTGCACCGACTTATCTATTAATAACTTTCGAATACGTATGGCCTTACGGGCGGCCTCGATCCGTATATGTATAAACATCGTTCTCTTGTCGTAAAGCTATAAAGGCTCGCGTCCGTAGCCCTTCTATAGAGCCGTGTGTTCGCAAGTCGCCCTTATGGAAGCCGCAATGCCGTATTTTTTTGGATCGATCGAATTGAGCCCTTCCTATCTTTTACACCCGTTCCCCTTTTATCGCAAATGCTCTTAGTCTTTTCAATCTGTATGCCCGTCAGGTACAGATCGCAGTCGGCGTGGTGGTCGAGAAAAGAAGGAGGTCTGGAATAGCAGGTAAAAGAAGATTTCTTCGAGGAGTCGCCGCATATCGATGATTCATGTTCGGCTTTCCGGACTTTCTGCCGCAGGAAAGAGCTGAAGGTTCATAGTAGGCAACTCGTATCGGTAAGGAATCGTAGCCCCCCAAAAGATCTGTCTCGCAAAGAAGAAGCAAGCTTAAGAGTATCAAATAATTTGTATTTTCAGTCCGACTGCAATCCATACCTCACATGTAATAGTGGACTTTTATTCTGTTAACAATTTAGCTACGCGGTTACCTAGCTTCATCTCTCCTTCTTCGGCCTCCCTCTTCTCTACGGAACTACGGACTTGGGCTATCAGGATGCTTTACGTAGAGATACGAAGACAAGGGCTTGCATAGAGCTGCAGGCAAGTTTAACTGATTACGGCATGCGGAACACGGTTCCACTTTCTTCAAGGCAATGGAAACAATCGGCTCACTACAACGGTACAACTGCTACTCCGTAGTAGTACCACGGTACAGGCCTAAGTATTACCCCTCGAGGGTGCCTCAAAAGTTTAGTTTCCACTTTAAAACCCCTGGTTACCCTACCCTCGAGGGGTAATACTTACGCCTGCGACGTAGTAGATATTTATTTAGCTGAAAAGTTGCACTGTGGGCAGTGGCTGAACCGAGCATGATCCTGAAAGCCAACCGATAGTTAGTCCCCGACCCTGTTCACCTACCGTAATCATGGCCAAACCTGCCGCCGGCCTTCTGATAATCTATAACTATGTGATCTCTCGAATTCTTCCACATGGATGGGAAGACCAAACCTGTGATGCGACTTTCTTCATACTATCTCTCTATACATACTGGGGGCGCACGAGCTATAACATGATGATAAATGGACGTCATGTTAGAAAGCGGTGGTTGGTCAACAGCTTCTGAGATGAAATTTATTGCCTAATTTGCAATGTAATAGTATAACGATAGAAGGCTTAAAGCCGAGCTGGGTGTTTGCTTACAAAGTATACGAGAATGCGGAGGTACTATAGTGCAGTGCGAAGATGTAAAATTGAGGAGGCCGAAAAACGCCGGGGAAAGAGTACCTCGTGGAGTGAATGATACTGACCAAGGTATTTCTCCGGAGATGCCTGGAGATGTACTAGTTGTACAACTAGTACTAGTAGTTGCTTTGTAGTCTACCAGTAGTAGTACAAATTTTGAATGGAAAGGAGCCTCTGGGTTTCTACAACTATGCTCGCGGAAATAATACTTGCTCTGTGGCCCCATTTTGTCATCTCCGTGGTCCTCTTTAGGCTCATTTCTCGTGAATTGGAAGAAGTTTTCTCTATAGGAAAAAAGGGCCTGTAATAGCGCTCATCACTAGTGGCATCTGTCCCTATCTTTGAAAAAAATAAAGCCTAATTACCCAGCTTTATGAAAAGATGCTCTCCGAAAGATTATTAGTACGTTGAAACTTCCAGCGTCATACCCGTTTATGCGCGCGAAGGCTGGCGCTTCTGGCAACTTAACCAGACACTCGAGACTCGACGAAGATGGCACCGTGTCCCAGCTCAGTAGGATGAAATACGACAGACAGGGTGAGATCAACTGGCTGATACAGATCCAGGCTCCATGATTCGCGTCCCTCATTCTCCACGCACCGGCCAGAAAGAGGAGTGGTCCTTTACCTTCTCGTGGGATGCCAGAACGCGGGTCACCACAAGGCTGTTTGATAGTCTCTCGGACGACGACATGGAAGATATCATGAAGTATCTGTCCGAGCAGGCGCACCAATGCCACCACCCGATACTTCTGCCGGCCATGATCCAGGATTCGATACTGGAAGCTCACGAGGTCGCGACGGTGGAGGGCGTTCGCTCGACACGAGACGCGTTCGATAAGAATGGACCTTGTACCCGAGTGACAGAGGATTTTGTGTCCGAGGTTGGGAATGAAGCTGTGTAATTTAATCACTCAGCGGCATATCATTTCCACGAAGGCCGAACTGGGATTTTTGATCTATAGTCTGAAGAAGCTTACTTCTTGCGGCAGGAGAGAGTACATATGTGCATATTGGAGCTGCTGCTGCTATCGGCGACGATATGATATGGCTGCTCGGTTCGATCTTGAATCAAAACAATTCGCTTCACGTGAATAAGGGGGAGTCGAGCTAAGCGAAGAAGCAAGAAAGGTCGTACTATGGAATAGATTTTGGAAGGGAGGATCCTATCTTGCGTGTGCGTATGTTATGAGATTATCTCATGAGTGGGTAAGGAGCCCACGTAGAAAATATTCTCTATGAAATGATTGAAGACTAGGGTTCGTCATTTGCGATGTGTTTTTATCTATTTATTAGCTTACCTTTCTTTACCCGCAACAACCAACTGTCTCAACAGTCAATATTTCGTGTCGACTTATTTTTTGGGGGGGGTTCATTATGTAGATCATTATCTAGACACATATATGTACAAACCGACGAAAATTCGCGAAATAGCAGTGTACAGCTATAAATCCGTCTCGGTCACGATAGTAGGATTACAAGGCCCTTTGGGACCCTGTGAATGACAGTCTTAAGCGGATATGGCTTAAGAATTAGTATCAATATCATATTTCTGTATATATCTGTTGCTGTAAATAAGGTAGCTGTCGCTGGTTTACAAACCTCTGATCCGGTACGATAGCGACCCTACCTAGGCTCTCCTCTTCTTATCAATCTCCGAGGTACAACATCAGCGGCCATCAACAACTTCAATAACAGCAACATGAACATCAACAACAACATCGCTTCGGCCACCCTTGTGCCACAACCGCAACCTCAACCCCAATCCCAACCTCGCTCAGCCGCACTCCCCGCTCCCGACGGGTCCTCTTACTACGACCTGGGCTCTTTCACCCGCCGCATTCGCACCACCAGCCTCCACGCGCAAACATGGTTTTCCCGCGGCCTTACCTGGTCCTACGGCTTCAACCACGAGGAAGCCGCCTCCTGCTTCGAGCAGGCCCTGGCCCACGATGCCGATTGTACCATGGCCCACTGGGGGCTGGCCTACGCGCTGGGACCGAATTACAATAAGCCGTGGGAGGCTTTCGACGACAAGGAGCTGCGTTCAACACTGGAGCGCGGGAGACAGGCAGCGGAGAGAGCGCTGGAGACGGCGGCAACGCCTGTGGAGCGCGCGCTGAGTGAGGCCTTGATACTGCGGTATCCCAGCGCGGAGGTGGAGGGCGCGGAGGCGTGCATGCCGTGGAATGGGGCGTATGCGGATGCGATGAGGCTGGTCTATCAGCAGTTTCCTGCCGATCTGGACGTGGCGGCCTTATTCGCAGATGCCCTCATGAACCAGACGCCCTGGGCGCTATGGGATATCCGAACCGGCGAGCCAGCTGCTGATGCAAAGACCCTCGAGGCGCGAGCTGTCCTGGAGAAAGCGCTGGAGCAGGAAGGGGCGCGTAGACACCCTGGCCTGTTGCACCTGTACATCCATCTCATGGAGATGTCGAATACGCCCGAAGTCGCCCTCCCAGCAGCAGACGACCTGCGCGGCTTGGTTCCAGACGCGGGCCACCTCAACCATATGCCTACACATATCGATATCCTCTGTGGCCACTACCAGAAAGCCATGGCGTCAAATTTGGAAGCTATACGCGCAGACCAGAAGTTCCTGGTGCGAGCTGGGGCCGTGAACTTCTACTCTCTCTATCGATCCCACAATTATCATTTCAGAATCTATGCGGCGATGTTTGCTGGGCAGTCAGAGGTGGCAATTACGACGGCCGCGCAGCTGGAAGCCTCGCTGTGGGAAGGGTTGCTGCGGACTGAGTCGCCCCCTATGGCGGACTGGTTGGAAGGGTTTCTCTCCATGCGAGTGCATGCCTTAATACGGTTCGGACGATGGCAGAATATCCTCAACTTGGAGATTCCGAAGGACCCAGTTCTGTATTGCGTGACTACGGCCATGCATCACTATGCCAAAGGCGTTGCGTTGGCCGCGACAGCACGGCTGGAAGAAGCAGAGGAAGCACGTAGCTTGTTCCTGGAAGCCGTCAAGCGCGTCGCTCCATCGCGGATGCTGTTCAACAACTCCTGTCTCGACATCCTATCGATCGCCCAAGGAATGCTCGACGGCGAACTCGAGTACCGCCGCGGGAACGTCTCGGAAGCATTTTCCCACCTTCAGAATTCTATCGCACTCGAGGAAAGACTTCCGTACGACGAGCCTTGGGGTTGGATGCAACCTATACGACACACCTATGGCGCCCTGCTCCTTGAGCAAGGTCACGTAGAGAGAGCGGCCGAGGTCTACAGCGCTGATCTTGGGTTTGATGATACGCTACCGAGAGCAATGCAACATCCGAATAACGTTTGGGCGCTGCACGGCTACCACGAGTGTCTGGTGAAACTGGGACGTGTAGGTGAAGCGAGGATTGTCGAGCCGCAGTTGAGGCTGGCAATGTTGGTCGCAGATGTGGATATCACGTCTTCTTGTTTCTGCCGGACGAACTGTTGCTGACCTACCAATCGTTCGGCACTCAGCCTAAGTAAATTCCCCAATTCCCCATCTACGGGTACAAGGTCTGAGCACAGTAATGTAAGTATGCGCAGGAAGGATACATCGTTTCCTTTGGTCCCTTGTCAGAAGAGAATTCAAGCTTCACAATCATCACTTGCAACTGGCTAGTGCCAAGCAGAGTCCGTCTGTCAAGGACTGTGTCGGTCACTTCCTCAGTCGTGACAAAAAGGAGTATTGGAAGCAGAGGAGGCTTGTAAACGGATCTCGCCGAGAGAGATGTACAAGTTGATACCGCACACGTTGCGGCTGGGTCATTAATTACCAGCTGGTGGATCCAACGCGGAACATGAACTCGCTGAATTCCTGGTTTAATAAGCAGGTCGGTCGACGTCGGTCGAGATACTCACCGAGGAAACAATTCTGTAAGACGCACCAATTGGATTGGATTTTCTTGATTATAGCAGATAGTGCCCATCAAGATTCACTAGATTTCAGAGCTTCAATCACCATCGATTGATATCAGCAAGATACCTTGAAAAGTTATCTAATTCAATTTGGATCTCGGTATTAAAGCACGTCCCTATCTGCCTTTCTTCAGTCTTTCAAATTCAGATACATACCTCTGGCAACATCGTGTCCATCCATCCAGACCAACACTCCTCTCCTATCTCTCTTAAGATCCTCTCCTCGTTGACATCCTACCGCGGCGACTAGTAACCTCTCTCTCTGCACCACGGCGCTGCAAGTTCTGCAAGTTCTGCAATTCCATCTCCTCAAGTTTTCCGCACAGCATTCATTTATAATGCTCATATGTAGCCATCACGCCCCGAGGTACGTAAGTCAGCAAGCAAGCAAGCTAGCACTATCCAATCCAATCCGATTCTACCGCCGAGAAGAAAGAACGAGCTGCTGTTAGGTAGTTTCCTATGCTTTGCTTTGCTTCGCTTCTTTCTGCATCCGTGAAAGGAAGGGTGTTAAGGTAACTGGGGTTACGATTTGCTATTGCTATAGGTGGGTAGGTTATGGAGCTAGAGTTCGACTCGGTAGCTCGACTTGTTCGGCGTGGATTGGCAAGAGGAGGAAGAGGAGGAGGAGGAGGAAGAAGAGGAAGGGATAATTCGTTTGTGCTGTCTGTGCTGGCGAAGCGAGTCGTGATGATCTTGCTGGATGGGTAAGGGGAGGGAGTGTGGTCGGGAGGGAATACCTGCTTTTCGCGCGAGGCCAGAGGGTATTGGTATGTATGTATGTATGTATGTATGTATGTATAAATCCCTCCTTCTTATTTCCCCCCCCCCCCCCCCCCCCCCCCAAAAAAAAAACTAAGAAAAAAAAAATCAAATAAAAATATATACATGTTAATTTCCTCCGAGACGTGATCTGGTTCGCGAATCGGCTACAGAATAACATAAACCTGGGGCTCAATGCTGCTAGTCTTAAGCTGCCCGGAAGGGTTACGAATCGGGACCATTTCAACTACCTAGCTTTGGTCTCAAACCTCGAGGTGCCAACATTCATCCTTGGCGAAGTTCGCTTATTAGCGACGTTTAGTGTTTACTGTACGAATATTCGTTACTATAACTTAAACTTCGTACCTCCTGATATTACGCAATCGTGAAGAGCTTGTGGTCGAGGTATAGAAAGGCCGTTACTTGCTTCCGTCTATGTACTCGCTGATGTAGATGATAATACATGCAAGGCATTTCTTTATCCGTGTGCAAAAAAAAAAAAAAAAAAAAAAAAATACTAGGAGGTAAATAGACAGATAGACAGTACAGACCTATCAATCAATACTTATTCAGCAAAGGGTTGAAAGAAATCTCCATTTCGTTCTATTCCGACACGATACATAATCAATCGACAATTCCAAGTATCGTTTTCTTCCCCCGCTCTAATACTCTGTTAAAGACATTCACTGATACCACGAAAATTCAAAGCGAAATGAAACACAAACACTATCGATCTATCTATAGCGCTTCGACGACCTTACTCTTGGATCTCGAAAATCAGCTTCGGGATTGATTCCAACTCTATACTGTACTGCACCACTCACGAATGGCCCTCTGCCCGAAGCCAGGTTGTACTCAAGCACGGTATTGGGACCAGAAGTTAGCCATTCTGGTGATCTGATTAGGGGTGAAAGACTCGTAGCACGCGCTGCAGGATTCTAGTTAGCAAGGAAAAGGGACGCGCTCGATGGTGGTTCAAGGTCCGTGTCGTGGGAAGAGAGAACACGTACTCATCCGAGTAGTCCATGTAGTTGTGGATGGAATCAACTCCACCTCCGGCGCAGGAGTCCTGTCCGGTAGGACATCCGTCGGTGAGAACGGCTTGGGGAGGCGTGTCGGCGATGCCGTCTCCGGAGCCGGAGCAGCCGCCCTGGAAGACGTGGTAGAGACCCATCCAGTGGCCGACCTCGTGGGTGGCGGTGCCGCCGAGGTTGTATCGTTCAAAGGTGCCGCCGGGGGTGGTACTGTACAGGATGTTGCAGCCGTCCTCGCTAAATGTTTTTTTCCTGATATTTAGTGCGTGCTACTTCGTGCGGACACCAGGCTCAAGGGTTTCAGATAATCACTCACTAGAAAGCAGTTGAGCCAGTGGCGGCATTGGTAGGGAAGGTGCAGTATCCAAGGTATCCGGAGACGTCGTATTGAAAGTAGAGGTTCAGGGCGCTGTACGATCCTTGGCGCAGAGCGGTCTTCATGGCGATATCATTCCCGTCAGCAGCCCAGACTCTGTTGACAGTCCAGTCCGTGTCCACAAGGTTGAATACGAATCCCGCATCGGCTGTTTTTTGTAGGAGTTAGCTAACTTCCAGAGGGGTGATCGTCCGCCGGTTTAGCTTACTGTAATGCTCGTTCATGACCTCGATTTGTCTGGCGATCTGCGAAGCGGGAACGTATCCTCCAGAGAGGGAAGTTGACCTTGCGACAACGTGGACGTAGGTATCGACGGTGACTGTGGCTCTACGAGAACTTTCGGTCGTGGTCGCGTTGGCCTCGAACTCAACCATCTGACTGACGGCTTGCACGAAATCCGCAGGAGGCTCGACGGTACCGCATCCAGATGGACGCCCAGCACGCGGCTGGGGATGGGCTGTGACAGCTGTCATCGCAGAAGCGAGCAGTGCGGTAAGGAGAGCGATTTGGAACATTATGAGCCGGTGAGATGAGCGAGCCAAGGGTCTAGTGAAGAGAGAGAGGGAGAGAGAGAGAAGAATGTTGAAGCTGGAGAAGAGTGGTTTCTGTTCGAGCCACGGAGAATGTTGACTTACTTATACTTGCACGGTCTCTAAAGATAGGCTCGATAATAGCGGTCCAAAGATGAATAGGGCTGTTGAAATCATGAACTGAGCCGATATCTCTATGGAACCAAACAACCAAGGTATGCACAAAAGGGCCAAGAAGCTCTGAACGGAAGGTACTGCACTTCTTCCATGGTCTTCCCATCGCCTAAACTAGCGCCAAGCCGACTGGAATAGAAACAAGACGAAGAGAGGAGACTTATCGCGTTCAAGCTCAGGAGCCAAGATAAAGTAGTAGCAAGAACAGAGGACGCGAGTAATGCAAAGACAAGAGAGCACAGTCGGTTGGATCTTTGGAAGTGTGTTGTGATAGACCAATCTGTGTTGGATAGACCAATCGATCACCATGATGAGATCTGAGATATAAAACGATATGAATCGGTATACACCAATATACACGCACGTATGTACATCTGGCGTGATAGCGTCAACATCATCTCAGGCTTTTGGGACAGGCGGCAGGCGGCAGGCGACAGGCGCTTTCAAGCCGGCGTCGCAGCAACAGGCAGGTATTTCCAGATATCACCCCCGAAGTCGTAGACCCGTACTGCTAAATACCGGGCAATATGAAATACACTCATCACGCGCTCGCAGTCGCACTCGCCTGCCTAATCATGATTGGGGCTCCGAGGGTTGTGGTTCTAGAAGCTTGGTTTATGGCTCCCTTGAGTCCACCACTGATTAAGAATTCTCCCGCGTCACTCCATTGCTTGACTCGGTAACAAGCTTTACTCGGCAACAAAAGCTTACCTCCGATCTCTACAGATCTGAACTGCGAATCTCGTCTGTGCAGCTTATCTCGGCCATCAGAGTACCTATGCTTCTAGCGCCTTTTACTTATGCTTTATTCAGGTTTGCTCCAGATCTCTCCGAATCTTGCTTATCTGGTAGGCTTTATTCCTTCCCAAACCGGACCCCTGGCTCCTATATAAGCCCAGTCTTATGGAAGAATCGAGTAGGTGAAAGAGGATTGAGTACGGAGAACCATCGGCTCTATTATGCTCCTCGTTTACTTGGCATCAGTCTCAGAGCCATTGTATGTATTATCTGGATGCAAAGGGCATAAGCACTTTTGCTCACTTATGATCTCGACATCTAACACGATAATAGAGTTGATGCTATCTCCCTAGCGCGGTTGCATCCGCTGCTTGAGAGTACCAAGATGTGGGGGGCGGCAATGCCGTGCATGATGCCAAAATTAGGATACCAAGTGTCTCCAGAATAAAAACGTAGACGGAGACTCGAGTCAAGGAAACGCTACTAATTGGCTAGCTGACTCTGTTCTATTTGTTACCTACCTGCTTAATCGATTCTGTCAGGCAAGTAAGTCGGTCCATCTCTTTCGTCTCGACCAAACATATTTCTCTACTACAGACACACTCAAACTTTCAGAATTGTAATGTCTCCCCCAGCTACGCCCGCTCTAGCGATAGGCGGCACAGGCACATAGGGCCTCCCAGTCATGGAAGATAAGAACGAAATGTCACAGTCCTGACCCTCCTCAGCTATACCTGGCCTCAGACCGAATGTATACCATCCGTCCATCCGTATATCCTTACACGCTCCACCTCTTCTCTAGAAGCCACCGAGCTCGCTTAGCTCCCAGGTGTCACTATCCGCGATGGTGGCAGCTACGACGAAAAGCCACCCTACCAGCAGCTTTTGGAAGCGCGACGTGCGCATTCGTCAATACGAGCCGATTCGCTTCGCCATCCGTGATCATGAGAAAGCAGAGACGCACTAGGGAGGGAATCCGGATGTATGAGATCGCACGCACGCGTGAGCGGGTGTCAAGCATTACATATAGGCCGGTCTGATCTTCCTACTCTTCCAGGCTAGCTAGGAGGGTTTGATCCGAAGTACATATACTAGTATAGAAATCTTGACAGTAAAGGGGAAAAAGTAGGGTATCGGAGTTTCACGGCAAACCAGTCGAGGGATCTGATAAGTAAAGTAGTGGTCGTCGGTGCTCATAAGTTGTTTTCCTCCCGTATGGTTTTCTTAAGACTAGACGGATAGAATATCAGCGTGGGAGGCATATCGTGTAACCACTATCCTCAGATAGCACAGTGATACATACATACCCACACACACACATAAGCTCTCAAGAAGTGCCTGGCCATACATGCATGCTAGCTGATCTCTGAAAATCATACGTATAAACCACCGCTTTACTTTGCATTGAGACGAGCTAATAGCGAACGAACAACGAAGTATCAACAACAACACCTTCGCGAATCACAACCTCCAAAAACATATCAGCCAGCTTCCTTCCTCAAGCTTCCCCTAGCGAAAATTTCGTGATAAAGTATACGAGGCTATGCTCCCTTACTGCATGAAGAACCAACTTATTGTTGACCCTCGGATGAATTCCTATCAATCAACGACAGGAGTTCCACCGAGGCTTCAAGACCGTCCATCCACCGCGAAGCTCACTACTATAACTCCAATCCGTAGAACCGCTTTGATTTCACTTACTACGTCGCCCACTCCAGAAGACCTACGTTAAGCTCATTCCTCATCCCTCATTCCTTCAAACCTCTCAGCGATAGCAAACGCAACGCAACGCAACGCAAAACTTATATATCTATCATATCAGATCATATCATATCCGCGTCCATATGCCTTCTTTACTTTCCAAAGCCCTCTCTCCGCAAACCTCCAGGAACAGGGTACTGTCACAGCCAGCCAGCCTCGATTCTTGAGGTGGGTAGAGGGGCTTCGACAGGTCTGTTTGAGTGACTTTGATAACTTTGATAATGATTATGATATTGGTCATGATAGTGACTTTTAGAGAAGAGCAGCAAACTAAGTGTTGCTCCTAGGTACGTACGAAGGCCATACTCTGATAACTGTCAAACGAAATGGAAGAAAAGCACGAAAAAAGAACTCCACGCCCTAGGTCCACACGAGTAACATCATCAAGCGGTGCCTAGATATTTTCACAAGGAGTCGATTTCTCAGACTGATGATATTTTCTGCACCTTCTGAAAACGGCCTTGCATCCAGCAGCGGTACATCTTCAGCTGTTTGGCTCTGTTGACAAGCAGTCTCCTGTCAACACCCAGCTTCAGAACTTCAAATCCAGTACTTGGTAACGCGTCTGAAGAGCCTTCTTCGTCAGCGCCTTTGCCAGTCCAGATCTTGATCAACTCGTCCTTCTCGAAGAAGTATACCCGTGTTCCGTCGCCTCGAATATAAAAATTCTCCTCCAGGTAGCGACCCTTCTTGAAGCGCACTTGAGCTAGATCACCCCGGCCATAGTCTCGGAAGAGCACTTGGCCTCCGGGCTTCAGCAAGCGGAAGGTATTGTGTACGGCTTGTTTCCACTGTAGCGGCGACAGGGCAGAAAAGATGAAGATCATGATGACCAGATCGACAGACTCCTCTCCAAGGTCGGGAGGTAGCTCCTCGCTGGCAGCATCCCAGACATCCGCTTGTATGTTCGTGGAGACATAGGCCTCATTCTCACGTATCACTTCCACTGCCTTTTTGGAGAAATCGCATGCATGTATTTTGAGATGGGGATTTTGATTATGGGCTAGGATAGGAAATGCCGTGTTCCCAGCACCGGCACCAACCTCGAGGAGTGTTATTGGACCTGCATCGATCTTGGTAATCTCAGCGAGGATGGGAAATTCTTGTTGGAGCCATTTGCGGTCCTTGAAGAAATTCGCCGTGTTGTTCTTGTAGAAGTTGTTCCACCACTTTGCAGGTTCCGAGTTGAATCTGTCTTTTTCACAAATCGGTCAGCTAGGCCCTAAACTACGAATAGGTGAGAGAGGGAGTGTGGTTGTTTTGCAAATCAGATAGGAGCGAAAGACATTGCTGAATTTGTATCGTTCATGGACCGAGGTCTCAGATGAACTATGCATTGATTGTTTGTTCATCAGGATGCGGGAGGGAGGACTCCAAGCGAGGAAAGAGGTGGACATGGAAGGGCTTACTTTTGTCAAAATCGGAGACGGGCGACTCTCGCTGCTTGGCATATTGCAATTCTGCATATTCCTTGTAAGTCTCGTCAGCTTCAACATGGTCCCAGGCATTAAATTCGAAGACGTTGTCTTGTTCGCTAAGCAGACGAGAGCCAAACTGGAAGGGATCGCTCCTCTTCAAGTTTTTCTCAGGATCGTGGGACAGATGTGGAGGGGTCTGGTCCTGGGCACCATCTGCAGTAGCTATCGACAAATCTTTCGCAGCCAGAGCCATTGCGGTCTTCTTTGGTCAATATTGGAAATAGTGAATGTGTAAGGGAAGAGGTTGAAGAGAGAGAAAAAACTCGGATCGAGATGGAAGCTTTATGCGCGGAACTAGTGATTAGCGCAGGGCGGTGACCCAGTGGGCAGAAAATTGACAAGGCTGGGCTTGGCTGGGCTTGGCTGGGCCGACGGGCTAGGCCGAACACATTCCATGACCTCACGATATATATTCCAGGGCAACTAAGGATCTTAAAAAATACTCGAAGGACTCTAGGGAGTTGCTTCCATTGCTTGTCGAAATGAGATACTTTCTCTCATAACGTTTTACTTTCAATCAGCTTTTCTTTCCCTTTCACTCACGCAATCGCTCCCATCTCACACCTCAGTACGTCGCCATGTCGAAAACCCTTCTACAGACTGCCCGGCCAGCTTCAACTCTCTGTTCCTTGAAGCCAACTGCTCGACGGAGCTTCATAACACTGCCCGGAACCGAAGTGCAAAGCCTCAAAGCGACACGGATTCTTCCCTACAAATCCTCTAGTCTCTACACGCTCATCGCCGACGTCGACAGTTATTCCAGCTTCCTCCCCTACTGTCAAGGCTCGAGAGTTACAAAGTGGTCCGACCCAGACAAGAATGGCAAGCGCTGGCCCTCGGAGGCAGATCTGAAGGTCGGATGGGGTGGATACGAGGAGACCTTCACTTCAAGGCTCTTCTGCGTGCCCGGCTCGACGGTGGAAGCTCTCGGGGGAGAAGCCACCACATCTTTGTCCAGGGGGGATCTCGAACACCACGCGGCAACGATGGACGCCCCGGCAATCGCCAGTAGCATATTCCAGTCTATGCGCACGGTATGGATGCTGCGACCTTTTCATTACAAGCCACCCTCGGGCCGACCGCAGACGGACACGGCTGAGCATCCGGCGAGGGATCGGACAGAGGTCCACTTGAAGATCGATTTCCAGTTCTCCAATCCCATATACGCTGCGTTGAGCAAGGCTGTTGCGCCTAAAGTTGCCGGAATCATGATCGAAGCGTTTGAGTTACGGGCGAGGAGGATATTAGACGGTCCTGGAACGGCTGTCCAGGAGAAGGATTCATTAGAACATGCATTCAGTGCTGGGAAGAAGATTGGCGCATAATGGAAGAGCTGGTAAGGGGCTCGGATTGAAAATGTACAAGATGTACATTGTAGAAGCTCACGCCGTAGACAACCCAGATATGCATCAGTACTTATTCGCGCATCTCGCGAGCAGCCTTGTCAGGTACATGTAGGTTACGAAGGACCTCAAGTGCAGCCAAGTCTAACAGAATACTAAGTAGTCAATTGCTCTCATGTGAGACGCATGTGGATCTGTGATGACCTCCCACGAAGCAGTAACTCCCGAGGAAAAGTTCCTTGCGCGAAATAAATGTATCGATTCATCTCTCAGAACGACCGGCAATCCACGCCCCTTGGGCCACAAGGACAAAACACAGGCCCTTATCGAATATGATCTCCTTTCTCCCTACGTTGTCTCCCAATCGTTTTCCAGGTAAATTTACAAAGGGCTGGCGCCCTGCAGCGTGGTGGTGCAGACAGCCACGTTACTAGAGCCCCAATTCCCAACTGAACTGATACGCGGTTCCTATCCATCAATTCCCATTCATTCATGCCCGAGCTACCGCGACACATACTCATACACACTCTCGTCACCTCCAACCCAATCAATATACACCTCCCTCCCCCTCCACTCCCCCCGATCTCAATACACAAGCCCAACCCATCCATCCTAATGACTCAACGTCGTCCTCCCCTTCGCCTTCCTCCTCTTCAGCAACGCCCTCCCCTTCCTCGTCTTAACCCGACTCAAGAACCCGTGTCTCCGCTTGCGCACAAAATGACTCGGGTCAAAGGTATCCCGCGGGCCGCAGCGGATCTGGATGCTGCCGAGGGCGGGGTGAGCTGAGATCTTAGGGAGGAGATCCAGGATCGCGCAGCCGGAGGGAGAGGTAGAGGTAGAGGAGGAGGAGGCGGGCGCTAGCGGCGTGGAGAGGAGGGCAGATGGTGATGGACGGAAGGCGATGGAGGGGGGGAGGAGACTCGGGCGTGAGGGACCGTGGAAGGAGGTGAGTGTTCTGATGGGGGAAATGTTACTAACTTCAGCTGGGCATGAAGGGGTATGAGGGGGGGGGGGGCTATTGAGATAGGTAGTTAGGTAGGTACCTTTTGAGTGGAGCCTGGATGGCCGAATTTTGTGTACTTTGTGATATTGACGCGGGCTTGAGGACGGTAGCGAGCCCTCGAGGGCAGCGTAAACACAGCATCTTGCTCGGTTGAATGTGCGCGGCGGGTTGGCCGGGGAGACAGTGAAACCTTTACAGTGTACGTTATGTTCATGCTGTCGACGATTAAGCTCAAGCTCAAAAAAAAGGGTGCTAGCGGCCGCTCCTCCCCCCCAAAAGAAAACAGTTTATTTTCTTGTAGTACTTGGTATGTAACAACTTCCAGCGCGGGTACCTACATTGACTCTACCAAATCGACTCTACTAGAATTTTAATTGCCCTCCTTCATAAAAGACTGCTACATCAAAACACCCAGCTGGACAAAGGGCTTTGTTGAGCCTTAGAAAACCCAAACACCATGTCCGCCTTCCCCCCCCAGCGGACGGTAGCCTCGATGCCCGTCTCCCAAAACATCGCGCTCAAGTACCTCTCAACCTACCTCGAAGCAGCAAAGAGCTCCCCGCACCTCCTCCCCAACGCCCGCCTCGAGCCGTCCGGGCCGACCGCCGGATCCAGCAACGCCAGCATCACGATTCACAACCTGCAGCGGGTCGAGGCCGGTCTGAGGGGAGAGAGGCTGGGCCCGGCCGTGGAGCTGGAGGAGAACAATGTCCCGATCGCAGATGGGATGGATGATGGGACGAACAAGGGAGAGGGCAATGTGGAGGGGGAGGGGTGGGTGAATCTAGCTGAATATCAGAGGGATCAGAGCGTTGAAGGTGGCACTGCCGGGGACAACCCCACGGCTGAGGAAATGGACTCAGATCTGGAAGCCGGCAACGAGAAGCGCGGGAAGGATGAGGGTGAAGCTGCAGCGTACGGCGCCATGGTGTCTGGAGCTGGCGAGGAGGGGCAGAAAGTAATTGACAAGAAAGCACGAAAAGCCGAGAAGAAAGCCAGGTTGAAGGAGGAGAAGAGGGATAGATCACGTAAGAGGGCTGCAAAGAGCGAGCATTCGGTCTAACCCCGGTGGAAATGATCACGATTCCCGGCCAATCCATCGAGAGTTGGAAATTACATCCATTCCGTGCCTATAATCTACAATTCCCTTCCAGAGGCCTTCGATGCCTTCTCGTCAATTTTCACCGAATCATCATCCACCACTTTCGTTTCGCCATACCAACCCAAGGCTCCCAGTCGCTCCGACAGAATCGGGTGGGAGAAGTGGTAGCTGGCATACATCCAATCGGCATCCATCGTGCTCAGATTCTGGATCTGGAGCTTAATCAAGGAACGGGCCAACTCGGTCGTGTAGCCGAGCTTGACGGCGAAACCATCGGCCTCAAATTCGTACTTGCGGCTCAGGATGTTCATCAGGAGCTTGATAACTGTGTCCATGGGAGCAAGCACATCTGAGAAAAGGATGAAGCCAACGATTATGGGAAACTCCTTGTGGAATCCAAATGATTGGTAGAGGGAGTGGTTGTTGATGAAGACGGAGAAGAGCGCAAAGATGTAGAAAAAGTGGGCCTGCAAATGTCAATAAGATGCCTTCTGCTGCCGTGCTCTGAAACATACCTGTGAAATTCCAAAGAGTCTAGTTGTATGGCCGAGACTCCAGTGACCCAACTCGTGAGCAAGAACGGCGACGACTTCCTGCGTCTCGCTCTTCTCGATGAGGGTGTCGTAAATTACAATATGCTTCTTCCACGGCATGCCGAAGAAGTATGCATTGCTGTGAGCACTTCTCTTACTGCCGTCAATGACATAAAGCTCGTGAAGTGGGAAGTTGAGTTGCTTCGCCAGCCCTTCGACGCCAGCCTTCAGGTCACCCGGTGGGAGTGGAGACAGCTTGTTGAACAGAGGCAAGATCGTGACGGGGTAGATGGTAATCATGAAGACCTGCAGACCAGCACCAAATACCCAGAGGTAGAAGAAGAAATTGTTGCCCGTCTTCTGGATGATCGAGAGGAAAGCAGCCAGAATGGGAGGGGCCAGAATGCAGGTTAGCATTTGAGACTTCAACATGTCCATGACGAAAAGCTTAGGAGTCTGCTTGTTGAAGCCAAACTTCTCCTCGAGGACGAATGTCTGGTAGACCGAGGTGGGAATGGACACGACTTGCTGAAAGGCGATGAATGCAATGATGAAGAGGATCGACTGGCTGATTTCACCGCTGAATCGAGCCGGGGCGAATCGAAGAATCCACGAGCCAGTCAGGGCCCAAAGTTTCGGGAGGAGATCGTAGTGGATGACTGCCGTGTTCGTAATTTGTCCGTAGAGACCGCTAGAGAGACTGAACCTTGCCTTTGCCCGTCCGTAGGCCTGCGTCTTGTCAGCCGTGTTTGTTGACTTGCAGCGCAGGGCGACATACCTGACTCTTGTCATAGACCTCTTGTGACACTTCCTTTTGCAGAGCTTTAGGCGGCCGTGTTTGTTTGAGTACTTGGTATTGGCGCAGAGAAAGAAAGGCTTCGAAGGCATATTGCGCAAGGGAGAAGCCGATGATGAGCTTCTTCCATGGAAACTGTGGCCTGTCGAGAAGGCGGGCAAGACGCTGCATTGCTGTCAGTCTAGTTTCTTTCTGCGAGGAGTATTTGGCCCTGTTGTAGCGCACCTGAAGAAAGTCCATCTTTGCGATCACGGAGAAGAGGGACGAGTATGTGGGAGAAAAAGAAAAGAATGAAATCTCTCGGAGATGTTGAAGTTATATGTACATGTACCGCACCCACGGAAAACGATCTGTCTTCAAGGCGGCGGTCGGACTCCCAGGAATAGCCGCGGTCCTGGGCGCTTTGTTTCGTTTCAAGTCACGGCTCTCGGTAAGGGTTCAGCAGTCGACTTAGAGCTCATGGTAGCTAGCTACCTACCACAACATCCCCTACCAATCGGCGACAGAAAGAATCAATTTCCCAGTTGCTATTAAGTATGTAGACGAAGCAGGTAATAGCTTGCAAGAGGGAAAGCATGCTCGTATAAGCTTCCGGGCGCTCTCCGAAAAATCATATATCCTGCTTAATGCCACTGTTGATTCTAATAGCGCTGAGAAGAGTCGACCAGACTGCTGAATGCCCTGTGCTGCGTATACAAAGAACAATAAGAGACGGAGATCTCACACCACAATAGCCCTTTCCATATCAAACACATAGTACATATATATATTTCATACATAACCCGACGCTGCCGGGTGTGCTTTTCGCACGCTGCCTGCCCTCCTCCTCTTCAAGTCTCGACCGGCAACGGCGGAAACAGACCATCCCAAGCACAGCGTCCCGGTGGAATAATCGCAATTCCGTAAGAGTCGTCAGCTCCAAAACTCGCATCGCTGAACGTCCGTCGTGAAACATCTACACCTATCATGTCAAGCAGCTGTGCCGCCTTCGATGGCATATACGGCTGCAAGAGGATGCCCACAATCCGGATAGCCTCTGCGCAGTGGTATACCGTGGAGTCAATCTGGGCCTGGGTGGCTTCGCCGCTGCCCTCGTCTAGTCCGTTACCGAGTGATTTTACAAGAGCCCACGGCTGCTGAAACTGGAGGTAAGTATTTGTCTGAGGGGTTATCAATCAGCATTGCAAGTACGTCCACAGTGGTGGAAGCTTCTCTACCTTATACACCGCATCCATGATGATCTGCAGCGCGGCTCCGGGAATCAACTGCTCCATCTTTGCATTGGCCGCTTCGCTTAAAGATTCTAACATTTCTATCTGATCTCTGGTGCTTTGATTCGGAACTCCAAGTTTCCCTTCTTTCGCACGTTGGACTGCTTGGGACACACTCCAGATTTTGGGTCTGGTGATCCTGCTCACGAGGTTGCCCAGTCCACCTTGGAGACCTTTCTTGTACCTCTCGATGATGAAATCGTTTCCATAGTCCGCATCGTTAGTAATGCCGCCATCATGGGCAAGGTAGTATCGCATTACCTCTACCCCAAACCGATCCATTGCGAAAAACGGATTGACTACATTGCCAGTGGATTTGGCCATTTTCTGGTGGTTGAGCGTCCAGTGTGCATGGGTGAGAATCTGTTTGGGAGGTGAGATATCGAGAGCGAGAAGGAAAGCGGGCCAGTAAATACAGTGAAATCGCACAATATCTTTGCCAATCACTTGCACGTCTGCGGGCCAGCCTAGGGCGTTCTCCTTCCCAGGAGCCCATGGGTACCCAGCTTTGGTAATGTAGTTGACTAGCGCATCCAGCCAAACGTAGATCGTCTGGCTTTCATCTTCTGGTACTGGAATTCCCCAAGTCAACCTTTCAACAGGCCTTGACACTGACAGGTCATCCAAACCTGCCGAAACCCATTTGACAACATCCGTCATGCGGGAAGCAGGGACGACGAACTTAGGATTTGCTTTGTAAAATTCCAGGAGCCGGTCTTGAAACACGGACAGCCTGAAATGATAGTTCTTTTCAGAGGTCCACTCGACTTCCTTCCCAGTTTCCTGCGACGCCATGAAGGTACGGCCTGTAAATGGGTCCAGTCTCTTCTCTATCGTTGATTCCGGATAGTAAGTTTCATCACTGACACAATACCAGCCTTCGTGCTTGGACTCGTATATGTATTCTCTCTCCTTCAACATCTGCCAGAAGTACTGAACCGCCTCTCTGTGATCCGAGTCGGTGGTCCTAACAAAATGGTCATTGGATAGCCCAGCACGTTTTACCAAGGACTGAAAAGTCTCAGCGGTCAAATCGCAGAACTCTTTTGGCGGGGTCTGGGCTTGCTGGGCAGCTTGCTGTATTTTCATGCCGTGTTCGTCGGTTCCAGTACAGAGAATAGCTTTCTTTCCCCTCAGGACTTGCCATCTCTTGAGAATATCCGTGAGGACCATGGTGTAGAGATGACCGACATGTGGAGCTGTAGGGAGAGTCAGCAAAGGCATAGGTTGAGGACTGGGCTCCTACCAGCATTAACATAGAAGATTGGAGTTGTAACATAGTAAGGCTTTTCCAGCAGTCGCCCGCTTGTTGAGAATCGCGCCACAGAATGCGGTTTCGCTCTACAAGAGCTGCAGACCCATTGAGGTCTCCATTGCACTGCGATTCTTGCCTGCAATAATCGGTGCCGCGCAGCAGGGAGAGGGAGAAACTTCCGCGTATTCATGGTCGGCCGGTCTGGCTGGATCTCGAAATTTGGTGGTGGAGTTCAGGTTCTTAGAGCCAGCGGCATTTGCGGCCGACAAAGCCGCTTTTGTCAGCCTTGCATTGGACTCGGCTGGATTGCACGCGACGACGACGACAACAACTATGATAACAAAAATATTACACTAAATTCCCGCGTCTGGTGGTAATATTTCTTTCTTCATTTGTCTGTATCAAATTTAGCTCTCTGGACTCGGAAAGTAATTAGCATCGGCCTTTCTTTAGCTTTCCAGAAGAAAAAAAAAATAAACCCCCCAACTACCAGCCAATTGTTGGACACACCCACAGACAGGTACAGCGCACCACGAGGATAGGATCACCATCATGGCAGAGCCGACCGAAGATGTCCTAGTCAAGGTCGCAACCAACGGTAAATCCTAAAACAGCCCCAGATGCTACCTACGGACAACGGGCTAACATCCACCCATCGTAGCGGCCGAAGACTTCGTCAAGAGCTTCTACTCCACCCTGAGCAACGAGACAGGCAAGCTCGCCGGCTTCTACATCAAGCCGTCCCCATCCCACCCGCTCAAGCCCAAAATCACCATCAACGGCAACCTGGTGAAAGACCCGGAGACGTTCGAAGCCACGCTCAACAAACAGAAGGAGCGACCCAGCTACGATTACAACTCCTTCGACGCTCACCCGCTGAACCACAATTTCAACGTCGGCGCCGACGATACGGCTCCCGACAAGGATGGCAAGAAGATGAGCATTGCAGTCATGTGCAGCGGCAACGTGAAATACACGCTGGAGGGCGGCATCGAGACTCATAGCTTTAGCGAGAGCTTTGTTTTGGTGCCTAATTGGGACACGCACAAGCCTAATGCTGCGAGAGGTCTGAAGAATTGGTTAATTGCCAGCCAGAATTTTAGGCATATTAGTTGAGCGTCGAGGGAAGGAGAAAAGGTCTCGCGGCGTTCTGGTGTATTGCGGAGAGGAGTGGTTGGGTATGGGTTTTTGTCTGCTACGATTTCGATACGGGAGCTGGCGGATGCATGACGGAGAAAAAGTCTTCTCAAGGTGTACTCATTTTTGCCATTTCAATTCGAAGCTTCCCCTTATCTTATTGTTCTCGCTACGTCCCTATTTGTTTACAATTTCCTTTCAAATATTACTCGAGCTATATTTTCATCTTCCTCCAATTCATGCTCGAACTATATTTCCAAAGTCACGATAACAACCCGTTGGCTTCTAGCTTCTGCCTTCTCCTTATATTACTTTCTGATACTATCTGAATTCATACTTCGCCCACTGTCGGTCGAGGTATCCCTTCCTTGATCCTCCATTGTCACACCAGTTCACCCTATACAACCACTTATAGTTACCGGAGACAATATACTTACTCACCCTCTTCACATTCATATCTCTTTCCTATTCAAGCCTCCCTATTCCAGTCTAGATCATAGTTCGACCCCCTATGTTTCCCTTTCTGAGCCGACTCGAACTGGACTCCGGACTATACTCCTGGACATTCTGACGACCAGACAGGCTTACACTAACAGCCTTCAAACTCGCCTTTAAAGGTGCTGAAATAACTCAGGTTCTGGATCTTCGGACCGATACGAATCACCACGCTCACAAATACAACGCAAGCACTTGACTTTTCACCCTGGGTAATTACAACAGCAAGCAACCAACCATGAAGATCCCAGCGAGCTTCTTCGACGCCAACGGCAAGCCCGCCAAAGGCGAGATGATACTGGTGAAAGACGACGAGGACCAGACGACCCTGCCAGAGTTCGGCCAGACCCGCAATGGCATCGTCACCAGTTGCTACGTGCTCACCTCACCCGGCGACGTGCTGCGGCTGAGGTTCGCTCTCAATGCCCACATTGCAGACCAGGCCGACCTGGTGGTAGACGGAATCCTGCGCAGCTCGATCCAGAACAAGTCGGCCAAGGGCTTCAAGGGGGTCTTCAAGAAGGCCCTGTACAAGGAGCAAAAGCCCAATGGCAAACGAGCTGGGTTGAAGAGCTGTAGCATGAAAGTCAAAGAGCGAGGCACGTCCAAGGGTAAGGTCCCCCCCCTTTCGATTTCTCGAATTCTGGTTATCTAACAATGCAGATACCCAATTGAGCGGTGTGGGAGGTCCGTCGGATGTCGGTAGCATATCAATCCGGCTATTTCGAAAGGACCATTCCAGCAACGAAGAGTCCAGCGGCTCGAGTGACGATAATGGCACCTCTGCAGCAACAACTCCCGCCCCCGATACAAACAAACCTGCTGTCAAGCGAGCGCCCACATTTGAAGAATACGCAGAGTGGTCCGACTGCAAGTCCAGTCTTGCCTCTGGGAAGACCCCTCTTCCACCTTTCGTAATCGAGTAAGCAGTATCCGTGAAAAAAAAAAAAAAAGGGCAATCACTGACATATCAACCAAGTTTCGTCGATGGCACGCAGGCTAAAGATAGAACTAAAGAGCAAGTTCTCAAAGAAATGACTGGCTATGATCTCTGGGCTATCTTCGTCTTCCACCTGCGCTCGGCCGCAGACATCGGAAATCCTGGCCACGAATGCGAGGCCGGCTATATAGCTCAAGCTGCTGCAAGTTCGTCAGTTCATTCGAGAACAACAATGGAATCCGCAGCTGTTGGTGTAAAGCCAACAAGCTCCACTGCTCCAGCAGCCACTGAAGACAATCTACCAAATGGCTTAGTCGAGGAGGAGATAAAAAATGAGCAAGAGAGTACAAAGGCCGAGAGAAAAGGGCTTTCTAACAAATACAGCTCTCCCGACGCCCAAAAGGCGACTCTCTCCGGTGTCATGAGTGTGCTGCCTGGGCCGAGCAAGAAACACTCGCTGGAATCTGCAAAGGAGGCCTTCCTTGAGCCAATGATTTCAAAATCGACAGTCGATGGATTGTTCAGCAAAGATCGTTCCATTGGACCTAGGACTTCCATGCTGGTCGTCGGGAAGGAGACAGGTAAGAAATTCGACGTCTCCAGAGGTGGCAGCTTTGCCAGAGAGGGTACTGTCTCGCGCTTCTCCAAGGCTGGCTCTACTCCGACCACGGCTGCCTCGGCTTCGAACGATGCTGAGATTCCGGTGGATGACGTTCTTCCCAAGGGAGAACCACTCAACAGCTTCGGAAAGCCTGGGTCTCGCCAGAGGAATACGCTGGTTGGGATTCCAGGTGTCAAAGGTGCACCCGCTCATCAAGCATTCCTTGAGAGAGCCCCAACGGAGGAGGAGGAGGAGTCTCGTTCACAACTAACTGTGGCAAAGTCCCCAAAGTTTGGTACCCAGGACTATGTCAATGGGATTTCTGAGCTATTTTCCCAGCAAGCCGCTTCCGATGTGCGATTGTTAGAGGATGTCCGCCAAACCTCTCTACCTCCAGAGCCCGTTCCTTCGATGGAGGGCGGAAGATACCGACCCTCTGGTAACCACAACGAGTTTTCCAATTACGTCTGGAAGCTCTTAACCCCCCCTAATATCTCTTTGAAGAATAAGTTTAGTCAGTCTCAACGTGGCTCCGTTGATCTGAGAGGTATATGGAGACGCTCGAAGCCTATCTCGCGTGATCTGGCATCGAACTCAATTAGCTCGCCCAAGGTATCAAAAGCACCGGCCAAATTCCAAAGTGGTATCATCGTCGATGGGACCCGAGGAGCTCAGAAGTCACAGGCTTCGTCCCCGACTGCTAGCACACAAAGCCAAGAATTTGGTGTTAGTGACCCAAGAGCTCCTTTGCCATCCACTCAGCCACAAGCGACGAACGCTCCTCGTCAGAGCCCAAACCCTTCCCCGCCAGAACCACTCGGTAAATCCCTATTAGAGGAGCCATCTGACACAGAGACCGAAGTAGCACACCCCGAGGATATTGAACGCGCCATCAGAAGTAGCCGGAGGACCGATATTGCTACAGCCTTCGTCGCATCCCCGCAGAGCTTTAATCCAGACCCTTCTCAAGATGCGATATTCAAGTCTGAACCAGCTGAGCCTGAGCGAGCCATCCCCAGCCACCCGAGCCCGATTCTAGAAAAACCCCTTCTTTTCGGCCCCAATCCCCCACGTCCTCTTCCTCGAAGCCCAGTGCCACGAATGGTATCGACAAGCCGGATGGCAAGCGGGATTCCTACTGGAGATCCAGCTGAGGAGGTTCTTCAACTCTCAAAAGGCAAACCGAGTCATGCGTCGAGCTCTCACAGAGGCCGTCATGACGAGGTTCGCCCAGTCTCCCGAGCTACACCTCAATCTTCGCCGCTCGCCGCTCCCCAGCCCTCCACGGAACCAGTTTCTCCACCGGTAGGTCAAGCCGTCGGAGCAGCCACAGGAACGGGTCGGTGTTCTCCCCATGTTCAAGGTGTCAACCAAACCATCACCAAGACCACGGTCCCGGAGAAGCGCAAGGCGGAAGTCATGACCGGAAACAACGCACTCGATTCGAGCTTGCCCAACAAGCGATCGATGGCGCTAGCTCAGGCGAGGAGTGGAGGTCTTGAAGCAGACAGACAGGCGGCCGAGGCTCGCATGTCTGCAGCGGAGAAGGAAAATAGAAGGCTTCGAAAGGAGCTGGGCGAGGCACGACTGCTTGAGGCGAGACTTAACGAGGTTCGTGCGCGACGCAGTCCATTCAAGAAGTGAGCAATTGTTGATATGCACGCAGATCCGACAGATGAATAACAGAGCAGCTGCGGTAGAGAAGGAGAATGCTGAAATGCGGGCAAGGTCGATATTCCTGATCTCCGGATATCACAGCTAATGTTGAGACAGGCAAGAATTAGTTACATTTACGGAAGCGAAGTAGAGCGTGTTTCGGGGTCGGGGTCGGGGTCAAGATAGTTGGAGGCCACTGCAATTTTCCAATTTCTCCAGCGCTGCCTGCTGAAGGCCTGTCCCGTGGCTTATACCTCAGCTGAAAATGGCGGTGGCTTGGTATTATAAAGCTCTTGGGCTCGGCCACCCATCTTTGCACCCAACTCGGGATGGACTCACACATCTTCAACCTGCCGGTCCTCGGCACAATTTACTATTTCTTATATTGCGTTGAAATTTAATATCATATAATAAAAAAGGCGCCTCACCAGAATGGAGGAACAGGGCAACGCAAGGTTCAAGTACAAATTCCGCAGACCAATAATTGAAACTGGGGATACTTCCTCAGTCTGTATCGTACAATGTTGGCAGAGATGCGATAGTCACCCCCTGAAGAGTGCATTTTCGAACGTTGCAAAGAGTATCGAGTATTCAAGAAATTCGTATTGACTTCGTCATAGCACATGCAAATAAATTCAGATAGCCGACCAGCGCTTGAAATCCAAGGTCCTGCCACGGCGTCGCCAAACGCCTCGCAGATACCGTGACCGTCACATCAACTCCTCGGCGTCCGTAAGTTGGCTTTGACTCGTTCGAGGAGTTGTGCTTCACTATCCTTGGAATTTGGATGCAAATTTCTCTGATATCAAAGTTAGCATTGTGTCGAGCTGACAGCCACTTACCGACGAAATGAAATACAGTGCCCCCTCGCCCTCTTGACCGACGGATCTGAGAATGGAAATGATACCGAACGCTTCCACCCCACCAGAACAGACAGCATGGACGTGTCCGAGAACTTACTGCTGCTAGCCATCTCCGCAGTTCCTCGTACGTCCAGGACTCCGGATCTATAGAGTGTCAATGACTGCAGACTCGATTTCTTCGACCCTATGATAGAGGGCAACGAACGTACCACCAGTTGGATCTGACTCCTTCGGAAAGATATCTTGACCCCATATTGACCACGTTGCTACTGCAGTGATTATTCCAACAAATGCTGTTGTTCAAGGTCAGCTATCTACTCCGTTTTCGGGTGAGGTCTTGGCTATTACCGAGGAAAGTGTTCTAGACAACATGATATCAGTCAACTCCGTATGTGAAATGAAGTCGGTGATCGGATATATAATAAGGTAGACTCCATGCGATGTAACCAAGAGCCCACGTACCTTTGAGTTCAGAGCTCTATCGAGAGGAGTCGGCATCTTAGGGATATCTGAGAGGAGATGGCTGGCACTGCAGCGGAAGCGAGGTTTATGTTTTGAAGCAGGGGGTTGCTCAAGACTCGAAGCTCAGATCTCTAATGAAGTAAAGTCCGGGTCAGATCACATGACTAGACCTCAATCAAAAGCTTCCTACTCTATCAAATCTTTTCATTCCTTTTCACACTCGATAGAGCTCCATAATTGTCAAAATATGTATTACTGGTACTTTATCTTGACCAGGAATTTCTTTTCCGACTTCCACCACAGAATCAGAATCTGTTTCACAGAGAGGTATCACGACAAATTCTGGACGATGGAATTTGGGTAATTGAGGCTTATCGGCTAGCTTTCCCTCTTATCGCAACCGAGACCTCCCAACACGTGCCACCCACAATGCGAATTCAACATCGATCGCATCGACAATCTTTCCTCCCCGCCAGCACTACCTTCATTTCTCACCAGACACCGCATTGAAAACCACCAAAATGCCTCGCGAAATCTCCGATATCAAAAACGTAAGACTTTAGACATCCTCATATCCATCTAGATGCCCCCCCCCCCCCTCTGCGCTGTGGTTGTACAATTCAATCCGCTGACGATATTTTACAGTTCATTGAGATTTGCAGACGCAAGGATGCTTCATGTACGTTTCCCGCCTGCGATAGACCCTCCTTGGATTGAAAACTGGAAGAGGAGGGAGGAGACGGGAGAGAGAGGAACTTTTGGAATGGGAGAAGGGGTAGAGACGGGAGTGCGAAGATTTGAGGCTGATGGGAAATACAGCTGCCCGCATAAAGCGCAACAAGAAGTCCTCGCAGATCAAGTTCAAGGTCCGCTGCCAAAGACACCTCTACACTCTCGTCTTGAAGGATACCGAGAAGGCCGAGAAGTTGAAGCAGTCGCTGCCACCCAGTACGTTTATTTGATACTCCGGGGGGGGAATTGGCTCTGGGCAGAGTCTGAGTCGTGACGGGAGGGCGCGTTGGAGGACTTTGGGCAGATTCATGGGGGAACCCGGATTCTTTCTGGCCAGATACTGAACGCTAACTAACATGGTTTGCTCCGCAGACCTTACCATTGCCGATACCCCCAAGAAGAACGCCAAGGGAAAGCGAAGCGCATAAGCGATGACGGGCTGGGTTTTTGAGTCGAAGGCAAAGGGTTGGTGAGGATGGGAATCTGCAAATTGACTTCATTTGCACGGGCGTCTGGCATATCAGGGCATAACTGGAACCGCGGAGCTGTTACGAAATAGTAAAGCGAAAAATGAAGTGCAACCCAAAATATCACATGGTTCCCTGCCGAATTGAGAGAGATACGGGTGAAGGGAAAAATTCGAAGTGATTGATGTCTTGACGTCTTTGCAGAATCCTGGGAAACCAATGCGGCACCGGGCAAGTTCTCGCCAGGTTCCTCCTCAGGTGCTTCGGATGTTCGAAGTGTCCAGAGTCGAGTGCCGCTCCATGTGCAGACAGAGCACAAGGGACATTGGTACGAATCTGGCAGGACACTTTCAAACCTAGGTGAAAGGTATGATAGTTGTGATATCGTAGTGGGAGTTGACCTCACTGCCTTTGGGGCCCTTCCCTAAAAGTGGGCGAAAAAAAAGGATGCCACGCGAAATAAGTCTGTCCGGCGTCGGATTGAAATTATTCTTTGTTTTCCTAATGATGTTTATCATGATACACTAAAAGCCTGTCAGTAAAAAAATTGATCATACACGTTCAGTCAACGTCCATTCCATCACTGTCATCAGTCTCGACAACATCGCCAAGATTTAGAAGCTCCTTCTCATCGTCATCTAAATCCTCGTCCTCGTCCGCATCACCCTCGCCCTCGCCCTCGCCCTCGCCCTCGCCCTCACCCTCGCCCTCACCCTCACCCTCACCCTCACCCTCGCCCTCGCCCTCGCCCTCGCCCTCGCCCTCACCCTCGCCCTCGCCCTCGCCCTCCGCTTCTCCTTCCCCTTCATCACCCTCCATACCCAATATCTCCTTATCCATATCGTCGAGGTCCTCTTCCCGATCCATCCGAGCGTGGCCGTTAGCTCTTGGCTTGGAGTTCTGACCGCGTTCAGCAGGCTGCTCGTCTTCAGTCTCGTCGTTATCTTGTTCAGCGCCGTTGCCATTGACGCGGTTGGTGCCCATAACTCCAAAATTCGGGTCCTTATTGGCCTCCCAGCGATCGAGTCTTCTGATCATACGCCTAAAGGCTTTACCGTAAGCGGCCAACTCTTCGCCAAAATCGTCTTCCTCCTCAGCTAGCTGTACCAAACCTCCCATTCCACGCTCTTTGAAAGGGAAAGCAGGTTTCATGAGGGCAGCCTCGTCTTCACTATCGTCGAGAGGATCCGTCATGCGTTCAGTCCGCTGGTAAGAGCGCCATAGAGCACCGTCATTCCTTCGTCGTTTTTTGAAGACGTGATGCTGGGCGCGCATACCACGGGAGAGAATGTGATTTACTCGCTGATTATGATGCTGTTGGACGCGGATCTGGTGCTGAGTGAGTGGTCGGGAGCGACGCATAACTGGCTCTCCAACATGATGGCCAGTGGGCGAGGATCCCTCCGCTATTTGATTTTTGAGGCCTCCACGGCTCTTTCCGGCGTTAAGTACGCTCTGGATTCGCATACCTCCCAGAGATCGAGGCGGAGGAGTAGAGCGGGTGCTGTCCATGTCGGACTCATACTTTGGCTTCATGTGACGGCCAAGCAGAGACGCCGGACTTGGCCCGCCTTCCTCAAGAGGCAGGTGAAGCTTTGGCTTTGGACCTCGCTTCGGTGGGCCAAGTTCGCTTGTAAAAGTAGCTTGGTCGGCTTCGATGATTCGCTTTCTCTCCCGCTGTTTGGAGAGACCGTACTCGAGTTCCTCTGGAGTATCTACGTTTTCCTCTGCTTGCTCTTCGGGCGTGAGGAACTTGTACCGAGGAACACCTTGATTCCGGACATCAAGATCGTAATCAATACCAGGGCCAAAAGGATTCTCGTCTGCTCCCTCTTCAGTGAAGTCGGATTCCAGATAGAACCACATCAACCATAAGAATGCTGTGGCCCGAGACTCACTAGACACGTCTTCCGCCATCAGGATATCGTAGAAGTCTCTCTCAGGAGGAAAATGCAGCTCCGTGACCTTCGGGGCAAACTGGGCAAGGACGAAGATGAGGTTCACTGGGTTCGTTCGGGGGATGGGGGTAGTTTTGATCTTCTCAAGGGAATTGGGCTCCCGTCGATCCTCCGAGGCTCCCTTCAGTATCGACTTGAGTCTCGGAGCATCCTGGAGCTGCTTGTATGAATTTGGGTCTTGGTGTGCTTGTAGCGATGGGATGGCATGATAGGTTCGAAGCTGGGCGCGCATTTCAGGGAAGACTGCGTATAGTTAGCTTCTCTTGGTATGCGATGCGACAGGGAGAAGATGCCACTGACAATTCAACGTAGTGTTCATCCGACCCAAATTGACCAATAGACACACCATAGCCATGTTCTTCGCTGGCTCATGCTCCGAAAATAGCTTGTCCCTCAAAATCTTACTCGTCTTCGTGCTCCGGGCCATTGTATCGATGTACAGATCCGCAAAGCTTTGTTTTAACGGGCTGGGGTCGTAGCTATTCGTGAAAACCTTTCGGTCATTGTCGAAGACGGCTTTGAGGAAGTCATATTGGATATCTCGTCGCCACAGCGGCTCTCCATCATCCTTCTTCAAGTGTTTGATTTTGTTGCCGACGTAGTTGGAATTTGTGATGTTATTCATAAGGGGTTCCTTGCGCTTGCGCGAATTGTTGCTGGCAGCAGGTTTCGATTGGGCTGCTGATGCTGACGTTGATGCCGACGCTGCCGCTGCTGCTAGTCCTAGTCCCAGGGCTGGTCCCCGGGGAGTTTTCACCTCGTCGTCGTCGGTCATTTCGGTTGGGTTGGTGGTGGTGATAGTGCCAGCGTCAGTCGGCCGTGATGCAGGTGGGGTGCTCGTTCGAGAGATGGGGTTGTTGTCTAAGAGGTGATGCAACGAGGTTCTCGGATCCTTTTCAGGTCGTGTAGGGGAATCGTCCATCTCCGAGTTTGCTCTCGTCGTTGTGCTTGGAGAAAGAGCGTCGAACATCATCTTGTCTTGGAAGCCGACCCGACGCTCTCAGCTAATTGACAGCCTAACTTGCTTACTCTGATTCAATCTGATTTTATTTCGCTGCGCAGGAAATTGATAGTTGTCTCTTGATCCGGTAGCGCTTGGTGGTGGGGTGTAGTTGTAGATCTCCCTTCATCTTCAATCGAGTCGAACTTCAGCCGAAGTGGTTTGTTGGTTACTTGCTCTAAATAAATAAGCTTCGGGAAGGGTTCTCATTTCCCTGGCCGGATCAACAGGGTCGCCCGCTCCGTAGTGCCTCGACCCTATCACGAGACATGATTGTGACCAGGCCACGTGCACTACTTAATTATCGTTGTATATTGATTAATTGTAGCTTACACCACTTATCTTACCTACCTACTATCCACTCATACCAATTCCCACTCACACACAAGGAAGCTCGGTAATCTGTTTACATGAATTGTCGCAGCATTTGGGTCATCACCACGCGAGCCGGTCCTGGAAGTTCAACGGAAGAGTCCTGTGAGTAATAAAAAGACGGCCACTTACTACCAACCATATTCTGCTACTTACCGAGCTCCAGAATGCACAGGATGCACTACCACTGCCTGCACAATAGTCTTACATTAACCACACATGTTACACGGCTCGAGTTTACCGGGCACGCTTCTCCTCTCCTCTCTTCTTGGCCCGAACTTCCGCTTGCCGTCTTTCTCCTCCTTCAATCTTGTGTCCTCTGCGCTCCTCCCAAAGGCCTTCCTTCACTTCAATCTTCGCCGTCTTGCCGCCCTTCAGGGGTACGACGTGGGGTCCTGCAATTGTGTGTGCACCCCGTATCTTCAAGCCCTTCACCGGTACAACGTCTTCTAAGGACTCGGGGGCACTGCCTCCTGCAGCCACATTGACGATGACCTTGTGCATTGCCGGAAATAATGCATCGCTCTGGTTTCCAACCGGAAACTCGGCGATGCGAACTTCTGCTACTCCTTTCTTGACGTGCTTCAAATCTCCTCCGATGCCGTGATGCCCATTCCTGTACTTCTCGCACCATCGCAATAAATAGCGTCGACTCCTCGGAGGTTCAACACCAAGCTCTTTGAGTTGTGATGAGGTGAGGGAGAATAAAGCCTTCCATGATGGTATCTTCGAGGCGTGTTGACTGAGGTTGCGGCCAATGAGTTTGAGGAAAGTCTCCACATTTGGGACGAAGGGCGTGGTCTTTGGGATCGGTTTTGCTTTCATGCGCTGATGGAGTGGTCTAATCTGCCCTCTTGTTGGCTTTGACTGGGTGAAGGGCAACAAGAACGACGGTATGGGTCGCAATTGGGGGGTGACTTTAAGAACCATGGCGGGTAACGATGTGGTCTGGGTAAGGGATTAATATTAATATGTATGAAGGTTCGGCTTGAGTTGGGGGCGTGGTAGGCCTTACCTTTGCGGCAGTGGTTGATGTCGTGGAGTGTTGCTGTCGTTGAAGTAAACAGAAAGTGTAAAGTAGAAATATAAAGTATAAGAAGCAAAAAAGGTCTGGCCTGGGATGTCAGGGTGATGCTGCCGGCTGGCCCACACTGGCCTTACTTTTACTTACACTAGTGGACTCGCTAGCGCGCCGATAAGGCTTCTTATCGGGATAGCGAGGTATCCGTAGGCAGGTACGTCAAGTATATAGCTAGGTACGGAATAAATATACCTACTACCTACTGTAAAGACGAAATACACCAACACTAACGGTAACACTACTTACTCAACAAGAATAGCTCCACTTCGCTATCAGGTATCTCGCTCTTCCTCTCTATTGTCTCGTCTCTATTGTCACCTCAAATATCCCGAAATCCTCTGCTTCGAAACCCCGACCCGGCCGCGGAACTTGAACACACACGCACGTGCACGTGACGGGCAGCCAGGAACATCTACTCCGTAGAGCAGCTTCGAGCCCCGACTGATCTTTCGGTTACCTAGGCAGTGAATGATATGGCCGCTCCTTCACCTCCATCTTCCTCGGACATCACAGCTTCACCGAACGGCCGAGAGGCAGACTTGAGAACTGAGAATGCCTCGCCTGCCTCTCCTGCCTCGCCCTTCGGCTCACTGCCTGATGAGCTTATTGAGTACATGTTAGAGGATCCCTCCACCTCCGAGCCACCCCGAAAACGACAAAAGATTCAGGGTCCGATTCATCCAAAAGTGCTCGGTATCGAGCATATCACTGTCAAAAAATCCACATGGCAAATTGTTTTCGCTGGGTCCAAACTATCGGAACTCGAGACGCCGATGGAAAAGAGTGATGTCTCTCTCCTTGTGCGTTGCAGTCGATCTCGGAAACCTGAGTATCTAGAGATCGTGGATGGGAAGAGACGATGTGTGTTCCATGCGCCTCTACCCCCCGCCGAGCTGGATCTAGAGGATGTGCATCTTGCTCTCTTGGTACATGACCAGTCCGGAAGGTGGGCTAGATTGGAAGGTAGGCTCTGGACCGAGTGTGGACTTGTTCTGTCACAGATAGATGGATATGATCGTCTCCAGATAAATTTCACCATCAAATGGAACGTTACGTCCTCACCACACAATCTCATGCAAGCCGCTGCCCAGACAGATGCACTTTCGGGGGTTCTGAGCAGATACTTCCCAAACCCAAACGTCACCAAGGCCGAGAAGTGGTCGCCCCAAGACTTCTACCAGAGCGTATACTCACCGGATAAGACTGACGAAGAGTCTCTTTCCATGAAGGTGGATGGTCTAAGTGCTAATCTCTATCCCTACCAAAAACGAGCCGTTCAGTGGCTGTTGGGGAAGGAGGGTGTTGCATGGTCTGCCCAAGGTGTCAAGTCGTTGCCAGAATCTAAAGATCCAGGAGCACCAATTTCTTTTGTTCGAGCCACAGATGATCTTGGACGGGTATGCTACGTCAGCCATTTGTTTGGGCTCGTCACTTTGGATCCAGGCCCTTTTCTTGACATGGAGAGAAATCTAAGAGGAGGAATCCTTGCCGAAGAGATGGGTCTGGGGAAAACGGTCGAGATGATCTCGTTGATCTCGCTGCACAAGCGTCCAGATCAAAAGATGCCACAAGTGTTCGACTTCTTCACGGGACAGATGGTCCGACCGACCGGAGCTACTCTCATAATCACACCTCCATCGATTATCAAGCAGTGGATATCCGAAATCAACAGACATGCGCCACTGCTCAAAGTGTTTCACTACGAAGGCATCAAGGCCAAAGTACACAGCAAGCGAGATTTCTCAGACTTGTTGAACGACCTGGCTAGCTCGGATATTGTTGTCTCGACCTACAGTGTGCTAGCTGGAGAGATCCATTTCACTCATTTGAACCCAGGAAAGCGCCTGCGCCACGAGTCGAAATATCCTAGGCCGAAGTCTCCCTTGATGCTACTTTCTTGGTGGCGTTGTCTAATAGATGAGGCGCAAATGATCGAGAGCGGAGTTAGCAACGCAGCGGTTGTAGCAAGAATGATTCCGAGAGTCAACGCCTGGTGCGTCACAGGTACCCCAGTTCGTAAGGATGTCAACGATCTCCTGGGACTTCTCGTCTTTCTTAGATATGAGCCATTCGCTTCCATAAAGCATGCCTGGTCGTCCCTAATAACATCATGTAAATTCGAGTTCCGAAAGTTGTTTGGTACTTTGGCCCTTCGTCATAGCAAGCAAAGCGTCCGTGACGAGTTGAAACTTCCAGCTCAAAGGCGTTACGTGATCACGATGCCATTCACTCCTATCGAGGAACAGCATTACCAGGAACTGTTCAATCAAATGTGTACTGAGGTCGGTCTGGACAGTCAAGGGGCACCTACTAGAGATGATTGGAACCCTGACAAGGTCTCGGATATCATGCGACGATGGCTTGTGCGGCTACGTCAGACGGCTCTGCATCCTGATGTCGGAGGACGAAATAGACGTGCCCTCGGGCACAAAGATGGTTCCTTGAGGACCGTGGATCAAGTTTTGAACGTGATGATGGAGAGTACAGACCTCTCTATCAGAACCGATCAACGCACACTGCTCATAACAAAGCTGAGGAGAGGCCAACTATTCGAAAACTCGCCTCGAGTCAAGGAGGCTTTAGCGATTTGGGTTGAAGCTGCGGATGAAGCAAAGGCCATCGTTGAAGAATGCCGCTTACAGCTGCAACAAGAGTTGACCAAAGCCGTGGCGGAGAATGGCACGACCATAAAAGTCAACATGTCGGGGCCTGGTAGCGACAGCGAAGTTGAGCGACCTGAGTGGGTTTGTTTCTCTAGAAGGGCTGGAAACATGGTTGACGTTTAATTAGACTTGATCCTTCATCTCGCATAGGAGCCTTTCGAATGCGACTGCGAACCGCAATGGAGATCGAGCACATGGCTATATTTTTCCGAACCAATGCATACTTCCAGATCAAATCTAACGAAGAGATGACCAAACCGAATAGCGACGAGTTCCGGACCCTGGAAAAGCTGGAAACCGAAGGTTACGAAGCTGCAAAGAAAACGAGACGGATGATCCTTCAAGAGGTTAGTCTATTGGATTGTGCATTTTGCTGAGGTGACATCGCTCGTGTATTACAAGCAACCAGCTTTTGCTTTTTTTCGTTTGTCGGGCCGTTCTATGTTTTAGCCCGGGCTTCACTTCTCGAAGAGCGGAACGATCTTCTTGGGAACAACATTACTGACTGGTCATAGAACTTCGAAAAAACAGATAAACTTATGAGGAAGATATCGAGGAAAGCTGCCACACAGGCCTTTGTCCAGATCCCCAAGTTCCATTCAAACATTCCAAAAGAAGGGATTGAGAGTCATAAGATCATGGAGAGGCTCGATATATTGGCAAGGGCATTGGATGCCCAAGCTAATATTCTAGACGCGTGGAGAGAAGACACAGTCCAATTCCTCCTTCGATCGCTCATAGATGAAGACGAAGATGATATAGACATCACCGGAGAAGAATACGAGGAATCCACCAAGATCCAAGACGAAGTTCAGGTGTATTTGAACTGCTTGCGATTCGTTATCACTGACAGACATGATGCCCTTACTGGCCAAAATAACGACCTCGTCAAATCTGAAGTCAAATTCCTCACTGGAGCGTTGAAAGACTTGGACCGTCACCATGTCGCATGCCCGGAAAAAACTGTAGAGCTACTGGGTGTTCGACAAGAAATCAAGCCTACCACAGAGATGGGCTCCATCAGAGGAATCCAGTCTGAACTTCGAGCTCTTGCCGCCTCGTTGAAACTAGATGCTCAGAGGGGCAGTATCAGGGCGCAGAGCGAGCTTTCCATCGTCGAGAAGCAACTAAAAATTATTCAGACCCAGTTCAAGGAACAGATGCTGGCAATTGCAGACCTGAAAAAAGAAGCCGAACTCTTCACCCGGTCATTAAATTCCCGACTTGAATATTACAAACAACTCCAGCTGGTTTCAGATCAGGTCTCTCTCTATGACGGTCCGAATGACGATGCGACGCTTGCCAGATATCTTGAGGAAGAGGGCAGGCTGGCCCGCAAGATTGCTACAGCAAAGTCAAAGAGAAGATATCTTGATCATCTTCGGGAGGAAGCATTCAATCCAAAGGAGCAGAGAATCTGTGTGATTTGTCGAGAGACATTCGAAGTTGGTGCACTTACAGTATGTGGTCATCAATACTGCAAAGGTTGCATCCGAATGTGGTGGGACAGTAGGCACCTTGATACACGACGAGAATTACTCATACTTACTGTGCCACAGCTCATCGAAATTGCCCGGTATGCAAGCGGAAACTTTCCAAGGTCGATATGCACCAAATCACCTACAAACCAGGAGAACTATCGATCCAAGCCGAGGAGGTACAGGACATCCACCATGAACGAGTTCCGACATCTAAGAAGCACTCTGCCATCTACTCTGAGATCAGTAAAGCTACCCTAGCCGAAATCAAGAACATCGAATTGGACGGTCCCTCCTTCACCACCAAAGTCGACACACTGGCCCGCCACCTCATCTGGCTGCGCGAATCGGACCCGGGCGCCAAATCCATCATCTACTCCTCCTTCAAAGATTTTCTCGACGTCCTCGCGCAAGCCTTCTCCGAATTCCGCATCGGCTATTCTTCCATCGAAACACCCAAAGGCATCGAGAAGTTCAAAACGGATCCCGGTATCGAGTGTTTCCTCCTCCACGCTCGAGCCCACAGCTCAGGTCTGAACCTCGTCAACGCAAACCACGTCTTCCTGTGTGAGCCTCTGCTCAACACGGCGCTGGAACTTCAGGCCATAGCGCGCGTCGACCGGATCGGCCAACAGCAGGAAACGAACGTCTGGCTGTACCTCGTCGACGGCACCGTCGAGGAATCGATCCATCAGCTGTCCGTCAAGCGCAGAATGGACCACATCGGCAAGCGGATTGCGAGCGTCAAAGGCAAGGACACGGACAAGGAGGGGGCCGTTGTCGTCGATGGGGTATTGGATACGACGAAGCTCGATGAGGCGAATTCGATAGAGCTGCAGCAGGCGAGCCTGTCGGGCCTGCTGGTGAAGGGAGGCAAGGGTGGAGAGGTTGTTATGAAGGAGGATCTGTGGGATTGTTTGTTCGGGGGGAGGCAGAAGGAGGGAGGACATGCTAGCCGGGGCATTGGTAGTGTAATAGAAGAAGAGCCTCAGGTGGGGCTCGCGAGTGAGGTGATACGGGCGTCGAGGGGGGCAGAGGCTGCGGAAGAGAGGCAGCTGGTTGTTGGTAGGAGATCTTGATACGGCTTTGTCTGCAGGCAATATGTAGAAGGTTGGTTGTATCAAGATGATAAAAAAAAATGTGATTGTAGCGAGCGTAAAAGCAAAAGCGATAGTGACGAAGGACGGCTAGAGAAAGCTTGTCAAAGAAAAGACTCGTTCGTTTGCTTTTGCCTCATGTCCGTATGGATCTGATCTCCAATAACACAACACTGTAACACTGAAGGACCCAAATGCTTCTGATATTCAAACGCCATCCCGACGTCGACAGCACACCCCAGCGCCGTGCAAAACAAATGCCCCTCCAACGCCACCCATCCCACCCAGCCCTACTTCATACTCGCGAAATCCAACTTCCTCGCCACCTTCGCCCGATTCTCGTCATCCAGCACCCCGGGCCTCTTCTTCAGGTCCTCCGCCAACTTCTCCCCGCCTCCCTTCTTCATCGGCAACTCCTCTTTTTTCGTCGGTTTCGGATCTGCAGCCCACCAGCTATGACCGAGTGCCTCCCTGCCAGTAATCCTCTTCCTCGGATCCAGAATCAACATCTTCATCAGTAAGTCGACGCCTTCGTGGCCTGCCGTGCCAAAGGTCTGCAAGTAGTGATCCTTGGCCCTAACCGGCACTACAGGCTCGGGCACGGTATACTCGGGTAGTTTGGAGACGCCGGGCCAGTTGTCTTCCGTGGGGGTGCCGATGGCTTGGCATATCAGGTTGATCTGCCCGACCTCCGTGTCGCCGGCTATGTATGGCGTGCGAATGACGAGCTCAGCGAACACGAGGCCGACGGACCAGATGTCTACCGCGCCCGAGTAGTGTTTGGCGCCGAAGAGCAGCTCGGGGGGACGGTACCACCGGGTGATGACGTTGGAAGTCATCAGTCGGTAAGGATCGGAGAAGGATCTTGCGAGACCAAAATCTCCTAGCTTGACCTCGCCGTCGGCAGCGATCAGCAAGTTGTTGGGCTTGATATCGCGGTGCAGCACGAAGTTCTCGTGGCAGAACCAGACGGCGCGGGTCAGCATGCCCATCCATGCTTTTATATCTGCTGCTCCGTAGCGCACCCCCTCGGTGTCTTTGATCAGCATCTCCAGATCGCCTAGTGGCAAGAATTCGAGGACCAGGTTGAGGTTTTGATCCTTGGAGGAGAAGACGGAGAGCAGGGAGATGATGTTGGGGTGGGAGAGTTCTTGTAGGTGCTTGAGCTCGCGGATGGCATCCGGGGCCATGCCCTCGGTATATTCTTTTTGGATCTTGATCTTCTTGATGGCGACGAATTTTGTCGGGTCGGAGCGGAGGTGACCTAGGTAGACGTTGGCGTAGGTTCCTTCTCCGAGTTTGCGACCTGGACAGGCTTAGTTAGTTTACTGGTTACTGGTATTGACAGAGGGGAGGGAGGGATAGATGGTTGGTTGCTTGCCTTTAACGTATTTTGCTTTTTCATCATCGTTCATCTGCTCTGCTAGGTCATTGGCACCATTGCCGGGCTGAACGGGTGTTCCTGTTCCTGTGTTTGAGGTCGAGGCTGCAGCGGAGGACAGCTTCGACCTATCTATCGGTCTACCGGCGTCCCCTGGGACAATGAGGGGTGAGTTTGCCATGATGGGATGGGAGATGGCAGTTGGGAGTGGGAGAGATTAGATCAGGACATCTCTTCGAGGATGGCGTTGTCGAGCGAGGTTAGGATTTTCACAAAAGGTGCCGATGAGAGATTGTTGACATTTCCAAGGCTGCGGCTGTGACTGTTGATAGAAGACTTTCGCTTTCACTTCGCTTTCAGCCTTGCGCCTGCACGTGATATTAGATTACATAAGCATGTCTTTGTTCGGCCCGCTGATGTTCCGCTAGGCACTCCATGCGGAAAGGGATGTCTCATTCACCTCGGCCGTTCCCGGCATTTACATTTACATATATTATGATCATCACATCGAGAATACTCATACTTATCAACTTATCACCCATAATAACGTCGGCATACATACGTCTGGCCATAACAATAATTTCATATGTTTATACAAATATAATATATATATATATCATATACACTACCTATCACTTTCCAAAGAACGTCTCCGTTACTTTATACAAATCTGAATCTGCGCAAACTCTGGAAAGCCAAGCACCAAACCAAGCAGTGACAAGCAGTGATCCTCTGTTCTCCATTCCTGCCCGCTTGGCAGCGACATCTTTTTTCTGATCTGCCATCTGGGCGGCAAGACCCTCTCAGCACCATGATGTCACTCGCACCTGCCCTTCCCTTCCGCCCCTTTGCTTTTGCTTTGTTTTTGTTTTGATTCGCTGGCCGGGGAATACTCGGATCGGATTCACCTCTTTTCGTAATGGGAACAAAACAATCCCGCTAATGATTCGTGGCTTGGATTTTTCCTGCCATGGACCTGCTTTGTGTACTTGGCTTTGACTTTGACTTGACCTAATATATCTTAAAAAAAAAATCCTTTCTTCGTAGGATATCAACAATCGTCCAAACTCTCGAGCCTCGCTTCTCACGTCACAACAACAACAACAAATACTTCCACTCACTCACCCACCTATACAGCAAGCGGCCAACAAGGCAGAACAGAACGACTATGTGGGGAGTGTCATACTGGGTCAGTGAAATTTTCCAGTCTCTCTCTAGATCGCCAGCACAAGTAAAAAGAAAAAAGAAAAAAAAAATGCCAATATACAAATATGCAAACAGGCAAGCATGCAGAATTACAGAAAGACAAACATACAAACACTCATGACTAACAACACCACTCACCCCCCTCACAGGTCTTCCCCGTCATCTCAAGCCTCTGCTGGCTGGGCATGCTCCTCGGCCTCCTCATCCACTGGACCTCTACGGGCCGGCCTCACTACCCGTCCATGAACGCCAGCCAGCACATCGCCTACATCTCGGACGTGGGCGCCCAATCCCTCAAGCCGCTCTTCATCGCCGGATCCAGCGTGACCACCGTCTTCCTCGACGCCTCCTTCCTCTCGGAGCGCTGGCTGCGCCACCGTGGCCGTCTCGCCCGGAACCAGACCACCATGGAGAAGGTGCTGAGCTGGCTCTCGATGGCCTTCGCGCTGATCGGGACGGCCGGCCTGATCCTGCTGAGCATCTTTGACACGTTGAGGCATCCGACGCTGCACGACGTGTTCCTGCTGCTGTTCATTGCCGGCTACGTCATCTCGGCCATCTTCATCTGCTGGGAGTATCAACGGCTGGGAATAAGTAAGAATTTTGCCAGCTTCCCCCCCCCCCCCCCCCTTTCTCTTCCCCTCATGCCCCTCCGAGGCATCATCCATCCATCCATTCCACTACTCTCAACCAAGAGAAAAAAATCCAAAAGAAAAATGCAGACTAAACTAACCTCACCGTGATAATCAACAAAAGAATACCGCGAGCACGCCATCTTGCGCGCCTCCTTCTGGATCAAGCTCTCCTTCATCGGCCTAGAAGTCGCCCTCGCCGTCGCCTTCGCCGTCTGCAGCGTCAAGAAGCGCTACAACGCCGGCGCCGTCCTCGAGTGGATCATCGCCTTCGTCTTCACCTTCTACGTCCTCTCCTTCTTCATCGACCTCCTGCCCGCCGTCAAGACCCGGCGTTCCGACCAGCGCTTCGGGGGCGGAGCAGAGGAGACGCAGATGCAGATGGAGCAGAATGATCGCTACGCCGCGTCGCAGATGACGCTGGCTGGCAACGATGTGAGGACTGTCAATGGGCTGAAGTATGAGGGCGGGCGGGCGGCGCCGAGTATGCGTGACTTCTAATTTACTCACTGCCCTGCGATGCGATGGGGGCTGGATGAGACTTGGGTCGGAATGAGAAAGATGAAACGGCCACGGGAGGGAATCTTGGACCCCGTATAAGCATCTTTGCTCAAGGTTTCGGGCCGGGCCGACGGCGTATTGGAACGGCATCGGGGTTTGGGTACGCTACCTATATGGGAGAAGAGAGCGTACGAATGATACCTCAGTAGTAATTAATTAATGGACAAGTCTCTCCAATCTGCAACAAGCGAACATTTGGTTGTCACGTGGCAACACTCCTCGTTTAAAGGGTTATACATGTACTGACATTATTAGTACTATTATTCCATGGTCGGCTGCAAATACCTAATCATCAAACCGCGCGTACATATACATATCATACAATTTCCTTTCCACCGTGTCGACCCCTTATCTCCACTGCAGTGTCGTTTCCTTCGTGTCTCTTTTTTCCCATTAAATTCGACCCCTTGGCTCCTATCCCGTCTTATGTTCCGTTATCCGATCTCCAGATCCAACTATAAGGACTGAAACCCCGTAGAATGATCGATTGAAACCTGACCCACCCGCCTGACCAGAAAAGACAAACTCCACGCCGAGAAATGAAATATCGAAATCATCGAAAAAGAAACGGTAAATGTCCCACCGCACGGTTCCTCTCTCCCTCCATTCAGATCTTACGCGTCGCTGTGCTTTAGATTTCCTCGTGGAACTTCGCCATCCTAGCAGGACTAGCGCTCTTAGCGGAGAAGGTCGGCGGCGGTGCGAGGTCTTCATCAAAGTTATCCCTCGCCTCCTGAAACTCATCGTCGTCTTCGCAACTCATACTGCTAACAACGCTATTCTTACTGATCCGCCTTCCCCGCTTTTCATAGCCCGCTGTCTCTGTGTTTGCAGGAGCAGAGGAAGAAGGAGAAGTTGGGAGGCCAGTGGCTGCTGGCGCGACCGTGGCGCTGGTTCCTGGCCGTTCAGTCTCGGAGGATAAACCGGTAGTGGCAGTAGTGTCTGGGCGGGATGAGTCCCCGTGGGGGATAGGGGCAGTCTCTGGCTGTGCGCTTGGAGCGTGAGTGGTTTTATGCGCTGGGTGGGAAGGGATACTGGCGTCTGATTCAAAATCAACGTCCGAGTCGACGGTAATAGTCTTCTTTGAAGCAGGAGCTGCCGCAGCAGAAACCGACGCTGGCGTCGCAGTAGCGACATCGCGAACAGAGGCGCTATTTGCACCAATGGAGGCAGTGCTGTTGCTCGCACTCGCACCAGTCAGAGCCACGCCTCCGATGAAGCTCTTACGATCACCTCCAGCAGGCTCTTTCTCTTTCTCCATGCCAGGGGATTTCGGACCCTTGCTCATGCGACGGGAGAATCTCTTCAGCCAATTCTTGACGTTTTTTTCTTTGGGGGATCCTGCAGATGAAGGAGACTTGGGCATGATCACGTCTCCATTCGCAGCAGCAGCTTCGCGCATGCGGATGCTGGCTTGGTCTTCCATCGAAGTGCGGATTGGGGCTGGAGCAGCAGACTCGCGACGCTCGGCAATGGTGGACTCCTCTATGTGTGGTAGGTTGACGGCAGTTTCCGTCTCGCCAGCTGCCACTGAGCCAGCAATAGTTTCGGTCTCAGGCTTCTTTCTGAAGCTGGAGATTATACCTATTCCAGACTTGACTGACTTGCGCCTCTCTTTCGTGGCACGCTTCTCATCTGCGGCATCCGTCTTCTTCTCCTCCTTATCTTTTTCTACGATACGTCAGAATCTCAGAACCTCAGATCGATCTGTGAGCTTACGTCTGAGCTTCTTCTCAGTCTCCTTCTGCTCCTTCTCACGAGCTTTCTTCTCGTCGGCCTTGCGCTGTTGAGTCTCATGCTCTAATTTGAGAGCTGCCTGTCTCTCGCGCTCTGCCTCAGCCTTCTGGTTGATCTCGTCAAGAACGGGTTGAATATTTCGGGAGGCCACAGCGTCAATCTCACTCTGGTCAACGAACTTTCCGCCACCAATGTGAACCTTACCGTGATTTTCCATTCGGCTTGCGCTGTTCGCCTGAGCAGCAGCATGAGCCTTGACCTCCCACTCATTGAGGAGAGATGGAGCAATCTTGCCAGTATCGGCAAACACCCTCTCATCCATGCCGTGCATACTCTTGGTGACATTGCGCTGAGCAGCACTGATTAGATTATCTCGGTCTTGTTGACGCTTCTTTGCATCAACTTGAGTGAGATTAGACGAGAACTGCGACATCTGAGCCCGGATTTTGTTGGACTGTTCCTGGTCGCTTTCGAAAGTACCCACGCTAGAGGCACGGTTTCGATTCCTTCCTCTGATCGAAAGCCTAGATGGGTTCGGGGGAGTGCTGCCGTAGTAGTCACGATACTCACGATTTTGAGCATGCTCATCATGAAACTTGGCCAGTTTCTCCTGAGCTAATCTTTGTGCAGCCTCTTGCAAATTGTTGAAGCGCATTGGTGCAGCCTCGTCTCTTGAGTTCAATGAAGAAGTTCGGCGATGACCATGAGCCGCAGCTGCTCCGCTCTGGGCATGGCTTTTTGTTTGCTCGATTTGCTTCTGTTGGTAGGTGTACATACCCTGAGCCATAGCGATGGCAGACGCACGCAGGGTATCTGCTCTGTTCTTTTCGTCTACCTCTGGCTGGACTGGAGGCGCAGCAGTGAACATATCTCGTGCCATGGTAGTGTAGGGGACCGAACCAGCCCCGGAATGCTCGCTTCTCTTGCTGGCCCTGGAGGCAGATGTGGCCGCGCGTAAAGCATTGGACGCAGCATTTGACTCGTCCGGGTACGTATCAGGTTTCTGGACCGCCCTCGGAGTCGATTTTGACCTCTTTCGGTCAGAAGACATTGCACCCGTCGCAGCTAGAAGTGATCCTTTGCGGCCAAGTTCTGTATGACCATAGTCGATTTGGGGGGATAGGCCGCCCTGAAGATGGCTCGCCATAGCTTGTGTCGCCGCAGAATGTCCCCACGCAGACTTCGCCTCTGGCTTCCAGATCTCGACCTTGCCTCCATCTATGTGTGCCAAAAGTGCTGCCTTTGCGCCGTTCGCGCTGGCTTCGGGTCGCCACGGGGGGGGCATTTTGTAGTCGTGAGCTTGCAAGGCTGCCGCTGCTGCTGGCGCCGATGGGTCTGGCTTCCAGTGTTGGAAGGTCTTCTGGTTAGACCAGCCCCGGCTGGCAGCCGCGCTGGCAGCAGAAGTGTCGTTCTTCTTGAGTCCGGTAGAGGGGTAGCTCGGGAGATCTTGCGGGTTGGCATATTTGAGAGAAGCGGCGGCACCTGGAGCTGTCAATTCAACCCAGGCATTCAGCAAACTGCGACCAAAGACTCACCAGCAGACGAGAGTTTGTTGTCGTCGTCGAGGATGTCGTAGCCATTTTTTGATTTGTTGGAATGGTTAGGCTTGTCGTATTTGGTGACATAGAGGGCGGCTATAGCAGCTTGGTCCTCGAGCTTGGACGGGTTTTTAGGAAGAGGCCTGGCAGCAGCATCCTGGATCGGGCCCGTAGGCATCACGGTAGTTGTCTGGGCCATGACTGACCAGATCTTGAATTCGAAAGACGAAGCTGAAGTAGAGGTCCTGTTGACGTCGACGGGGCGGTCGGTAGGGGGATCTGGATATCGGTCTCCTTTCCTTGTGGGCTGTTTCAATCTAATGCTTTGATCACTCACTTAGTCTTCTTTCACCGCAAGTAATGCTAGCAAACCCCAGAAGTCCTGTATGCAGTTGAGAGAGGTAAGGTGAGGTCGAGATGAGATGATCGATTGATTGATTGTTGGTTCATGAGAGCAAGGCGAGATCCTGATCCTGATCCGAAGCAGCAGATGCAGATGATCGTCATTAGTGGTTGTATTGGGGGTAAGAGGTGAGTACCGGTAGCAAGGGCTGGACCCTTCGAGCCCTTTGCGGTCCCTCCTACGTCATCGTCTCCAAGCCACCAGCCACCAGCCACCAACCACCAGCCACAAGGCATAAGCCACAGGCTATTTGGGGGCTATGCCCAGAGCGGACGGACTGTATGTCCGTAGGTTCCTTAGGTATATATGTGATTGGCAAATTAAATAAACAAGAAGCACAAGTCCGGTTATATATCCAGATGTAAATAAATCTACCTAGAAATGCCTGGTGCTCGCTTCGGACGGATAGCTGGTATACCTGATATACGGGACCGCCCACGACTCTATAACAATCAAGCTTTCATTTTGCAATTGGCTTTCTCGGCTACGGGCATCACTTCCCTCACGTCAGCTGTAGCACAACCACCCAACCTGGACACTCTTTTGTGGAATTTGGCTCGCTTATGCCGACGATCTTGCAACGAAGGAAGATGGAGGACAAGCCTTTCGAAAAGATCCTCAACTTTCGGGACGTGGGGAAGACGATCAATGGATTCTTAGGGGAGAAGTACGTGCTAATAATCCAGGCCCTATACGTTTGAAAATTGAGAGAGTTGACACGCATCCAGACGCCTTGTCGAGGGCAAGATATTCCGCTCGGCACGGCCAGGTACAGACACACATACCATGATGCCCATAACATACTTGCACAACAAGAATTCGAGCTTAGGGTGATAATTTTAGATGATGCTACGCTTTCCGACCGGAACCGCCTGAGGACGACACACGGCATCAAGACAATCATGGATCTTAGAACTGTGTAGGTCGCACTCGCTCTCTTCAAGTCACTGGAGACCCCGTAATCTCATCTCGACCGAACCCCCTTTGCGCCTCGCTAACCCACCCCCCAGAACCGAACATGTCAACCGAGCCAAGAAGCGAGAGCGTGACCTTAAGAACCCAGCCCTCTTGCAAGCCAACGACGCCCTGGCCGAACCCATCGAGATCCCGGGCATGAAATACCTTATGATCAACGTCAATGGCAGAGGGTTTGAGCGGAGCATGCTGTGGAAGTTGAAGTTCTGGAGTTTCATGTCCGTCCCCCCATCTCCCCCTCTCCGCGCCCGTCCATCTATTTTTTCCTAAAAAAAAAAGGAAAAAAAGGAAGAAAAAGAAGAAAAAGAAGAAAAACCCCCCCCCCTTCTTCCATCGAGAGATCCTCCCAAGAGCCCGCACTGAACCTGACAACCCGCAGCAAACTCGTAACCCTAATGCTCCTCGGCTACCGCATGCAAGCCATCTCCATCCTCGGCCGCGAAGTCATGCAGCCCCGGGGCCTAATCGGCCTAGGCCACGACTCCCTCGACAACAGCGGTCCGGAGATCGCGGAAGCCCTCCTCGCCTTCACCAACGAGGCCCAGACTCCGATCCTCGTGCACTGCACCCAGGGCAAAGACCGCACCGGCCTCATCGTCGCGCTCCTCCTCCTGCTGCTCGAGATCCCCCTGGACGCAATAACGCACGACTACGTCCGGTCCGAGAAGGAGCTGCTCCCGGAGAGAGAGGCCCGCGTGAAGGAGATTGAGAGCGTCGGGCTCTCGGAGGATTTTGCGGCCTGTCCCGAGGACTGGGTCAGGTGTATGCACGCATACCTGAATGAGAACTATGGCGGCGTGAGACGCTATCTCAGGAGCGTGGGCGTGAGCGAGGTGCAGGAGGAGTCGCTCGTAAGAGGGTTAAGAGCTTAGGGAGAAGGGGGCCAGATCAGATCAGGGCAGGGGGGTGGGGGTTGGGTCTAGGAATGTTCTCCGTATTTCAAGTAATATCTTTCCTGATAAGGGTGACAAGTCAAAGTTTTGTTGCACGTCTGGAATGTACCAATATTGAAATATACATATATATATATATTTAAATTTGAGGGGGGGAGAGGTCTAACGTCTTCGAGGAAGGAGATCGCGTCTGGAATTAAAAATTCATTTACCGGGTAATCTTTCAAATCAGGATGAGAAGGCTGACAACGCGAGAAGTTAAATGGTTGGTGGAAGATGTCTCGCCATTCTCTTTTGAGAAGAAGAAAGAAGAAGCCTTTCCCCAGTTCAGCAAATGTCCTCATGCCAACTCCAGGATAGGCGATGTGCAACCCTTCAGGCTCACATCACATCAGCCCACACCCAATCCCATACATGGCCCTCTCAACGTTCCTCTTGACCGTATACCAATCTGCCCTCCGCTCCGCAAACTCATAAACCTCCTCAGCCCTGAAGATGCCCCGGAAGCGGTCCCCATCAGCGATAACCTCCGCCAGGTCCTTTGCATGCTTGGGATCAATCAGATAGATCTGACTCAGCTCCCTCAAGGCTTTGAAGTACTCTAGCAGATCCGCATTCCTCAATGTCCGGATGTACACGAAGTAGAGGTTCATGTCGGAGATGAGGCGCATGGAGCCGTCGACGCTGATGCGCTGGCGCTTGAGGTGCTTGCAGATGGCAGCGAAGAGGCGGAGCCCAACTTCCTGGTTGAAAACATCGAGCATACTCTTGTCGGTGCTGCCCGTCAGCATCTTCGTGTGGGACTCGACAAGCTGTACCACTTTCTCGGCCGCTTGCGTGGCGCCGACTTCGAACGTTTGGGAATTGGCGTCTGACGCCGGAACGGGATTGTAGTCAGTGGGCTGCTGGAGGGTTGCGCAGAGGTATTCGACTTCATCCATGAGGACGTCGATCCCATTGTTGAGTCCGGCGGCTACACGCTCGTCGAGCATCTGCTCGAACTTCTTCTTGGCTTTGACGGCCGGGTCGAGAAAGTCATTGCGGTCGGATAGCTTCGTGGTGGCCAGTTGTTGCTCGTAGAAGACGTCGATCATTTGCGAGATCAAATCGCCTACATTGACAAGTTCCAGGAACGTCACCAGGGGCGCAACGCTCTGCTGGTGCTCGCTGACCTCACGAGGATTATATTTCGACAGATGCCCGACAGCCTTGTCGAACCCTATCTTCACGTGGCGATCCCCAAGGGTTGCAAGCAGGGCGACAAAAATTGCTTCACATTGTTCTCGTGCTTCCTCCCCGGTCTGACCGCCAAGAAGGACAAAGGGAGCCGCCCGTTCAATGCTTGCTTTTGCAGAGTGGGTCAGATCAAGTGCGACCTCGATACTGAATAAGGATCGAATTCCTTCCAGCCTCGATGCCATGAGGGCCGCTTTGGCGGCCAACTCATCCGTCGGCGCCTCTGTAGGCATGATCACAGGAGTCGATGCTCGATTGCCGGCTATCCCGAGACTCGGAGTCTGAGATCTGGATGGAGGTTGAGAGAATTGAAGACTGGCCCGATTGGCTGGGCTAGCAGACAAGGTCTTCGTGGCCCCGAACGGCGAGGATTTTGGTAAGCTGGGTAGGACATTGACAGGCATCATGACAACCTTTTTGAAGGAGCTCAAGAAATCCTTCTTGTCGGCCTGCCTGTTGAAATTTGCCATGAAGAAAGACTCCGTGGTGGCATCCTGGGCTGAGAGTTTACTTTCCCAGGTGCTGACTTCGAGATCTGCCTGCTTTTTGAAATGATCTAGCTCCTCTTGTAGGTACAAGTCCACATGAGGCTCGAAGACCCTTGATATGATCTCCTGAACTTTTGTCACGAAGCTCTTACCAGAGTTCTTTGTTGGTTTCAGACTCGCTCCGAGCCTGAGAGCCTGGTCAAAGAGACCGGATACTGCCTTCAAATACGAAGCTATACTCCGACGGTGACATTCGTCGAAGAGGGGCATGATATATTCGATAAGAATCTCATCTGTAACCTTGTCCAGGAATAGTTGATAAACATCCTCTCCTGCAGGAAACACCCGATCGATGACATCGGCCTGCTCATTGATCTTCCTGGAGAGCTTCTCCAGAAATTGACGTGATGGTTCCAAAGTCAACCCGTCAGATGAAGCTTGATTGAGGCATTCCAGCGGGTTGCCAAGATATTCTCGATCAGTGAAAATTGGGTGCTTCTGAACAAAAAGCTCAATACCTGCTTGGCCCCCGTTCAGAACAGACAAAACGTGGGCATAGCGACGCATTTTCCCATCAATATCCATTGCCTCGTACCCTTGCTCGAATTCTCGTAGAACAGCGTTCTCAAATATTCCTGCCATAGTATTTAGCTTCTCCTCCCTGAATCTCCACCCTTGGGCCCAGTCACTGCGAGCAAATATCTGTAGGTGTGCCAACATCTGCGCCTGTTGTTCTGGTTCTCGATATACCCTAAAAATGACAGGATCGGTATGGCTTTTTGACCTCGCCAAATCATGATAAAATGGTGCCAGAGCCGCATAAATCTTTGCATATTCCTGCCTCGCAGACCCTCTGATCGATTTCACCCCGGAAAAGATCAGCAGCAGCGCCTCGGGGTCCAGCATCGCGGCTCGACCCATCGAGGTCTGAGTGGGCTGCGTATTCGAGGACAAGGTCAACGTTTCGAAGCCGTCCATCGAGGCGCCCACAGGCTTCGAAGGAACTTCCGTAGATCTTTGTCGTTCTTCCTCTACCCCCGCATCAAACAACATGGTGCTGGTCTTCCTCACCCCCGAATTCCCACTGACACCGATCCCCGTCCGTTTGGAGTCCTCCTCGGCACGCAAACGCATGATTTCCCTCCTTTTCTTCAATGCCTCTTCAAATCTCTTCCTCGCCTCCCCCTCATTCCATACGCCCATGGCCGATAGCCTCTGTACCCACCTCGAGTCTTCGTACACCATTTCCAGCATTCTCTTCGAGGTGCGAGCAAAGCTCATGAGGTCGGGGATCGGCAGGTAATCGAGGATTGCCGATATAATTTCTGCGGGTAGGACCGCCTTGCTCTCCGTCATCTTGGTAGCCTTCAAAGAGCTCAGAATGCTGCTGGTCCTTGCTTGACCCCCAGCTTGAACTGGTGCGCGCTTGAAGTTCGACATTGTGTCCGGATTGGGAGGGTTCTCGCGTTATGGTTCTCCTTGGTGGTTGTGAAGGTCGGCGAACCTCATTCGCAGGTCCATTGAGTCGTTGTTGGGGGTCGAGTGTTGACCGGAGCTTCGGCTGTCACGGTTGAACGTCCCGAAGCGGCGAGCACGGCGAGTCAGTTACGTACCTATTTTTGACACCCTGACTCAAACTTCTCTTCGACGACAGAGCGCAAATTCGGACAGCACAAATTATTATATCGTAGCTCGTCCTGATCCAAATTTATTTTAGGGGAGTCACGCCGCATTGTACATACGAAATATGTCTGCTTGCGTGTGCGTTATCTGTCAGAACAGCTCAAATTCAACTCTCACGCCTCCAAAGTCCAAGTCCGAATGCAAGTACTCATAAAACTTTTTTTTTTTTTTTTTTTTTTCAAATTCCCCGAACCTGCAGCTGCCAATCTGGCATTGACTATTGCTTTTCTTCTGCCCAAGTATAACAAATCTGATCGAAAATGGGGCTGATCTGAGAGAAAATTAAATTTGAATGCCCTCGTCCTCCCGCGGCTAAGAAACTCCGTAAACAGCACCAACACCTCTTTTTACCTACCCTCCGAATTAGTAACTAGTCGACCCAAAACAGCGATAAGTCTGTTGTACGGCTGGCCAGCCGATTTCGATCGCGCAATATCACGGGATATCTCGCAAATGAAAGGTGTAATCACCCCAAGTTCAGTCGAATATTTGGCGGAGCCTTAGCGGGGTTTAAATAAATACTCCCAGCTCACTATTTACGACAGTCAAAATTGTAGAAAGTATTCCGAGCGACCAACTTCTGAGGAGACCCTTTGATTTCGGCCTCGTTGGAGGGATAAAGCCCGCGGTCAAGCGGAATCTGTTTGTCTTTCCTCACCCCCATGTTCCGGCTTCCAAGACCCCGAATTTGCACACAATATTTCCGGCTCTCTTCCCATTTCGCGCAGAGCGGTCGCATGCCAGATCTTGGGCCTCATTCATAGCTGATCTCCAGTCTTGATGTTGAAAGATGGGCAGTGCACTTTCCCACCCACACAGGGTCTCTAGATGCCGATCTAGGATTCTTGTGCAGAGGAAGACCTGCAATGCACATTGCAGTTCCCAGTACCTATTACAACCCTACGCCGCACGACAAGAGTACTCTCCAATGCTGACAATTCGCGCCCTCTCGCCAGAGCCTTTTCTGCATCCAATCATCGTAGCCTGACATTGCCAAAGTTTTACCCTAAAGGCCCAATTCTCTAGCCGCCAGCTTTTCAGCCCTCTGCTTGAGTACCCGATAAGTCAGGGTATTCTACAAATCAATCGGTCGGGATTCTTCGGGCTCCTGCTGTTTGGCTATTTGAACCGTCAGCTTGTATCTGCTCGAGATTGCGACTCGTATCGCCCTTGATTTACTGACCTGAGCCAGAGCCTGATCTTCAGCGGATGCGGATAGAACAAAGCCGTCGTCCACATGAACATTTCTTGGCAAGCTGCTCAGTGTTCCCAGAATCGATCTTCACAGGTAAGCTGAAGTCAATGGAAGGCTAAGAGCTGCTATCAATTTCTGTGAAAGAATCTCGCTGCTTCCGCCTGAATCATTGTTGCTTCCTGGGTCAAAAGCTTTGTACTGGGTGACAAGCAAGTAGATATTTCCGATGAGTTTCAGGCCAGACAAGCCGCTCCGGGGCGTTCTTTAATTCTGCGGTTGGAATCCGTTGGGTACGAAAGTAGCTATACGGCCACTGGCGACAGAGGTAGGCCTCAGATTCGGCTCACTCTGTCTCTGAAAAGTCTTCGAGGAGCATTGGTGTCCCTGCTGTGCTGGCGAAGGCTCGGCAGGGAGGAGGAATGTTGGTGCGATTGCTCATCATGATTGCTCATTGTGTTTTTCTGATCATGATTGCTAGAAGATGAGATAAAGTATAAGTGCCCAAGCTGTTACTCACAATAAGCCGATGTAGTTTCTCAATAATTAGATAAGACACTTGCGTCCGTTGGTTGTCATGATGATAAAAATGTGCCTGCTACACCCGGATCCAGCTTCAAGCTAGTACCATCTCCGGTGGAAGTCCCACAGACCCCCGCCACGATCCCACGAGTCACCTGAGCCAGCAGCCAACTCGGCGAAACCTCCCTCAGCTTCTGGAGACATGCTGTACGATGCGATCTGAAGTTTAGAAAGATCCAGACGACTGCGAGAAAAAGGGGCCGTGGGATTTTTGCGGCGCTCCGTTTAAGCGAGGCGGGGAACGACGACGAAAACAGCAGCCAAACAAAAACTGTAGCCAGAATCACCAACCACGCGACCAAAAGATGACCAAAACTCAAAAACCCAAAAAAACCCCCCAAAAAAAAACAAAAAAAAAAAAAGTAACTCGATGCGGAATGACTGGACCAACAACTTGTGATCCTGTCTGATCGCAGGTGTGTCTGTAACAAAAAAGATCTGATACGAGAAGACCTAAAGATAGGCCTTCCGCACACCTCCAATGCAACCACACCCTAGTTGAACCCAGTTGTTCGTCAGAAAGCAGGAGCACAACGCGAAGGTGATCTTTCCCAGCGTCAGGAGTGGTTATTACCACGAACGCCTCTACTGCCCAAAGGCCAAAATACCTGACCAGGTGGTTACATACCGGTACCTATACCACAAAGTGAAACTCCCGGGGACCGGTCGGCGATGAGTTATTTGCG